TACACCTACACACACACACACACACACACACGAGGTGTTATACCTCGAAAGGCGGGATCCAAGAGTCAATGCTCGATCCTGCAGACACAAATAGGTGAGTATAAATAGGTGAGTACAGTCTTGACTACCCCAACACGTTCTTACTCACATCTATGACTTATTGTCTGGGTGTGTTCACGTCTGATCATTTGTTCGTTTGTTTGTCTGTGTCTGTGTGTCTGTCTGCCTGTCTGCCTGCCTACCCCCCCCCCCTCCCCCTCTCTCTCTTCTCTTCCCTGGCGATCCTCCAGTTAGACTCAACTCTGGTTGCTTTGAGACTACGAGACGCCAATCCCTCATTCTTAAGATTTAACAGTACCACTTATTCAAAATTATGACAATATTGTACAGTAATTTAAATGTAATGATTACACAATTGGCAGACGAAGTTTGAAAGATCTCTAGGCTTCTATCGCAATGGTTCAATTAGATTTCCTGACTTGTGCTGAAACAAATGAATAGAGAATGCCAAGAATGTATTATACTGTGTTTTGTAACCAGACTACTTGCACGCAATAGACTTGCACATATTAACTATCGTAAGCAGATAGCTGGGTTTGCATTACAAAGTGTTCTGTATAAATTGCTAGGCTTGAACGGTAACGGACGAGTGAGAGGTGATATGCAACCTCTTTATTAACACAAAAATGGTCATTCAAGAGATAAAGGCAGCCATGACTGCTGGCACACACAGACGTTCCCAGCAGGCACGCTCAAGGCTGAGGTGTGGGCATGTCAACACACTCCCCCACGATGCCCAAAATCCACACCCACCTCCTTCCTCTGTGCACTATGCATGGCAGTGGATGCAAGAACATTAAAAATACAATAATTATGTTACTTTCTAATTAAATTTTTTTGTGTGTGGATAGGCAGACAGGAGGGTTACTCAGTCGATAAAATATTGCAGTTTTTGCGAAGCAGGATCATGTATAACATTTGGGGTTTACGGTTCATGCTGTGTAATATGAAAAATTGGTTTACTGAGAATTAAACTATATATAAATGTAGTATTTTCCCTTGTAAATTGACGTAAATATGATCTGTATATTGTATATTATTTAATAAAAAAAAGTTAAACAATACATAAACACTATAAGTGAAGGGGGAGTTAGGTGCCCTTGGAGAGCCTTGACCTATATACAGGGGTGGGCAACATGCCTCCCACACATCAAAACAGTACTTCCTTCATGCACATGCGCAGTTAATGCTCTACTGTTCCTACTCTATGAGTCCTTACTACCCTAACTACCCTGTGGGCCAATCCCTTACAGTAATCTTGGAAATAAGTACCTCTCGACAGTTAATATTTTGCTAAATTATTTCACTCTCGCACCCTTCTTACATCCCAATATTTAGTCGCTACACACAGAGATCACACTAACGTCATGCATCAAATGAACAAATCCACAAGGGCCGTGACGAGGATTCGAACCTGCGTCCGGGAGCATCCCAGACACTGCCTTAATCGACTGAGCTACGACAGGGTAAAAGGGTTGAAACCGAAGTTCTACTGAACTTACTTGATCCCATAGCCTCTCCGAGGCACAGGTTCGAATCCCCGTCACGGCCCTTGTGGATTTGTTCATTTAGTCGCTATTTAAGTCAAATGTTAACTAACGAGCAAATTGCGTTGTAGTAACTATGGAAATATCATTACACACCTGAACGAATACAAAACACACTATACTCTCTCGTAAATATTTAAACAAATAGACACAAACTATCCAACATGTTTACGCCACAGAATAATTACTCAACTCTCCATCAGTTCATACAAGTAATGAGGCTGCGAAAGACAGGTCCAAATATTACCATCCGAAGGTTAACTTCCTCGCTCATCATCGCGTAAAAAAAGAAAAAAAATATTAGCGTATCTCTTTGTAACACTTGCACATTAAAAATCATCCTTAACCAATTCGTGTTTTTATATCATATTTTCGTAGTTTCTTTAAATTATATTTTTTTACATGTCAGCAAACCTTAGCCGATATCCGCAGACCGGCACTGACCATGAAAGCCCGCCAAAATTATTGATAAAACATCTTGCATATTGTTGACCAAACCACACACTTTAAAGTGAAGGGACGAGACGTTTCGGTCCGTCCTGGACCATTCTCAAGTCGATTGTGAGAGTGGACTCACAATCGACTTTGAAAATGGTTCAGGACGGACCGAAACGTCGTCGTCCCTTCACTTTCTAGTGTGGTTTGGTCAACATATATCAGCCACGTTATTGTGACTCATCGTCTGCATCTTGTACATTCTCCTATTTCAAGTGTCAACAGTAAACACTTTGACCAGTATTATGGAGCGTTTTACAGTTCAGTACTTACTGTATAACTATTAACAGACGAAAGACCGTAAATCGTCAAAGGAATAAAATACTGCAAGAAAACCAAAGCCATTTTTTCCCCACATAGCGCAATATCATTTATAAAAAGTGGACTCGTTCCTTAGTCTCCCACACTGGTCTTAATGTTGATCTTAATGATTATCAGCCGAGGGAGGATTATTAGCCTAATACCACCAAAAAAGAAACTTTGCTAACCTGCCAGCTAGTTTACGCTCATGCCTGAACATAGTCAAGAACTAAAATAACTTTAGTGTATATACACAGAGATGCTGGGTACACTTCTTTGTGTATATATATCATGCTCTCACATGATACATACACACATGGCTTGTACACACCCAACTTGACGCCCCCCTCCCTATCACCCCCCCCCTCACTCAACTGTGGCCGCGTAAGTGCGTAGTATGTCACTGGTTCATACATACATATCTGGCCCACATGCGGCTCACTGGTAATTATTGATATACTAAACACACCAAGCTTTCAGCAAAGCATTATGGCATATGTCCATACAAGTGGTTGGTGTATTGCTTGGCTATATTACAGCTTGGGCAAACACTGACATTTCACACTGCGGTCTCACCAAGTGCTAACGTTATATCAAATTATATCATTATACTATGCGAGTCACGTGAAAGTCAAAAGGTTTGCAGACGAGGAGTCACAATAACGTGGCTGAAATATGTTGACCAAACCACACACTAGAAAGTGAAGGGACGACGACGTTTCCGTCCGTCCTGGACCATTCTCAAGTCGAGGTTTGACAAATTAAGACTTTTAGCTCTGAAGAATTAGTTCATAAGTTTGTCACAGGTGCAAGTCACGTTTCGACCTCCTCATTAAGACCAGGGGAAACAATTTCGTCAGTATTCCGTTCTCATAGTAGTATATTATGTAAAGAACTATGGAGAAATTCGTGAATGAAATTTGTAATACTGTAAATTAAATATGACAGTACTGCACTAATCAGTTTAAATATATGTATTATACAAATGTTGAATTTTACACTTTTCAGTAAACTTTCTTCTTAATTCAAAATTAAAATTTCGTCACACCTGACATGTTAGGAAGTACATACTGAAATCTTAGCTGTGCCTCACACCATATCAACAACACACGTATGGCTCTCACCATAAAATTGCAATTAACTTTATCTCGACTCACCTTGTACTCATCACTAGGGTCTGAGCTGTTTTCCAGCGCGCGATACAAGTTACTTTACTAGCATATACAAATTGCACACCATAATTTGGAGAAAAAAAATCTAGACAAAGACGAAAGTCGCAGTTTGCTTGTGTGGTGATCTTGGCTAGGTGAGATAGTCATTCCTATCTATGACATGTCGGAGCGCTCAGTGTGATGCGCACACGAGTCCTTGAAGTCTAGAAAGATAAAATACTGTTACACAGACGATAATTAAGCGCGCCACACACACCTCCTCCATCCTGCCCACCCATTGGCCACTTTCACATGATGGATAAACAGCGTGTCACTGGTCGGTCTCACGCTGGCAAGGTTAACGGAGTAGGTCACTGGTCGGTCTCACACTGGCAAGGCTAACCAACTGCATCACTTGCCAAACTCAGCCAGACATAATGTGGTGGCGTAAAACACAACACATGTCTGCGTAGTTGCAATACCATCTGGCCACAGTACCTGACACTCCGGCTCCATGTTAATCTCCAAGCTGATACCACGACCTCAATACCGATGCGCCCCAAGTAAGTAATTATCAAAAGAAGGCGACCCAGCTGCGAAGACTATGTAGCACGGTGCATGCACGGTACATGGTTAGTTGTCAAAGGTTGTCGAGTTCCTCCAGCTCCTCAGATGGCGGGCAGGAACCATGGATGCAGTGTGCGTTTCCTCTCAGTATCACCCACACTAAGGCGCTGAAAGAGGAAGCTAGCGGCACTACGATCTCTTGTTATTTCAATTAGCTTAGCACCCAGCTCCTTCAAAAAACTAGCAGCACTTTTACCCCATGCACCAAGTGCCTCTGCGGCAATGTTGACAAAATTGTAATGGTGATCCAGATCTCTCTATTTACGAGACTTGGCTGCTTCCCGGTAAGTGGCAGCGCCGCCCGGGTGTGCGACACTGCTTCAACATAGGTATTGGCTAAAGTTGAAACGCACGTGTAGTCCCACACCAACTGTCTACCATTCTTCCAGGGGTTCACCGTGATCCCGTCTGGCCGACCGACAGGCTTGTCAGAGTTGCTGAGCATTAGATAACGGGGTGTTCTCTCTCTCTCTCTTTCAGCTGGATTTTCCGAACTGCATTACTCCGTTTTAGAGCATTATGTAAATATATTCAAGCTGCTTTTTGTCCCGTATGTTTTACTGCTATATTTAGGTTGAATATCACCCTACTGATCGGCAACTGTTTCACATATTACATCGCCTGTGTAAAACTTTGTCTGCTAGTGCAGTCAAAATTCCGAACATTTCAGTAAACTCAAGTGTCAGCAGAGCCTATACTCTTCGACATAACCGTAACACTATTGAGTTGTGAAGGATGGATGGCATGGTTATCTCAAATACCCGTACGTACGATAAATGCATGTCCTACTGTATGTACCACACACACTGTGAATACTTGCCTGGGGTGTACAGGAGTCCAGTCTTCAGTATCATCGGGCTCTGGCTTGGGTACACGGATCTCAGGCCAGATGGAGTGGACCCACTGCTGGTGTAGAAACACAGCTAATGCACACAGGCTGACTACAAAGTACACCTGTAGTTCACTCCATACCAGCAGCCTGTAAATACAAATATGAAAACCTGTAAATACAAACATGTATGCATGTAAACACACACGCACATCAACCTATGCACAGTCACACAGGGCTTTCCAGAAACACTTTCCAATGGCAGCCTATCACAAAATAGTGGTGGAATGAACACTGGAGCTTCAATGATGCATAGAATAAAATGAGGTCAAGAAGTGTAATGAATACAAGTTGATGCAATGAGCACAGCCTGGTGTAATGAGTATGGAGATGTAGTAGCTCTTTATGTAATGGTAGTGGTGAAATGGTGGTGAACATTTTGTGGTTGTGATGAAAAATTAGGAGCTGCAAATCTAACAGACACTCCGAAAAAGTGAGGCTTCTCTCTCTCTGCCTCGCCTACTAGCCTCGCTTTACCTGCTGACAATTTCATGAGTTCTATTACAGCGTGGCCTATGGTCAGCCAGGAGTGGGCCTCTGATGTTTACAATGTTCTCTAATTGTGGTTATTGCACCTCCGACGACACTCAGTGTCGTGAAAAACTGGAACTCAAGTGGAACCATGATTGTCGTCGGGTGGTTACCTTGAGGTTACCTTGAGGCTTAGCAACCCTGCGGCCCGGTCGTCGACCAAGCCTCCTCGTTGCTGGATTGGTCAACCAGGCTGTTGGACGCGGCTGCTCGCAGCTTGAGTGTTGGTCAGTCGTGGAGTAATAAGCACCACGGACTGACCAGTCCTTCATATCAACTACAGCCCCGTTCCAGTGGCAGGAAAGTTCACTACGGGCTCACCATAGCCCGTGCTACTTGCAACTGTTTGTTCCGAGTAGCTGAATCTAAAACAACAAAAAATCCTTATAGACGATCAATGGTACGGTGGTTACGGCACGGTGTACATTTGGGGGCGATCCTGAAACGTCATGGGTTCGAATCCTGGTCGGGTCATTTAGAATTCTTAGTGGTCTACGGCTTGTGTGTTTCTGCAGCCCCCCCTCTCTACCAATCCTGACCGGTACGCCTCTGTTCACCCAGCAGTGTTTGGGTCCTGGTTGTTAATGATTGACCAGATGTATTCCAGAGAAACTAGTAAATAAAGCTTGTTATGGGATGGGAAAGCTCTTGACCTGCTAACAGGGGTCAGCAGTTATCTGTTCCTGTACCCACCTGTGAGAGAGTAAGCAAAGGGGGGGGGGAGATAAGAGAAATCGCCGGAATGCAAGTAATTCCATTCACATGGAGTAATTCCATGCGAGTAATGCTCGATTTCATTTCCAATTTGTTAATAACTGAAATAAATATTCTAATTAGATATAAGCCTACAGGCAATATAGAGCTTAATCGTTGTTGTTCTTAGAGATTCAGCTACTCGTAACAAGTTCCAAGTAGCACGGGCTATGGTGAGCCCGTAACTTACCTGGCACAGGAGCGGTGCTGTGTGTGTGTAGGGAAGGAAGGTGTGTGGAGCTTAATCCTGGGGCAGGGAATAAATGCATTTACAATGCGACCCCGGCATTCTACCTCCTACACATGTCAGGTCACTCAGATCATATTTACCCATCATAAGACCTTGACCTGACCCTCAACCCTTATTCCCATCCCAAATCCTTATCCTGACCTCTTCCCAGTGCTATATAGTCGTAATGGCTTGGCGCTTTTCCCCCTGATAGTTCCCTTCCCTTTCCTTCCCTTATTCAATGCTCTCCAATTACTAACAATCCCTCATCCTCTGTGAACCTGCTTCCTTCATCCCTCACACTTGTCACTTTCAAATCAATTTGTGGTACCGACACGAGCCGTTTGTTCACACACACACACACACACACACACACACCTTGTGTTTTGCTTTGATCATCAACATCAAACTGCTTCATTGTGCTTTGGTTTGAACATCATAAGCCCACCATCGGGCCACCGTCGGGTTATTTACTGTTCACAAGTGTTCAAAGAAATGATAGATATTTGCTATCTTTTTATTCCAGCATAGTTGAGGCAGTTGATAATGGAAAGGATTGTGACGTTGTGTAACTTGACTTTAGCAAAGCTTTTGATACAGTGCAACATGAAAGACTGATTAAAAAGATAATTAAAAACTGATTAAAAAGAGGCACATGGTATTGGGGTGCTATAAAGTTGGATTAGGGCATGGCTATACCAAAGGAAACAGAGTTAGTATAAATGGGGTTAAGTCAGAGTGGGAAAATGTAAGTGGAGTGCCTCAAGGTTATGTCCTGGGACCTCTGTTGTTTATAATATATAAATGATTAAGATTCAGGTTGGGTAGCAACATTTGCAAATTTGCCGATGATACAAAAATTGATAGGGAAATAAACACGGAAGAAGACTCACTGTCACTTCAAGTCGATCTAAATAGGGTTTTGAAATGCTCAAAAGATTTGCAGATGCAGTTTAATGCTGAAAAATGTAAAGTTTTGAGGCTAGGTAATGATGATAAGAGTTACAAGATACGAGCTAGATGGTGTTGAGATTGCGAAGTCGGATTGCGAAAGGGATCTGGGAGTTATGATTAGTAAAAATTTAAAACCAAAGGATCAATGCATGAATTTTCGTAATAAGGCAAATAGGACACTGGGATTTATTAATCGAAGCGTTAGGAACAAGACACCTGGTGTTGTTCTTCAGCTACATCTTGCTCTGGTTAGGCCCCATTTAGATTATGCAGTTCAGTTTTGGTCGCCGTACTATAGAATGGATATAAATTCAGTTGAACGTGTCCAGCGTAGGATGACAAAGTTAATTCCCTAAATTAGAAACCTGTCATATGAAGAGAGATTAACAAAGCTTAAATTGCATTCACTGGAAAGGCGAAGAGTTAGGGGTGACATGATAGAGCTTTACAAGTGGATGAATGTACATAACAAAGGAGATATTAATAGGGTATTAAAAGTATCAACACAAGACAGAACACGAAACAACGGGTATAAATTGGATAAGTTTAGATTTAGGAATGACTTGGGTAAATACTGGTTCGGTAACGGTTGTTGATTTATGGAACCAATTACCGCGTAACATGGTGGAGGTGGGGTCCCTCAATTGTATCAAGCGTGGGTTGGACATGTATGAGTGGGATTGGGTGGTTATAAATAGGAGCTACCTCGTATGGGCCAATAAGCCTTCTGCAGTTAACTTTGTTCTTATGTTCTTATATCGAATACTGTATCTTTAACAGCAAAGCTGTTACAAGGATTGCATTAAGGGTGCCACATACTATCTGGGGTTAGAGCTTCTTGTTATTCTTATTTCTGATTATTAAAAGGGTTCTAAAATGTGCCTCCAGAGGACCTATATGGCCCAATAACAATAAGCTAGGGACCTTCCTTGCACCACCTAATAAGTCTTAAGTTTCAACCAGATACAAATTCCCATATTACAGAATTTGCCAGAAAAACAAATACTGTACAGCATAATCATTATTATTACAGTACCCTGTTTACCAATTTCTTTGAGTGGAGAGGAATCAAACCAGATAAAAGAAAATGGTACTTGTTAATTCACTATATCATACCTAAATTACCATATACTGTACAGCTAATGGAAAAATAAGCAACACCACACTGTACCAATTTAAAAATAGCTGCCCACCACTTTATAAAATTAAGTGTACTATACTCCTCACTTACAATACTGAACAATCACTCCCACCTGACAAACCTCCGCCACTCAGCCTTGCTTCCAATCATATCCCACTTATTGCCCATTCTTAATCCAAACGTCCTCACACACTAAACATGTCTGGCCATCTCCTTCCCAACTTTCCTTCTCTTCTACTGGCAAGGTCATTTGGTACACTCTTTGCCAGCCTCTTATCTATTTGTTTACAAATGAGCAAACTTAGGTATATTACTCAATCTTGTGATTAACTGAGTTTTGCAAATGTTCATACCTTGCACAAGCTGTTCTCTTAACACCACATATGCCTACAACAGAAATAATAACATGCATGAGTCACTAGGTATTTTTACCAAGAATACCTAATTACCCAAAGATAGATGCACCATTGCCTGTACAGTATAACATTATGCTATTGACCATTATCTGTATGTTTAAATACAGTATCACTCAAGTCAAGCTATAATTTATGAAACTGCTCCACTTCTGTGAAGCTATAATTAATAGCATTTGCAATACTGGTACTGTATAGTTTTCAACTTTGCCCATAATAATAATAGAAAATACTGTATTAAGAACCATGACAAAGAAACAGCAAATCAAGTAATGATAACTTGACTGCATACAGTATGCCTATTTTAGCTTAAACTATAAATAAGCAAATAAACAAAAATAAACTTTTAAATACTAGCATGGTTTTAACATTGCCCTCTTGAATTTTTTTAATCTTAAAACAGGGGTAACATATAAGATGTTATAGTGTACAGTTCTGAAGAACAAAATGTAGGTAGCATAATGAATTTTCATAGTACAGTATAATGAGTTAAGGGTGTGTAAGTCTGGACAAAAAAATATCCACTCACTAGGCCTATATGTCATTATCCCCAATGACTCCAACATTGATCTTAACCACTGAAATGCACATAACATATGATGTTTGATGATGCACATCACATGTGGTGTTTTGGGTACAGTACTTTAAAACAACTGAAACTCATTCTGGTGCCTGTTCCCTATCAGTGTTCAAGACCTCAAGTAAACATCTGCTATCTTGAAGAGTGACACAATTTTGAGACATTGTTGTTATGCTCAAGGTATGTTTTTTTAACAACATAGGTCAAAAACCTTGTTTTTAATAACATTTTTCTGAGCACATACAGATAATGCCTTATGTATATAATCCTTGCACAATGCAAGGATTAATCATTGCACCACACCATTTCAATGAAGATAATTAAAGGAACAGACTTAATGAAGTTAGTGTAACTGGGTGTACATTTGTACACTACAGTTTACAGTACAGTACTGTATTTTAGAAACAGAAAGAGATGGCATTCCTCCCTTTCCTAGACACTAATAACGAGAGATAGTGACGCACTGAAATTCAAAGTCCACTTGAATTCAACCTATAAAACTGACATCGTGAATCTTTATTTGCACCATAAAAACAGAAGGAAATAAAAACAATGCTTGAATTCCTTCTTTGATCTATGATGATTTGTAGCCAATCAGATATCAATCCCAGGGCAAGACAGAAATGGTTGGGCATATTTCCTTTCATCTGATGCCTCTGTTCAAACAGCCATAAACTGGTAATCCAAGAATTAGGCATCTGTTATGGGTTGCATCACGGGAAGAGTCTGTACTTTGACCTTGGGGGATCCTTGATACAAGCCAGAGTACAGGCTTCCTGTCCCTGATCGTGGGAACTAAACAGAATCACACACACAACTCATTGTCCCAATTTGATATGGCACAGTACTGCACACACAATACAGTATTGATTACCAATGCCAATGCAGTCAAGACAAGGATTTCTATAAACAAAATGCAAATAAAAATTTTTGAAGAAAAAACACAGGCTAGCTAACTTATATATTAAATATCATCCACCATTTTTATTGATAATGAAGACATCAAGATAATAGCCAATTAAGTATCTTACTTACATAAACAAATATTTCTGCTGTCTATACCTTATTAGTTGATAAATAATGTTCTTGTTGCAATCTTGACTGTCAATTTCACATGATGTTTCTATGCTTATATCATCAATAATACAGCAGTTTTTTCTGACCATCTATATCTGTCAGTTAACATTTCCAAATGTAATTTTAGTTTTTTCTGACCATCTATATCTGTCAGTTAACATTTCCAAATGTAATTTTAATGTCCTTATCATTCATGCCATTGGTATTTATTATGAAATAAAACATTCTAAATGCCTGATAAAACTCCCTCCTTCCTACCACCCCAAATATTTTAAACACCAATAACCCAAGACGACACTTAATAAAGGTCAACAACCGAGTCTGCCTCAAGCCAGCCGGCTCTCCTAACAAACTCTTACAGTATAACTGTGCTTGTGTTTTTCACAACTTCTTACAATCATGGACAACAATACGGGTTTACAATCAAATCATTTAAATGGAAAGAACTATATCAACCTATAAGATTCTGGCATACCTCCCTGCATGTAAGGCATTCACTAGACGTGACTCACAAAATTATTTATTTAAATATTTATAAGGAAGGATAAAGTGTTTGTACAGGTCTTGGTGTAAATGGTCTTGGTGTAAATGGTACACTTGTGTAATGGCTCTGACTGTACCAAGAAGTGTTTCAAGGAAAAGTCTAAGTGTCTAGCATTGACTATTATTATTCTTCAGTGGTGTAAGTATGGCCTGGCAGGAGCTACCTACTGCTGTGGTATTCATGCCAGGTCACTCCTCTTACACAAGTCGGTGTTGACATATTAACAAGGTTCACATCAAGATATACACACACACACGGCATACACAAGCATGTGTTCACAATGAGTGGAAAACAATAATAATAAGAATCAGGGGAAAGCGCCAAACCATTACGACTATACAGCACTTGGAAAGGGTCAGGATAAGGATTTGGGATGGGACGGTGGGAAAGGAATGGTGCCTAACCACTTATGGACGGTCGGGGATTGAACGCCGACCTGCATGAAGCGAGACCGTCGCTCTACCGTCCAGCCCAAGTGGTTGGGCGAGTGGAAAGCAAACAGGTTGTGGGTGACCGTGTGTGCCAGGGTGCCAGTGACCTCCTCCCCCACACACACGGCACTGCTGCCACGGGTCACACCTCTCGCCTCATGCTCTTTAACTCACAACTTGAGTCCTGTGCAGCACTTGGTAAAGAGGTGGGTGGGCAGAGGCGAGAGTGCCAGGCCTGGCACTGCTTGTGTCACAACCCCACGTGTGCCACAACAACAACAACAACAACCCCCCCACAACCCCACTCACCAGAAGAGAACGTTCACTCCCACCACAGCCACAGCACTCGTTCCTGGCCTCTCCCAGATGAGAATGGACTGTAAAGTAACCATGTACGCCTCCCACGGCCCCAGAACCCTCGTTATTTTCCTCGTCTCGGTTTTCCTGCCGCACTGAGAGGCCGAGGAGTCCGTGGTATCACTTTTAAATGGCCAGAGCCTGAGGAGAGCAGCCTTCCAGGACGCCATGACCGACCTCGGACACGATCACACCAACACTGACTGGGGCTGCGCACATCATGGCATCTCTCACCCACAACGGAAATATCTCACTCCTTCTATTTTACCCTTCTTAAACCTCTTTCATAACCACACTTCTCTACATATTTTTTCCCCCTGTCAGCATTTCTAAATGTTGCATTACCTCTTATGCCATTATTATACTCTATGTAAATCACTAGCTCAATCTTATTTAATACACGGGTATTGTGCCTCTGTATGATATACTCTGTCGCTGAATCGTATTAATTGTGTGATGTAAATGTGATTGAATGATATGTAGGAGCATATATAGGAAAAGGGGGAAAAGAAACAAAGCGAGAATGATTTATGTTTACAAAGTCATTCCTGTCGACCGATCAGCTGACTGAGGGACGAAACACATGATAGAAAACGGTTATATTTGAGAGGATGACTGGCCGATACCAGTGAGCTCACTGGCTGACACTACTGAGCTCACTGGCTGACACGACTGAGCTCACTGGCTGACACCAGTGAGCTCACTGGCTGACACCACTGAGCTCACTGACTGACACCACTGAGCTCACTGGCCGACACCACTGAGCTCACTGGCTGACACCACTGAGCTCACTTGCCGACACCACTGAGCTCACTGGCCGACACCACTGAGCTCACTGGCCAACACCACTGAGCTCACTGGCCGACACCACTGAGCTCACTGGCCGACACCACTGAGCTCACTGGCCGACACCACTGAGCTCACTGGCCGACACCACTGAGCTCACTGGCTGACACCACTGAGCTCACTGGCTGACACCACTGAGCTCACTGGCCGACACCACTGAGCTCACTGGCCGACACCACTGAGCTCACTGGCCGACACCACTGAGCTCACTGGCCGACACCATTGAGCTCACTGGCTGACACCACTGAGCTCACTGGCTGACACCACTGAGCTCACTGTAGAAATCCCTGAGCTCACTGGGTGACACTTTCATCCATCAGTCACCCTTTTACTCTTCAAACTTCTTTATCAGACTTATGTTAAATTCTGAATCCTCAATGACTTAGCTTACCCATTCACGTTTCTTCTACAAGTAGGTTATTACGGCTGTATAATTTGTCATCTATTTTAAATTAATATATGTATATATATTTGACTTCATTTGAAATTTTTAGCAATGTTTTTGACTAATAGTAATTCTGATGACAAAAAATAATAAAAATAATTCACTGTGTTGGGAAACAGGTAGCCAGTGTATATATATACATGTTAGGCTTATACTGAGGTCTCAGATGCAACCCCCACAACAGCTGACAAACTCCTAGGTGAACTTTAGTGCCTAATGTGTGGAAAATCATACACAACTGACATTGCATCTGTTTACTGATTACAAGTATCATATGGTACATATCTAGTTGCTAAAGACTTAAGTTCTGTGAATAATCACTGCTTAACAAAAAATGAAGATGCATTCCTGAAACAACAACAAACATGTTGCCGAGAAGACATTGTCACTGACAAAAAATTATTAAACCTTAATACAGCAATACAATAAAAACCTCTTGGATTGATTTTAATGTATTTTATAGCATAATTGTTTCGTGTTCATATGTACAATATTTAGAAGCTTAGTGACCCAGATTGGCAACGACGTATTCGCTGTTAAAGCTCAGATTCATAAGAACTAAAATTAGATCAGTTCAACACCTCAATACGATACAATGATTGCAGGTCACACACAAGCCATAAAACACACACACACGCAAGAGCCATGTACGGTATCCTCAAGTTAATGTAGATCGGATATTTTCAACATTAACTTAACTACCTTACAACCTTTTAATATTATAAGATTTAAATTCATAGATTGGTTCAATAATATAATAATCAGCCCCTACCTGTAACTCAACCATGTACAATGTAGTATGCATAGTTACATATGTGCATATGTACCATATGAATAAAAAAAAAATCAGAGGCAAAAATGCATATCCATTATGCAATAAAAGAACAATGGTTAGGAATTCATGCTATTATACATATTTCAGAGCTTTGCATACATTTATGCCTTTTTTATACATTAAACAATGCTGTGAATGGTACATTTGTTTTTATAGAGCATTTTAGGGTGTGAAAATACTGTACTGTACTTGCAAAATTATAAGTTTACTTGGAAATAAAACGTTTAAAAGCAAATATAGTTTGAAAAAAAAATAAAAAGTCCTCATACAGCATTTCCCAAACAAATTTGTTAAAGAGCAGACATAATAATCACTTCACTAGTTTCCCAAAGGCAATGTGGTATGATATCTCCTAAACAGACTCATGTGCTTTGCCAATATTACAAATGTCAAAGGTAATAAATAAACTAAAGAATACATAAACACTATAGGGTGCAGCATACATACCCTGTACTTGAAATGACTGGCTGCATCAATTAAAAAGAAAAACTATAGACATTCTTGCTATCAAATCTGCTTCCAAATATGTTAAACACTGTCAGGTACCTAATATTCTTTAGATCCATAATTATCTTTAAAATGATATACATTATACCCAAGAAAAATTAATTGCAATACAACACACATTTTGTTCATAAAGACAATGGGTCTACCTTGTGTTGTAGACAAGTAAATGTTTGGTTATATTGTGATAATGTTTTTCCTCCAGAAGTCATCTTCATATACCAGTCAATGTACAATTTTTTTTTAATTACAGACATGTAAATTTTGTTTATTCACTTGATTCTTTTAATATATGGACAGTATTTGGTTTAGCTGGTCAATTCCTAATACAATCTAGTATGGTTAAACAAAAGTAAGTAATTATCAAAAGAAGGCACCAAACCGGGAAGGCTATGTAGCACCATCAAATACGCAAAATAATCAGAGGGCGCTAAATATCACCAAGGATGCCAATACGAGAACAAAAACCCATAAGGCAAACGATATCAAAAGTATCCGAGTCACCAAGTGGTTAAACAAAAATTCTCAAAGGGTTTACAAGAATGTCTGGATCTTAAATTTATTGTCTCCACATCTCACCACAGCATTACCGAGTTTTGATCATTGCCAGTACAGTATTATTCCACACTTTACAGACAATCACAAGCACTGAATACATTGCTAATATTAAATTAATTATATGAGGGCAAATTCTTGCCATAAAACATAATGCACCATTTGCTTCATAAATAAATTAGTAAAATTACTACCGTACTTAAATAATGTAAATAAATAGTAAATGATTAACTATTCAATATGATCCGAATAAACTTTCTTGCCTCAGATTTGTTTACATTTAAAGATAATTTCACTAAATCACACTACTGTATATTCATTTACATAATTACAAAATTACAAATGTATCAATTAAAAATAGCTCTAAATAACCAAATTTTACTGTATCCATAACCCACTTTCTCACTAAATGCAGTTGCACCATAGTTTAATCTCATGTCACCACCAATTACATTGTATCCAGACTGAGGAACATACTGAAATCTTTGCTGCCTTGCGTCATGGATCATTTATAGCCTACAGTATTACAATTCCTCATTCCACTGCATGCCAAAATGCTGAAAATGTTCACGATGTTAAATTAGGTTACCGAGTACTGAATTAAGATTGAACAGACTACAGTATAGTACAGTACAGGGTATATTGCAATAGTAATCAAGCAAATTTTAGCATACATGAGAACTGATCCTTACAATAAGTTTAATCCTATATTATCATTTAAAGGCTTCCAAGTATCATACCATCAAGTATCCTCTTAATGCACATAACTAAGTTCTATTTTAAATACTAGAAACTTCTGTAGCACCTGAACTTGGTCCAAATAGGCCCTCCATTGCAACCTCCACCACATTATTGTAAGCTCCTACTACAGTAGCCCAACCACTTGGATGGACGGATGCAAAATAATAGGCTATAGACCTCGATGGTAGAACGACGGTCTTGCTTCATGCAGATCGGCATTCAATCCTCAACCGTCCAAGTGGTTGGGCACCATTCCTTCCTTCCATCCCATCCCAAATCGTTATCTTGATCCCTTCCAAGTGCTATATAGTCGTAATGGTTCGGTGCTTCCCCCTGATAATTCCCTTTCCTTCCTACAGTATATACCATTGGTATATACTGTATATAGTATAATGGTATATACTGTACATAGTACAGTATATACCATTGGTATGTCATGCAAGTAAACCAGAATCGAAAGATTACAATCATGAAAATTTTGAGGATCACTTCTTCTGATAAAACTATAATAAAAGTACTGTAATCCTTTATCTTTTCTAACAATTATGGCCTGTTTTATCAAAACAAGTAGTTTGTCTGTATAAATTTATGTCTAATCTCAATAAACAGCTTTCATAATTGGGTTAAAGGAATAATTACCGGCAAGCAATGCGCAAGTTTTATCAAGCAGAGCACCAAATTGGTATGACTTTTGAACAATGTAATTTCTCTACATGTATTATGGATGTTTGCTCAATTAACAAAGCAGCTAGCATCACTATTAAATTGCACTTTTTAGGAACAATTATAAATATCACTGCCATAAAAATATATGTAGAATTATGCACTTTTTATCATATTACAAGTACAACTGCAATCGCTACAACAATAATTACAGGCATAATAAATTTCTTCAACTACAGGATATTTAAAGCTAAATATTTATTACATTATACCAGTATACATGAAAATTTGATATGCATTTATTATAAAGTATCATGTTAACCATCACATAAAATAAGTAACTATGGACAGTTACAGCCATTTTTAAAACTAATATTTTAAAAAGCAACAACAGTCTAACTATAACTATGACCTTTTGTGTGACCAAAGAGGGTCCAGGCCACTAAATGGATCAGCTGGATCATCAGTCTTTTTCAAAGCCCCGCTTGGATTTTCAAAGCTATCTTTCGTAATCTTATTTGGCTTTCCTGGTATCGGAGGGTCCAGTTTAAATTGCTGTGGATCTAAACTAGCTGCTAGACTTGGAGGAAGAGACGAAAAATTGGCATCTAAAATTCCACTACCTGTACTCTTAGCTGGTTGATTACTAGAATTAATGTCCAAGGCACTGCCACCAGAACTACCTACACTGCCATCTGCCTCAACTTCACCACCACCACCACCACTGGAGACCCCTGATGGAGCTATCAAAGCTACAGTTTCTTTATCCTGGTCTTTCTGTACATCCTTCAACTGTTCCACACTAGTAGAGGAGCCATTACTGAGCAGGGACGCAGCAGAATTGCTGCGTGAATGCTCATCTTCACTTCCGAATCTGCCACCTTCCTGATCTGTTGGATGAAGTGGCATGGATTACCATTAAACTGGAAAAAAATTAATTTATATTCAATATTAAATATTTAGCATTTTGAATTGCACTCCAATTTATTGTACATACAATAAATTTGGGTGCACTTACAAAGTTCACCCAGAGTTGACCAAGTTTTGCAGTTTTGAATCAGGAAAACAAAAAAAGTCACCAAGCCTAGAAGACTATTTAGTACCATCTGTGGCATAGAGCAATCAAAATTCCTTATAGATTTATTGGGTTATTGAAAATGCCATGACTCCTTATGATGAAATTATCTTGTACAAGCAACAACTAGCATGCATGCATATACATTAAATAAATAAATTATATATACATGTATGTATGTATGTTGTTGAATATGATCAAAAGGGCAAGATTAATAATTCAAACATGAATCTTTTCAATATTTCTTACGTTCTTCTTCACTGTCGAGGGTAACTGATAGATTAGCTCTCCAAAATTCATTCTTTATTTCTGGTCTGACGCCTGAACGCATTTCGTAATACTTATTACATTTTCAAAAACTTAGTTTACACGTAAAATACAACATACTTATACTCATTTTGGGTGAGGTTTATATTTATTTATTTATATATTATATAAATTATATTTATTTTTTTGTATATTTATTTATTTATTCCAAATAGTGTGGTAGACATATGAAATAGATTAAATGATAATGCAAAGAATACCATCACCACTGGAAGCTTCAAATTTATATATGACGAGTATATGGAAGATAAGGCAAGTTTAAATCTCATCCTGTAAATGCACTTGGGCAATTACACACAACATACTAATATTAAACCATTAATATAAATTTTTTACTTATATTTGTCATTCATACGAAATAAGTTCTAAAGTTTGGCATAGGCCACCAGGCTGCACATCAAGGTGAAGCTAATATAAATTAAAGCCTTACACAGTATAATTAGTAATAATTTAGCGTACCGTACTACTAAACGCAAGCATACTAAAGCATACCTAGACCGAGCTTGCTCTTAAGCCGTGACAAGTCGTACGAGGAGAGCAGATCAGCCGACGGGTGCCGCACGTGGGTCTTTTCTCGTGGACCTTCCTCAAATGTGGCCTTATTGGTCAGGATTCCCCCTACAAATGAGAATACTTCTATCTAGTTGCTTACAAGGAAACTACATCTAATAAATACAAACCTTTTTCCTATACTGTATCATACTTGATAAATCCCACAAAATTCTATACATTTAGCACAGTATACTCTGTCTCACTGACTAGTAATGATAAGTACAATCTCCTACAGGCCTTCCTAGCATACATCCTCCTCTCTCTGTAGGAACCCTGCATTACTGCTAACACCCTCATCTTCACCCTATACACTAAGAGTGCATGTCCCATCCCTCTGTATCATTTTTAATAACCTCTCAAATTTCTAATACATTACCTGCACAATCAAATTAACAACTACAAAATTGGCAAACCAGCATGCACCAAACTTCTAGTGGCAAGGAAACAAAAACAGGGAAATTTTACAGGTTCAAGCAGAATACTATACAGTTCTATTCTTCTAGCTTACAATGCAATGGCCTTACTGAAACAGATGAAATAAAATGCAAACATTTTAATTATGTTATGTTTTGGAATCAACATACAATTAAATCAACTCAATCTCCTTTTAAGCTTGAAGGAAAGTAAAAAAATTTGAATGTGTTTTACTATGTAGTAAATTTGAATACCGTCAAGCATCCATTATCTGAAAACTTGTAGTTCAAAATCACTCGATCTGAAAAGATTAAAAAATGCCATTGTCGATCTCAAATCCGATAATGAACCTTATACTTAAAATGACTGGTTAGTTTTCGGAGTCAAGGAGGGAGTCATTTTCTATCAGCCTCTGCTTTTCTCTCTGTTGATTCAGAGTAACTCAGACCATTTGCTTGGCATTTTTTAATGATGTTTTAGCTCTCCTAATATTTTTTCCATGAGATCCTTAATCAAAGACTATAGAGAACTTTTTGTTCAAAATATAAACCAAAGATAACGACTGGCTGAGCATATAGGCCTATACTCATCTCATTCACTAATTATAAACAATGTAACATGGAAGCATAAATAAAATACAAGAATTAGTTGAACTACTACACAGCCCTGACTGATACCACTTGGTAAATAAATCAATATTAATAAACCAATAATCATTATACAGTTGGCAAGTCATGATGAAATTCTTCCAGATTTCTGCAATGGTATATAATCACATTTCCATCACTAATCTTCCATACTGTGTAGTCATACTTCAAAAAGATTTAAGGTGCTCATGAATGTTATATATATATGGTTAATGGCAAGTACTGTACATACGTTTCATAAGCACATCTTGGGCATAATAGAGAGCTGCCGAGAAGAGAAAATGGAGATGCTCCTTATCTTGGACTCCACCCCGTCGCTGTCTGCTCAGCTCCACCACCAGTGATGTCAAGTCCAGCAAGTTGCCACCTGTAATATATCTTATAATTGAAACAAAAATGTATGAAGATAAAATCACAATTGCGTGATGCATCAAATGAACAAATGTTTGTCGTAGCTCAGTCGATTAAGGCAGCGTCTGGGATGCTCTCGGACGCAGGTTCGAATCCTCGTCACGGCCCTTGTGGATTTGTTCGTCTGAAGATAAATACCTCAACAGGGATATAGCAGCCTGAGTAAGGAGGATAAAGATTTACTAAACTGTACTGAGGAATTAAAAATAAAATTTGTGACAAAATTGTTTGATGCAGGTACTGCCTCACTACTCCAACAGAAATTTCCATGGTCAACTACCAGGATCTGCCATGTCACACTGCCCTATCAATTGTCTCTTTCCATACAAAGCTTGTGTGCCTTGTCAGTAAGCATGTACTGTACTGTATATAGGTCAGAAGCAAGCTGTACATATAAGGATGGAAATGTATTCATTCATATATTTGTTAGAATTTAATTTTATCCAATTTTCAAATGCCAATTGTGTATGGCAACTTAAATCAAGATAATTTCTAGAGTTTAACAGGCAGCCTACCTTACTTCTTAAACTCAAGCTCAATATATATGTATATAAAGGAATTTCCTTTTCAGTACTACTCACTGGAATGAATTTCTTTCATGAAAGCTGAAAGAACTGTAAGAACCCCAGATCTGCCCAGGCCTGGAACACAGTGAATCAGAATAGGTCGAAGCTTATTTCTCTGCTGCCGCTGAAATGTATGAACTTCGACCAGAAACTGTAGTAATAAGCTTGGATTTTCTGGCATGGCACTGTGGAAGTGTAACAATATTTAAAGTAAATGAATGGGAGCCATACTAAAAATGTGAAAACATGACTCGAATGAAGAGATTGGAACATTTAATGCGAAACAAATTGCAAAGTAGCTAAAGGATGAACATTCATAACACTCCAAAAACAGGTACAGTAGTATAATGCAATACTTTATGTTAATTAGAATATACTATACCTTGAAACAAACATGCTTTAGAGAAACTCTAAATTAAGAAGATCTATTCATTTTATGTGACACTTCGCCTGTTAGGGATTTCCACAATATAACAGCAATACACAGGATATGTGCTTATATAGGGAATTTTTTATATACAAATAGTTAACTTTTATCTTGGCATTTCTGTATATCATTGTTGGTACGTTGTGCTCTGTTTAATATTATTAAAGTGAATGATTAATGGAAATATTAAAATGTATGGAGGTTGAGGAGGATAACCAAGTACTCATTGGCATCTAAATATAATACATATACCTTAATGACATAGCAGCATCCACTCTCTCTCTTCTCACCTGGGAGGCCATCCTAAGAACTGAAGATGAATAATCACGCGAGTTACTTTGGAAGTGCGTTGTGTAACATGAAGGACGCGCTGTAATGAAACTGGAGAGCCAGCCTGACGACAACTATGCAGCACAACAATGAAATGGCCATAGTCTACACTGGAGGCTGTCTCACTTGGCAGATAAACTTGGCCTTTTACCTACCAAATTGAGTGTTCGTGTCAGCAAAATATAGGTATAATGCTTTTATGATATTCATTTGACAAAACATGTAGACAATATTAAACACAAGTTCTTTGATTAACACATTTATTTTTTTATAATTTGTCCAAAATAAAGTAGCTCTTAAAAATTGTGCCTGCCAGCTACCATTTATCTACTCTATGTAACTAGCCCAGTACTATAAACTAACTAAATTAGCCCCTCCCAAAGTCTGCCTTTGGGAGGGGCATTACCTTAATATACATAGCATAAACAATGGTTAAGTCTTACCTCTGCATCTGAGTTGAGGCAAACAATGATTTCTACTTGCTGCTCCCAGACCATTGTCCAAAAGTCAACACACGTGGCTGACATTGGTGCCTGCGTGAGGATCAGAGGAAAGCTCTCCTCCGTTGACTTCAGCTAAACCAAACGAGGTTACATCAGTCATAACGTGAACAGTATTTTATGACTACATTAATATGTTGAATTGACTTAGAAAAAGAAATTAGCTTTATCAATATATTAACTATTTCTACCAAGTTCTATCCTGCTGTCTGCCACATACTTATTCCTAGCACTCATACCTATGACCTTCAATTATATTATTATTCACATTTTATTTTCTGTTCTATTCTCTTACTCCATAATGTTTACATGTGGCAGCGCACATCTCTGCTGCACCCTAATATTCAGTGACAGTGTTTCCTGCATTACCCCATCAACTCTGTAACAGCATTACTTGCAATACAGCACTCATTAGACTTCTTGAAAATATACTTAGAATCTTCCAAGTATTGCATCAACACTGCTTTTAAAATAAAACAATGTTCAGATAAACACCATCCAGAAGGTATTTCTCATATCACTTTCATTTTAACAGGAGACCACTTCAATAAACTTAAAACTTCAAATTCATTAACGGATCTTAATTTAATTTTTTTATCTTTTTTCATCACCTTAGTGCTTGTGCTGTCACTCATTTCACTCAAAAAGACATTTGCAACTAAGTAACACTTGATATTAATGAAGTTTTGGTGCAGTAGTGAGTGGTGTATGCAACCTTACAATCATATTTTTAAACACAATGGGTCAAGACTTGTCTGTCCTTTACTAGTCATAACTCTCACTTTTTAACATGAAATATGAAGCAGAAGAGCTTCTTTGAACCGACATACACAGATTCATGATATACAAATCTACTTTATAAGCTCCACAAGAACAAATATACAGCACTGCATTATCTCTATATGGATTAAAAACATGGATTACATGTTTTTAATCTCACCTGCATGTTCATATTAGGGTTAGAATGGCAGTTTCAATGTTTTAAAAACCAAACAACTGTAATTTATTTAGGATAAGCAAATAATATGTTTTATCATTACAAGAAAAAAGTGTTTATTGTATTGAATTAAGACAATTAATATTTTGCTAAATTGAAACTTGACCCATGGAATGAAGTTATTTCATGTTAATAAATGCATGAGCACCTCGGTGCGTTAGATTCAAGCGAGCGACATTAGAGGACATGCAAACTAACCTGAACAAAAGAGGCATTGATGTAGTCGTCTCTAGCAGATGGAAGCGTTACTCTAGTGTGGTCGTATGGAAGGATATCTGCAAATCTATTCTTCAAAGGGTAGCACCGAGCAACCGATACTTTCAGTTCTCCGCATTCCTTCTCCTGGAATATTGTAAATGTAAAGAGGTTTTCTAAATTTGAAAATTAATTTTCAATGTTAAATGAACTTTCCATTCCCCCCTTCCCCCCCCCCCCCTTTTTAAATAGTTTAATAAATAGCTTCTGGAGTTCAATTAAAAGTGTAAGGAAATGAACTTAAGGATGTGGGAATAGGAGGCCAGAAGGCAGCAGCTAAGGTAAGTAAAAGAGGGCCTTGGGAGTAGATATAATATTAGCATTAATGCCAGAGGCACATATATATAAAGATAACATCAGCTGCCATACTAACCACTACTTCCACAAGCTCCTTCCATTTTAGTTCCAAGTTTGTTGGTCCATTTAGAGACTTTCGATCCAGACCTTCAACAATCTTGCTCAATCGTTCTGTTTCATCAGCTAGCTTCTGAAGCTTTTCATCATCAGATAGTGGATCCACTACTGTTGGCTTTCGATTCTGAAAGAAAACAAATGTCTACATCCTGTTTTTCCCTTGTTACATAAAGATTTTTCTATTGTCATATTTTCTTTAATATTCAATTTTATAACTGTATTCTTCTCATGCAATTCAGTACAATCAATTACACGTCTTTTCAGCTTTAAACCCATTGCCTGAAAATGAATGTTAAATTAGCTTACAATGCTTGAAGTTAAATTCCTTATGTTGTAATTACAACAAAAGATTTGAATATTTGTTGTCATAAATCATAAATCATAGATAATAATCATACGATGCGACCTACAAACATCCAGAACACCTAACCCACCACATTCATCACTGGAGTCGCAGTAAACTGCATTTAGAGAATTCATACTACAGTACCTATGTCTCAATAACCTAGCTGATCAGAAATTATAATGCAGAGATAGTGATCATGCATTGTGCCCATTAAATGTGGGATTTTTTGTTGCTACTCATCCAAGATTAAATTGGTTACCAAATACTGTACCCACATCATGTATGATTGTGCCTCTAATGCTGTGTTAATGCTGTATTGATGATTCACTTCAGCACAATCCTTAATATTTTGCAATACCCGCAGCACTTCAAAAAAGCTTCGTCTCCTGGTTGATACCTGGTTACCTGGTTGATGGGGTTCTGAGAGTTCTTCTACTCCCCAAGCCTGGCCCGAGGCCAGGCTTGACTTGTGAGAGTTTGGTCCACCAGGCTGTTGCTTGGAGCGGCCCGCAGGCCCACATACCCACCACAGCTCGGTTGGTCCGGCACTCCTTGAAGGAAACAATCTAGTTTCCTCTTGAAGCTGAAGATTTATTGTTTGAGTCTCAACAACCTTGTCAGTGTACTGTAGTTTGTACACCAGGCATGAAGTCTCTCTAGCTGAAAAGCTGGATATGGATTACATGTTTTTAATCCAACCTGCATGTTCATATTAGGGTTAGAATGGCAGTTTACATAGCTATCATATAGGAATATCAAGTCAAATATCCTATTTACCAGAATATTCTAACTTTCAACCACCAAATCCATGGGTAACTATACTGACAAGTGAAAGGCCTCACAATCAAGATTATGGACTGAGGTTTCCCATGCCAGAGATAATTGTTCATTATAAGAATATGTGCAGCATTAAAATCATTATTAATTTTCAGTGACCTAAAATTTGTATGCTTATTCACCATCCTCAAAGTTCTCCATTTTCCTAAATGCCACCAGGTTCATTTATTCATGATCTTTTATTATTCACCTCAACACACATTCATGATAAACAATACTCGTTGAACCTTTCATTAAAATCTTTTACAGTTGCCACCACTAAGTCAATCTCCTTTTCACTTGTCCTTAAACTCATCTAAACAGTTTCCAGCTTCTTTATCAGCATTGATTCTATCTTTTCTTCTTTAACTCCTTTTCTTTCGATGTAATTATTTTCCTTCAATATTCTGTCAAAAATACTACAGCTTGCTAATGATTCATTTGTAGCAAATGTCAAACACACATTTGACAATTTTAATTATTTAACATGTTTAAATATACTGCTGGTGCTTGCAGGAAACTCCTCAGGTCCCGAGCTCTGTCTTTTAGTAAACAGTTGCCTATTGCAAGGCCTTCTGACTCCTCTTCCTTATTTCCCTTTTTAACTTTTTCCACTTGCTTATAACTTACACTGAAGAAGTGCTTTCTTACATCCATTTGGCTCATCCAAGCTTCTATTTTCCAGCCATGTCCTCTTGTCCTATTCCTGTCCAACATTTTGGTCCTCTCGACTTTGTTAATATCTTTGTGTTGTGTCCAAGGTGTGAATGTGCAAATTTGGGCTTTAGCTCGCGTATAAATAAAGAGTAAAACTCAAGACAAGTAGTATCTTTGAACGACGAGTCAAACCAAGTTATAACTGATGATAAAAAGGCAGCCGACACTGGATGAATACTTTATGTGAACACTGACGTAAGATAGACATCCGAATACCAACAAATATTTCAAGTAGACGAAAATGTGTAAAGCGACATGTCCATTACATTCAAAATAATTAGGAAGAGCATCAACAAATTGAAGGAATAAGAAGTTCCAGGTGTAGCTGGAATAAAACCCAAAATTATAAAAGGAACTGGCCGATAAAGTGTGTATGACTAGAAAGTCCCTATTGACTGGAAATGTGCAAATACTGTACCCATATCTTCAAGAAAGGCAGGCAAAACTAGTCAGAAAACTACAGATCAACCAACCTACCCTCATATGTGTAAGCTCAGGGAGAAGCTCCTAAGGGAGGATACCTTTCACCATCTAGCAATGCACAATTTTGTAAAAGCAACAACAGGATTGTCAAAAATAAATCGTCCCTAACTAAACTGCTCACATTTTTGGAAACAGTAACAAACTACACAAAGGACTCCCAATATATGTAGTATTGTGTATGTGGTCTTCCCGGTAGCTTTTGATATGGTGCAACATGAAAAAAAGCAGAGTTGTCCTAAATTAAAATGAATCTGACTGGAAAAGTGTTGCAGTTGAGTGAAGTACCACAAGATTGCCTCTTGAGGCCAACCCTTAATGTAAAATAAATCAACGACATATGAGAAAACACAAATGCCATCAAATTTGCAAGCGATTCAAAGATCTATGGCAAGTTGAAAAGCAAAATGATATTGAAACCTTGCAAAGTGATCTATATGAGCCTAATCATTAGGAGACTAGTAAATGCTTTTCAATATTGTAAATGCAAGACATTGTATATAAGCAAGTCATAAATAACTACTGTAACAACAACATGACCACGCAACAGATTGATAAAGAAAGTGGCCTAGGAGTTATGAACTAGGACATACTCTAACTGCTTTGGAAAGTTAACAATGACAAATCCTCCCAGATCCAAGTCAATTCTCTCACAGGAAAGACTGAGCATCTCAGAACTAACAACACTACAAACCAGACATGACAGTGATCACATCAAGACCTTTAAAATATTGAAGATATTTATCTAAATTTGTTAAAATGTTTAATGTAACACACACAAGGGACATCAACGCCAGGTTAAACAAAATACAATATATGACAGTAAAACAGGAGATGCTTTTTCATCCATAACGCAATAAATCCATAGAAAAGCCTACCAGCTTAAATAGTAAAGGTGAAAACATTATTCCAGTTCAAAAATTTGACAAGAAAATATCCTAAGGAATAATGGCCAGAAAAGCCATCTTTGAGAAGTAGATGGCTTCTCAAAGCAGCAGCAGTGGAAGCAGATGCAGTGGTATCTGCTTCCTGTTCCACTGAGGCCACTGCAGAGGGTGGTTCTCAGGTAAATTCAGGTACAACATAAAATGTAAATAATACATGACTGTACTGTGCCATTGCATTATATTCTACCTAATTATTTTGTTAAGCGTTTATTCTTAGCTATCTTCTTCTTGAGGTTATCTTGAGATGATTTCGGGGCTTTTTTAGTGTCCCTGCGGCCTGGTCCTCGACCAGGCCTCCACCCCCAGGAAGCAGCCCGTGGCAGCCGACTAACACCCAGGTACCTATTTTACTGCTAGGTAACAGGGGCATAGGGTGAAAGAAACTCTGCCCATTGTTTCTCGCCGGCGCCCGGGATCGAACCCGGGACCACAGGATCACAAGTCCAGTGTGCTGTCCGCTCGGCCAACCGGCACCTAGCTAGGTGCCTTATTAATTATATTTTACACAACAAAAGACCAGTGACAGCTGTGCAGTGTATTGCATCATAATAATGATGTAACCCTTGAATTTCAATACTGGTACAATTACTAGATTCTTAGTTCCTATTAATTTGTTTAAAATACACATTTTTTTATATATTTGACAGAGAATTCTAAGATACAATTAATTAAATTATATAAATCTTGCAGAGCAGATGTTACACCCAGTGACAAATGGGCTTTGGGCACTAGACATACGCTAAACCTGTATCCAGAATTGATGCCCTGGGACCATAAGTGTATCCATGCATATTTAATTGTTCCAGTACTGCCAGTACTTCATTTTATTAAACTATCCCTCAACCATTGTATCTAGCAGCACAATTTTGTTAATATTGCAGTGGAAGGAAAGGATTCGTTAACTGTTCACTAAACACTAAGCACAAGATTCACTAAGCAGATTTACTAAACGAGATATGAACACAAATGCTAGAACAACATCGAGATTCTTGCAAATGCCGTTGCATAAAATATCTACGTCAAGAAATAAAATAAATGTTTTATTTAAGTATAAAGTTCAGCATTTGCACACGACAGTACTGTACTACCTTGGCCAGAACAGCGAGATCAAGGATGCTGGAGGAGACCGTGGCCGAGGTGTTCGTTGCAGTGTTTAAGGCAGCAGTGTTCTGCAAGGACATGTATCTCACTTAATCACAAATACTTGTCTATTTTATAAAAGCTGCAAGGTGAAGAGCAGGACCAAGTTTTTAAAGCTGCTTCAAAAATTGTGTGACAGTACAACTTCGACAAGAATATACAGAAAATCACTGGGAAATATAAAGGATAAAGGATGACATTTCCCAAGAAATTGAAGACTAAAGATATACTATATACCTGTAGTCCGTTTGCTACACGAGTGCAAATACAGTATTAATAGGCAGAGTATCAATCGCTAACTATGCTAATTAATAACTAACCACATGCAGTAATACATAACACAGAATTTAAATTAAAGTTTATCACATATTGAAGAGCTACAATACTGCATAGTGAAACAAATTTATATTGTATTAGGGATTCAGTTTTGCAAAAGAAACAGTTGCTTCTCAAATGGAATGATTAGCCCTGGACAATTGGTGCATCTGAATTTTCTGTTGCATCAGATTTTAAACACCTGTGACAAAAACTTATGTACACGGTTTTCATTAGCCCAATGGTTAGATTAAATGTGTGCATCCAGTAGTTTGATATAAAAATTACATGGACAAAAGTAAATTTATCAGAATTTAAAATTAAATAACATTTATTTTTGTTTATTGGCAATACAAAGGTGTTAATAGAATTACAGTGCAATATAACTATGTGCTGCAGCAGACTGTGACTACATCAGAATCATTCTGTATCCAATTTTTCTGCTCCAGTGGGATTCTACTGTACTGTATATATACAGCAAATACAACCGACTTGATAATTTCTTTCTTAAATCAAATTAAACTAGGCATGTTTAAATCACAGCTAATTATGGAAGCTATTTCTACCCCCTACTCCCAGCACACTTCACAGTACACATACTTGGAGAGGGTTTCAGTTCTCTTACTCCCCGAGCCTGGCCCAGGGCCAGGCTCGACTTGTGATAACTTCATCCAACAGGGTGTTGGTTGGAGCGGCAGGCAGGCCCACATAACCACCACAGCCTAATTGGTCTGGCACTTCTTGCAAGAACCTGTCCAAGTGCCTCTTGAATACATCTACCTTCGTTCCGGCAATATTTCTAATGCTTGCTGGGAAGGTGCTGAACAGCCGTGGACCCCTGATGTTCAGTGTTCTCTGGTTGTGCCTATGGCACCTCTACTCCTCATTGGTCCTATTCTGCATTTGCTTCTGTACCTTTTGCTCAAGTATGCTATTCTACTGTGCAAATTTGGGACCTGGCCCTCCAGTATCTTCCATGTATATATTATTTGATACCTTACTATCTCTTAAAAATTGCTTCCCCCCTACTCCAACACCTCTGTATATGTATATTAAATATAGAAGGCCTTTTGAGGCTACATAAATAGTAAACATGGACTATCAAGAAATTAAGTGTAGATGTTGGCAAGGTAGGTATATACGATGTGTATATATATATATATATATTACAGTATATATAATACATCTCCACACACACACTGTAGATGTACTACGAATGTATACTTGTTACTGAATACCCAATGTATAGTTTTTTATAAACATTATACTGTCAGTATTGTGGGTGGGTATGAAGGTGGTAGGCAGTGTTGCAGGAATATAAGGGTCCTACCATCCTGTGGTAGTGTGTCATCCTACCATCCTAGGGCAGGATGTGGCTACCACGACACAATCACGTCTTTCAAACCATATATGCTGACCCAGCTCGACCTCAAATTTATCACAAGCATTTGTATATATATTTTATCCTCAATTATCAGTTTTTCTCTACTGTTTTGTCCATTATTCCTCCCAATCACACCTGGCAATTTTCACCTGGTATATACAGTCAGCCGAGAACATCTGTAGTCTAACCACACACGTTTTTTCCTTCTATAAAGTATAAAGATGATTTATAAACTGCCTAACTAAATAAAATTTAAGAATTTTATAAAATCTGCCAACTATTTCTGGGGTAGCACAAGAGCCAATGCAGAGAATTGTGGCTCTGAGAGTAATTATAAACAACTCGCACAAGTTAAACCATTAAATGACTTCTCATGCAAATCAGATTGAAAGCAAAAACTAATTTATTTTTAAAACAATTTATTGATGTCTTAAAAAAAAAAAAAGTTACTTGATTCCAGACAGTATTATATTGTGTGTTAAACAAAGATACTGAATATTCTATCAAGTGAGATCGTGTGTAAAAATTATACAGTTAAATTAGTACTGAATGCAGGTGAAAAAATACAAGTTTTTTGGGGACAAAAATACAATGTAATGCACACAGAAAGCTTCTGATCATAAAATGTCAAAAATCCAATCTTAAGATGCATCATACCCTTATCTTTAACTCAAAAGCTTTAATGCTACATTACAACTGGCCTAATTTCAATGTAAAACCAATACCCATAACATTCCATACATATTGAAAGGTAATTCAAACCCCACTATAAACCCTTGAGAACATGTGCATACAATATGTAACTGGCACTGAAGGTAAGCCTACAGTGGCCAGACACTACCCAACCTGCTCAAGAGGAATATGGTGGGTATGGGCAAGTCGACACCTCGAAGGAGTCTTAACAACCAAGAGGAAATCTAGCTTGAGATATAATTTGTGTGCTTACAATTTCTTAAAATATTTTGCTGCTTGAAAAATTAAGAGTAAAACATGAATAGAAAAGAGAAATTGTGTGAAATAACCGAGTGGAAATTCAGATCTATGGCCACTTGACTATGAAGCCTCCACCCGTCACATAATTGTGAGACGGGAGAAAGGAATGCTCTCAAGAGAAATCACAAGGGAACACTGCTAGAATATGCAAGATTGGTTGGTTAGTTTGATAAGATTTAGGCACAAAGACTAATGCTAAAGATAAATATAGGTATATATTTACCAATTACTAAATGAAAGAACCACAAGAATAAATCTTATGGTAAATAAGTTATTAAAACAGGTGATCCAACTGTTTTGGTAAAAACATTTTCTTTTAATTTTAATGATGCAAGTACATAGGGACTACTGTAAATACATCTGTGTTGCTCATAATTACTTCCCATTTAAAATCCAGCACGTATGTGCAAGTATGTATTATTGATACAAAGGTAGACAGGAGATAATGGATTGGCCGACGTGTACGGCCTAACTGGGTACGAGACTGGCAAATATCGCCAGTACAATGGCAGTCATTGGGAGTATATAACAATTTAGTTATTTTTTCTATTAAAAAATGTAAATGAGACAGCAAGATAAAAAATGTTAGGGCAAGAATATATTTTTTAAATGAAAATGGAAGTAGGATAAGCACTGTACTATGGTAAATACTATAAAATAAATGAAGTAATCCTAAATATTTATCCAAGATTTCATAACCCAGCGAGCATCGTTAACGTTACCTACTGTTAGGCTTTCTACATCAATAGGGCAAGCTGAACAAGGAAGTGTGAGCTACATTTGCAGACTCCAATAGCACATCTTTTGGTATAATTATCATAACCATGAATAAATTTTTAAATCAAACTGACTAACTGACGAAACGTCTGATTAAATTGAAAGTCTTCTACACAAAAATTAAAACTAAACTGCTATTCCAACCATATTCAAAATAAAATCAGCATTAACCAAGGTCTTATTGTATTAATATATTAACCAATTCTTATTAAGTAACGGCAGTTTTGAAAACCTACAGATTTAACTTTACCACAAGTTAAAAAAAAAAATTTAATACAAGTTTTAATCTAGAAGACTTACACTTGACACAACGTTGGGCAAGTTGCCTCCAGTGACTGGTGTTATCTGGCTGGTTGCAGCGGCAGTAGAGGTGATGTCAGGAGCAGCACCCGACTGAGCCGAGGATCCCCCACCGCTACTTGTCGACTCCGACGATTGTCTTGTGCCTGCTGGTTGCGGAGTTAGAGGTGACCACTGGGATGTTGGAGGAGATGTTAACTCTATACCAGATAAGAGGTCCAAATTGGAGATGCCAGTAGTCACAGATGACACAGAGGCCCCTGTTGACACACTTGATGCGTTTGCTCCCTGCTTACTCAGTGCCTGTAATGGCTGGGGCTGCAGAGGCTGTTGCGGTGGTTGAGGTGGTTGTGGTTGCAGAGGCTGTTGTGGTGGTTGAGGTGGTTGTGGCTTCAGAGGCTGTTGTGGTGGTTGAGGAGGTTGTGGCTGCAGAGGATGCTGTGTTTGCCGAGGATGAAGCTGCTGCTGAGGATACTGTTGTAATGATGGTGAAGGATTCTGTTGTGGATGTTGATACTGTTGTTGATCACCATACTGAGCCCACATCATTGACTGATTATAACTTTGGTTGAACTCCCTGGCTTGACTGTACTGGCTAGGAGTCTGTGCCATCTGGCTACCGCCTGGCAAACTATTTTGAGTTGTAGTTGTTAGTTTCATACCATCAGCAGTAATCTTCTCACTATGTGTTGAACTTGATGCACTAGACATGCTGGTCACTGTATGAGCAGTGCCAGCCTGACTGGTGCTACTAGATGATATGCCTGCCTGAGGATAGCTAGAATACATGTTCCACTGACTTCCTCCCTGCGACGCATATGCTAGAGTATTTGTTGTTGGCAATATTCCTCCAGACTGAACACTCGACATTGTGGATGGTTGTGACGAGTAAACTCCAGCATTGTATACTGGACTTGAATATGATGCTGAAGAATAGTTAACTCCTTGATTAGAATATAAATTAGATGCTTGAGTGGTAGCTGTCTGTCCTTTGTAAGACGACCCATCTTGGTTCACATAGCTAAACTGGTTTGAACCTGCCTGATTGTACATAGCTGAAACTGCTGTATTTGCTTGGGTTTGTGGATACTGATAGGGATACTGTGGATAGGCTTGCGTGCTTGTTGGTGTAGGCTGAGTACCAACTTGGGAAGTTGATACTGGTGCAGTTGTAGGAATGCTGGGTGTGGAAGTAGTACTCTGCTGCTGTGGGTAGTAACCATAATAGCCTTGAGACATATTACTAGTTTGTCCTGTTGATACAGGACGAGACATCTGAGGAGTGGATCCACTGGAAGTACTACTGCAAATACTCCCACTTGCCATTGAAGTAACAGTATTCACATTAAAATTTGAAGAAGAAGTCACCGAATAGCCTGGACCATACCCATACTGAGGTAAGCGGGAAACCGATTTGTCACATCCATCAGCCGTGCCGCCATGAATTGGAGATCCCTGAGGCATACCGTGAGGACTATGGACACTAGATGGCACAGCTGGTGTTGCATGTGTCATTCCTGGGACATTCTGGTAACCATAATGTTGGTATGGCACATTATAGCCATACTGATGAGGGTGTCGAGTTCCAGCTTGTGATACTGGATAATTAATTGGTTGACTGACTGTAGTGGTACCAGTCGATGGGGCATTTAAAGCACTAGAATAAGCTGCAGATTGAGTGGATGACATGGGAGTTGAGCTCGGTACTGGAGGATAACCAGTAACACCTGCATTTGCAGAGTAGGTTGGAGTCCCACCCTGCTGAGGGTAATACTGACCGTGTGCGCTATGGGGTGCTGCAGTGACGGGAGTTTTGTAAGGCGATGCAGCACTTAATGGGGCTGGAGATGGTGCTGGCGAGGGTGCAGAGGGACGGTATGCAGAAGCTTGGCTAGAGTAACTTCCTGTATAGCTGCCCACCCCCTGACCACTGCAAGAGGTTAGTGGGTCATTTTGCTCAGAGCCTAAAGGTGCAGGACGCATACTACTAGTATAAGAGCCACTTGGATCACTATATCCATAACCTGGTATTCCTGGCTGAATTTGGGGAGTTGCAGCAGGTATTACACCTGGAAGCATCCCACTGCTTATGCTCATACCTCCACCTTTCATGTGCTGCAAGAAATCTTTAAGCTTTGGTCCACTGGCAGTACTTACACCTGCATCCAAGTTTGAACTCTTGCCAGGCATAGATGGTCCACCAGTTTTAGGTACCACAGAGCCTCCAGTAAACTTTTTAACATTTGCAGAGAGAACATCTTCACGCTCCTCATCTTGCACGCGACAAACAGATTTGACTCGAGATGCAAGCTTGTTCACCTGCCCTTCCAATTTATGATAAAATTCTTGAGCATCTTCAGCCTTTTTTAAGATATTTAGATAGGCATTGTATGATGCCAGAAGTGATGAAATTGTTTCTGTTCTCTGTGCCTGAACTTGATTTGTTAGCCGGCGAGTTGTAGCAAATGCAGCATTGGCTTCCGAGAGCGCCTGGAGGATGTTTGCCTGCGCAGCCATGTTTTGATCAAGCAAAGACACCTGCAAAAATTAAGAAGAATGAAAGCACCAAATTTAAATCAGTAGTCTATTTTTACTACACATTTGCAAATATATTAAAATTTAGCAATGAACCTTAAGGCCATTTTTACTATAATGTATTACAATACTGAGGAATACGTAGAGTGCTGCATAGTCTCTATGACGGCTAAATCAGTATGTTTTATTCTTTACAGCAAGTTCAAGTGCTCTTTCAAGAATCTTTTAATGCTTCGAAATGGATGAGATATCTGAAGGAGTATAAACGAGGTACCCCTTCCCCCTCCTAATAGAAGTTTGGATACTTGAGGAAGAACAAGGCATAAACAAATATAAATGGGTACACACAAACCCAGGTTGCTACATCAAACACAAGCAGATAGATGAAGGAAAAGAGAAGATGACGATGTAAAGACAAGCAGAGAACCCGAGACAAAAATGCAAAACACACACACACACAAGACAATTTAAAAAAAAAAAATTTTTATAAGACTATAGTGAATGATAAAACATAACAATTGTTCTAACTACTGTATATAGGTTTATCCGATTCAAATACAATTAGACGTACCTCGCATTTACCTCACCAATGTATGTTGTTATTCTGATGTTTAATTTTGCCTTTAGCCTTCCTAATCACACGTATGAAAGTTAATAATTCTCATAACATTTACCACAACTAACATGTAACAGCCAGATATATCCCTGGGTTTCCCTTACTCCTCCCGCCTCATTTTCTCCATGTTTTTCTCTCCTCCCTTCCTTCAGTCTTAGGTGGTGCCAGACAGGATATTGGGACCATTACCTTAGAGTGACAAATTATGTACAGGGAAGCACAGTATTCCTCAAGACGTTCCTGTCACCCTGGTGTTCAAGACAGTTTCCAGACACTATAGGTCCTGTGAGAACTGGGTTCTTACAGGTTGTTAGAATAGTTAGATCTGTTAGATCCTTAGCATATTATCCTTCCAGTATCCAGTACTGCATCTCAATCTTTCACTCCCGTGGGTGTGTGAGCTCTGGCTGGCACTTGTGTTGTACATATACAACAAACATCAAGAGATTGCAATACAAAGTTATAGCCTCCAAGTGGGGCTATATGTTACAAACATGCTACTAGAATTCTAATCAAATTACTAAATTTACATCAATATACTAAATTTCATTCCCAATGCTGAATGCAATAACACTAAGGAAATTAGCATACCAGTTTGTCATGTTTCTTCAGCTCATTTTTGAAGAAATCTTCCTTGTCATCCTGACTTGTAACCAGTTGCTTGGTGACGTCGTCGTCCTGAATATCAGAGCGTAACTGACTCTCCCATTTTGCACGCTGGGCTTGCATCTCGCTCACTTTTCCAAGAAGACGTTTTACTTCTTGCTTTGCTGTTGGGTCACCCTGAACTGGAGTAGAGAAAAGAAGAAATAGGTTATGATAATTTTCTAAATTAAATTTAGGTACAGCGTGTATTTTGTAATTATTAAGAATTGTTACTACCAAATTTCCCATATTAAAATTGTCTACACACTACAGCTCATGGAACACATTGAACACTTCTACACTAGTAAGGATGTAGGCCTAACATACATGCAAGTATCCACTCCTTACACAGACATATTAAAGTGTGAAAACAAAAAGGCTCAAGTGAACTATGTAGCAAGTAAAAAGAGCATAAATGTATAAAGGGAAAAATGAAAGAGGTGGAGATAAAGAAGCAAAGTTAGTGTCACAAATAATCTACTATTGAGGTTTGGTCCCTTTACAGCACAGCCATTCCTTCTCTCTGACGTGCCAATGTGAGCAAGCTCAGAGAAGCTACAAACACAGCCAATCCAGATACAGCATTAGGCACTGAATGTAACAAAATGTCACTTTTCTGGTCGGATTCTAAAAACTCATCATTCCCATTCTATCATTCCCTTCTTTTCCATTAAGTTTTGTGGTTCTATTTTGGCTGACCAGGACTCCTGGATTGTGTCCTGTGCCTCATCCGAACCAACAACACTAAGATGAGTCTGTTTGAATTCCAGTAGAAGCTGGAAGAGCTGGAAAGTTGCGTAGTGGTGCACCCCAGTTCCATTGTGTTGTATATTATCCCAGCCAATGCCAACATCAGAAAGTCCTTGAAATCACAGTTTCAAGGACAAATACCTGTATGACAATCCTTCTACTGGAAAATCAGGAAGCACAAATACCTAGTAAATACAGTCGAGGATAGTCCAGTCGAGGCTCCAGTTTAGAATCTTATTCTATCATGAACATCTTGTTGTGCATGAACACAACTATCAACACATCCCACACCCATTCATTCAAACTTGTTAGATTAACCCATTAATGTAAAAATACTTAAAACTTTGTTATTATTCAAGTTATTTTCAGAGCTCCAATAGAGTATCCTAAAATGTGTTGAATTATAGTAAATATTATCAAGTACTGAACTACCTTTTATGAAGCTCGGATTATGATACGACTCCAAACTAAAGGTGACAGACAATGGATAATACTCCCTAACACTAGATTATATTGCTGATAATAATAACATTATTAAAGACATTCCATTTGAATTCTTGTGGACACCTGTAATCTTTGGAATATTATCAGTCTAATCATATTTACACTGTTGAAACTATTAAATATGGGTAATAAAACCACATGGCTGACATCCAGCCATCAACACATCTTGGTATACTCTACTACTATATATATCTACAAAATAAACTTATCTGGCATTTCATAAAAAAAAAAAATCTACGAAGTTAATAATACAGTATTCCATTTTATATTCCACTGTGAAAGCCACCAGATCCTAATCCTTAAGTGGCCAAAAATCAGAGACTTTACATTAGTATGAATTTTCTTCATTTCTTTTTTTACTTTTTTTTTTTTTTTTTTTTTTTTGAGATATATACAAGAGTTGTTACATTCTTGTACAGCCACTAGTACGCGTAGCGTTTCGGGCAGGTCCCTGGAATACGATCCAATACTTAATTTCGTTACTACCACTTAAAACCACTAATGAGAAAATTAAGAATACTGTATATATTAAGTGATGAATAATGCAAAATGACATTTTAAAAACTAAAGGGGAAAATGTGAATTACTTCACGACAGCTTTCCACTTGCATAAAGGCACTCATTTAACCTCCAACTGTTGTAGTACTGTATTCCTTACCCACCTTCAACACTAGCAACTGAAGGTATTGCTGCTGCCACTTGATCCAAAGGATTGCATAGTAACTGGAGGTTGGCCAAATGTGTGGTAATGGCCCTGTGTAATGCGGTATTGTTGTCCTGTGCACTCTGGTGAGCCTCCCGGTACTTATTGGCTTCTCGCTTTAGTTCTCCTATTATCATGCTGGGGGCACGCTTCCCCATCATGGTTAGGAACTCTTTCTCTTTCATATCTTCTTCCTAAGTACATGTCAAATTACAGTTTTCATTAGGAAAATATTATGGTAAGGAGTCATTTTGGGTAAGAGAAAATCATCACAATTTAAAATGCAATTCATAGCCTTCTCTTTTGTTTTCTTACAATTTTAATAATGAATACTAACCAAATGATTCATCTAGTGCTAATGCCAAGTCCTTCTTAGGCCAAAATTACATATTTCAGTCAGTTTACTCTAACATGACTTAGATACAAAGAAGGGCAAGCAGAAAAGTGACATTGTTCACAAAATACAGTATACAGTGGGTAAAAATCTCAAAAAACCAGTTGGGATAAGAAGAGACGATAAACGAGTGAACGAGTGTGTGTGGTCAGTATGTGGTCTGAAGTAATTAGTCACAGAACATGCCATGTGGGCATGCCATGTTTACTTTCTGGTACCTACCTCAATTACCCGTTTAATATCGTCTAGCGATGCATTAATATCATGATAAAAGCTGGAAATTTTCGCCATGATATCTTTAAGTTTCTTGACACCGTTGCTGGCATTCAAATCTGCACAGCACTCTATAAGCTCCTGTTAAATCAGAAAACATATTATAAGAGATCCAGTTATTAAACTAATGTCTTTATTAATTGGTATAAACACTAATTTATAATAATAATAATAATTACAGAATCAGTCCTTTAAGATGACCAAATTTGTTTATGAATCTGTATTTTACCATCTATAAATTTATTTCCAAATGCAAATATTTGTACATGTGCATATCAATGCACTAACCATTTAACAAATTAGTCTTCTCTTTTACCAAAAACTATTTCAAATATTTACAAAAAGAGAAGAGTATTTTAAGTGGCAAAATTTGTATTTACAGTACCATCATAATAGGATTTGAAAATAGGGCAGTACCTTTAGCCAAAGCACATTGAACTACTTATTGTATACAGCGAAGAAAGTTTGAGAACGTTAAAAATTAATCTGCCCACACATCACTTTCAAAAACCCGAATATGAGCTTTAAAGTGAATTTAAAAGAATTAGCAAATGCTACTTCAGACTTCAGTCTGAAGTAGAAAGACCAGGCTATTTCTAAATGTTCTTATGAAATAGATGACATGCACTCTATGAATGGACTGCATCTCAATAAGGTAACTTCAAATACATTCTACTAACCTGAGGAAGATTTTCCGAGCCAGAATCCAAAGCAAGAGAGTCTAATTGCATAGATGCCAGGTACGTTTCCAGCTCTTCATTTTTTTCTTGGATTGTGGTTCCTATACGTCGAAGTAGCTTTGCCTTTTCCTCACTGTATAAATGAGATTTTTTAAATTTATCAAATTAAAGTGAATTCCTTCAAGAAATACTATAGTTTATATCCAAATTTAACAAAAAATAAGTTAAAACCTTGACATGAATACATCTTCCTTTACATTTAGCTCCACGTTCCAATAACACATTGCTGTATCATCCTTACAGCCTTAAATTGTAAGCCTCAGACAATAGCCTCAAATTGTTTCGGTATTATTTATGCATCAAGATGATGCATCTCATTACTCAATTTTTTTTTTTTAGTAATAACCATTTCTTTCCAAATATTAAAGGTACCAAAATCATATTCTAAGCCTAATTAGCAAATTGACTGCACAAGTCTAAACATGTAACAAGCCCTGCTAAATAAACTGAACTTGCACAATTTCATTACTGGTTAGAACAATATCAACAGGTTTGGTACGACAAAAAATGTTACGATACATTGTATTAGCAGTCACCATCTTGAGGTTATCGTGAGATGATTTCAGGGGCTTTTTTTTTTTTTTTTTAGTGGCCCCACGGCCTGGTCCTTTACCACGCCTCCACTCCCAGGAAGCACCCCGTGACAGCTGACTAACACCCAGGTACCTATTTACTGCTAGGTAACAGGAGCATAGGGTGAAAAACTCTGCCCATTGTTTCTCGCCGGCGCCTGGGATCGAACCCGGGATCACAAGTCCAGCGTGCCGTCTGCTCGGCAATCCATAGATCACTGATGCAAGTTACCAGAATACTGTGTCAACCATCAGCCTTCAAGAAGGAAATCAGCATTCTACAAGGAAAACGTGCTGTATCTTGTGTCAGTAAAGGTTGATGTAATTTCCACTAAAGACCGGAGTACATGATCTCAATAAAAACTTTAGTTAGTAAATATTATTAACCTAATATCTCGAAGCAGATTATATTTAACACCAGAAAGTGTGTCTGGTTTAATTAACGTTGAAATTGCTTACCAACTATAAGGAATTAACTTAAAACAGAATAATGAGCTAAATCTTGGATCTAAATCCTCTCTCTTTAATTTACAGTTAAGACTAAATGCCTGTTTATTCAATAAAGTTTACATTAGAAGCTTTTATCAACTTAATGTAATATACATTACTGATGTAATAAACAATACTGTAGTTAAAAAGGATATTTAAAGTATAAAAGGGAGTATAAATCAATTTCATATTTAACCATCAGGCAGCCCACCAGCTTGGAGACTAAGCAACCACAGAGTGCCACGAGGCAGCCAGTCTCAACAAAGCATTGGCTAGAAGTAGCTCAAATCACACTTGTTAATGACACTGGTCTATAATTTAGAGGTTCCTCTCGACTACCATTTTTACAGATTAGTAATATGGTTGCCTTTTTCCATATATCTTCTAAGATTCCCGTGCACAATGATGTCTGGAATATTAATTGGAGTGTGTGTGTGTGTGTGTGTGTGTGTGTGTGAGTGGTGAAGAACTGCCCCACCATCAAAGCAAAACCAGTATCTCTGGGACTCTTTCAGAGAGAGAAAAAAAAAGTCCCCCAGAGTAAACAGATGATTTGTCACACCACAATCATCTGTTTATTATAATGCACAAGTGTGTTTTTTAGTTTTTTGGATCTACCCAAGTACAGCATAAACACTGAACATACACAGGTTACACTTATAAAGTGGGATAACTCCAAACTATAGGTTAGAAAATTCTAACTATGCTATTGCATAGTTCTATTCTATAAGAAAATATTTTCTTATAGAATAGTATAAGAAAATATTTTACCATTACTGTATTATAATTTAGTAGTTATCATTTTACATCAATGAGAATAAACCAGTGCACCCCGTGGAGATATCTGCGTGCATTTAATAATCACAACACGTTTATTTATTTATCGAGGCTATGATTTCAAAAAGATCAAAATGGATGTTTTTTTGCAGTCACCTCTCCAGAAAAAGAAATACGGGAATCTCAAAATTTTGGCAGTTCACGCGACTCAAAAACATGACTAGTTCAAACATAAAAAGAATCTTATTTTCACTAATTATTAACCAATTTGATAAAAGATATTTCAACAATTTTTCACAAAAATCAAGCATTATATCCAAGGAAAATAAAAATAGCAGTGTAACTAACCTATACATGGAAGATGCCTGGTGAGCCTCCAGAGGAACAAGCTTGATAAAAATATCCTGGCCAGCAACCTCAGGATCAGTCACACTGAACGGGATGCCTTTGACCAGCGATGCTCCCTTCACCTCGGGCAGGGATGAAATTGGCGGTACTTTCTCGTGGTACACAAACTCATTCTCTTTCTGTGCAGCTGTGAGTTTACCGCCCATCACATCGTTTGAAAATGTCAAGCTTTCGGCAATCAGCTGTTGAATAAATAAAGTTAATGATGGATGTACAGTACTTTCTGTATACCAAAGCAAAATTCTAAGTACAGTATCACTACACTTACCAACTTGGAATATATTATTTATGAAAGCATCTAAATGAACATACATCCCCCCCTCACACCAAACACACAACGTTTCTACCACCATTGCATACATAGGCCAGTCAGGAGCAGGCCCCAGTGCCACACCAAGAAATATCGACATCCAATCACGTATCTAAAAATATACGTGTTCTTTGAACAAGAGATTTAACATTCCTAGGTCAATTACCTCGACCAATACCATTTACCCCATTTAATACAACTACAGTAGTAGTACTGCTAAGCTTCTCTAAGCCATCATCACTAAAAAAAAAGATTATTGCATCAAGTAAAGCTAGGAAATAAGAATACAATAAAAATATAATTAAAAGAAAAGCCATAGGTAATACCCTGAACATCACACCTATTTGTCACCATCGCAATGTTAATTCAAATTAAAGGAAATTAAAAAAAATTTTGTTTACACTAACACAAAACAAAAATGCAAACCTCGCGGGCATCCACATCACGCATGCTCTGAGATGACTTGTTGAGCATCTGCATTTCTCCCTTGAAACATCAAAAGATAAAAAAAAAAGTATGAAAAATAATGTCATGTACACTAACCCTGAATAATAACATTCCAGTATTTTCACAGCAACAAGGTGAACCTAAATTGGACAGGAAGGAAGCCAGGATGAGGGTGGGATGGAAAAGGAAGCCAGGAGGAAAGGGGGAGAGGACAAGAAAGAAAAAAAATGAGAGGGGATTGCTGTGATAAAAAGGATGCAAATGGAATGGGGAGAAGGAATAGGAAGCAAGAAGCAAGCCTTCAATATAAGCACACCATGAAAGTCTATCAAATCTCACGAGAATAAAAAAAAATAAAAAATAAATAGTTTAGTATGCATGCCTTCACAGATCCAAAGTTCACTCTACTGTACCCTAGAACACGTTGACAAGGAATCATTCCATAGTTACCTCTTGTTGCTCGAGATTTTTGGCAATTTTTGAAGCCTCGCTCAAAGTATCGACAGCAGCCTGGTAATATGCTAGTCGCTCTCCCATTTTCTGCTGTTCTTCTGCTTGCATTCCTTGGTAAAGCAAAGCAACAGCACCATGATAAGACATCTTAAATTCACAGTAGCGCCGCCACATCTGCCACAAGAAGTATTACAAGTTAAAAATCATAAAACGTAAAAAGTCCAAATACTGTATACAAAATTATCTACACCTGGTCTATATTCTCTGCTACTACCAAGAATGTAAAAAATTGGTTGTCAGACACTAATGTAAAAAAAACATTAATAAACATTTTTCCACTCCCACCCTTTTTCAAGTTCCTGACCATGTTCATCTAATTTTGAGCTTGCTCATTATTTAATTTCCTGGACTCTACTAAAAATCTTTCAAAATTTTCTTAAAACTTAAACCTAAACTTAAACCTTATCTTTACAGTTCTCTTATCACAGACTTAATTTTAACCTTATTTGAAGCTCACATCTACATAATAAAGTATATGCCACTTCATAGCTCCCCAAGCCAAGCCCTGGATTCACCCATCACACCAGACCTCCGAGACCTAACTGTCGGGAGCCAGGACCATTTCCTGTCTCACTGAACGAGGCAAGTGAAGCGGGGGAGGGACCAGAAATCAACCACAAAACAGGGAGGAAACCCCACCAGGAAACAAACATAACAAAAGAAACAAGCGCTTGAACAAAATGAGACCTCAAGGAAAACAAGGCAAACGATCATTATCACAGGTTTTTTTTTTTTTTGTTTCTTGCCGCCAGAGGCGGCTAGTTTATTGTGCACCCCATACTCATTATGTGAGGGATGAGTAAAAAGCAAATTACAGAGGGCACAAAAGGTCTTTATCAGACCTCAACTTAGAGTAACTATCCTAATCCTGATACACCCAACTACCATCAGATGGCAGCCTAGGTCATCTGAGGTTTCATTCAGCCTGCATCCTCGTACTGAACTGCCTATACCATCCTTCTCCCCCTCCACCAAGGAAGAAGAAGTTAGGATAACGGTGAGAAGTTTCTAAAAGCCGACCCCCCCCCCCTCACCCCCCCAAAAAAAAAAAAAAAAAAAAAAAAAAAAATTATTGGAAGGGATCCCTCAAAAGTGTCAAATAAAACTTGCACAAATTTTGATGCACCAGGTACAAACAGCCAAGAGGCATGCATGAAAAACTTGATTGTTACTCCCCTTATGCACTAAGAGAAAGAATGAGAGGTAAACACAGTACCACCTGATCACGGCTAAGATACTGCACATGCATAAGGTAAACACAGCTACTAACTGCACGTACCTTTAACTTTCTGGATCCAACAATGTCTGTAACAACTGTATCACTTGATTTGCTAGACCAAACACTCTTCATTGCTGCTTTTAAATATTCAACAACTTGCATAGCAACTTTTGCTGTAATGAAAAATTAACACAAACTTCACATTTATCATAGACAAAAAGAATTCAGGACATAACATGATTAATCATGAAGACAGTAAATGGTGGTAATAAAACAACTGCTGTAAGTTTATCTCAGGCAGAACTTAAATATACTAAACACTTTTATATGTCTGAAGGTTAAAGAATCTAATGTAGAACGATAAAGAACATGAATGCAAAGCCGACATGTAAAAGCTAAAATAAATACACTCATGAAGTACACCCATGTTCTATACAGTACAACATTTGTTCTATAGCTGTGACTCGTACGTCAGGCTGCGAGCAGCCGCGTCCAACAGCCTGGTTGATCAGTCCGGCAACCAGGAGGCCTGGTCGACGACCGGGCCGCGGGGACGCTAAGCCCCGGAAGCACCTCAAGGTAACTCAAGGTAGCCCCAAACACCATCCTTCCTCTTGGGAGCTTCCCTATCAGCAGGTAGGCCACTGCAGACATTTCTCCAAGAGGAGCCATTACCAAACAAACCTTTCATTTTGTTTTCAAATTAACCTCTTCATCCCCTCCCAACTTTTTTCTTTTTTTTTTTAAATACTGTATAGTGTTCCTCTTCCCATTCCAAGATACTGGTTGACCTCTACCATATGATCTTTTGATTGCATCCTAGTACACCTTTGCTAAACAATTCTCAGGGAATCTACTCACATACCCTTATCACTAAAGTTAATAACACATTCTACATTTCATTCTTACCAAAACTCTCACATACGTCTTCCTCGCAATTACGATCCCATATACAATTACAAGTTATTTCTATTGTTTGTACTCTGAAATGCACTGCCCTTTTCCATACTCGATTTTCATTTCTACACGAGGGGTTAGAATTAGTATTACCTCATTCCTTTCTCAATTCCAATCCTAACATTCATTTTTTTGCCATTACATTATTCACCATTCTTATCACTTCTCTCCATTATTACCATCTTACAATTCACCTTCATAGCTCCTATTTTTATCAAAAACTGCTCCCGATTACTTATAACTTACCAAACTATTCCAGTAACTCTACCCCAACTTTAATCCAACAGTATAAATCTACAACAATATACCAATCACACCACCATAATCTTTTGCAATTTCTCAACTTTGGCGAAGAACATGATATCACCTGCACACAAGCAGAAGTGGACTGTAATGGAGTAGGCTGATTGTCTTGGCATGCTTGTAATGTGACACTCCATAAAATTACAGGCATGCATCGAACAGGCCTGGTCGACCGACGATCAGGCTGTGGGTTCGTTGAGTCCGAAATCATCGCAAGGTATGCCAAGACCACCAGACTACATACTTCATTACAGTCCACTTGTGCTCCTGGTGCTCCTTCCTTCGCCTCCCTAATTACCTCCGACAACTATACCTCTGACTATCAACTTCAATTACGTTTATCATAACAAATATAACAATTTTGACGATGTCTTACCAATAATGGTTGGCTTGCGATTGTCAGTCATGCTCTTTTCAAGGATGCACTCTTGAGCTTGTGCCAGAGCTACATTGTACATGAATGTCAACAATGTAGGACTCAAGTCTGACTCGCTTGGCTGGGGGTAAGTTTCCCGTAGGTGCTGCAAGCAAACACATTCATTGAAAACAGGTAAACACTTATTTCTACAACAAACACTAAATTACAGTAATCAAATAAATACAGAAATAAAATTAATACCGATAATAAAATTCTAATAATTAAATAAAATAAATTTAAAATATAAAAACCAAGAAAATTAAAGAACCTATCGACTTTTCAAGTTAAGTACAGTACAGTATTATAAATTTTACACTTATTACTGAAATGATAGGGATGGAATTCTGTACAAGGGTCAGGGAAAATATATGGAGATACTGTATTAATTTAATTTTAAAATGCCACATTGAATAGTGCACACTACTGTATTTCATTTTGAAGGGTTCTAGTTGTTTGGAACAAAATAAAACTCTGATACAAGGGCATGTGTTGTATACAAGATATGTTAACTTTCTCATAAGGATATCTAAAGTGCTAATATATTTATGATCCAACTTAAGATGAAAATAATATTACTGTTCATTTTTACGTACAAACCTTACCCTCTTTTCTTATTATAACAGAAAATACTGTAAGTAGATATTTCTAGCCCATGCAATTCTAGATACCAATGTGGACAGTGTAAGGCAAGGTAATTAGTAGAAAATGTTAAGTCAGTACAGTATGTCTATACTGTATAACACTGCAAGGGATACGAGAACAAGAACCCAAGATAGAATAGTGGGAAGAAATGGTACCCAACCATTTTAACAGTCAAGAAATGAATGCCGACCTGCAGGAAGCAAGACCGTCATTATCGCTCAGTCCATGTGGTTTGTTGGACAGCAAGACTTCTTGTAGCCAAATAAACTACTTTTGTCTTAATCCTCAACTCAGTGTTTAACATTGATCCTACCTCATCTTGTATGCACTCCAGTCAGACCAAAAGACAATGTTTGTTCATAAAGTGCAGCTCAATTTTAATGTGGCCAACCCAAAAATGTTTTGCATGACGTTCTGACCATTATAAATCTTATAAAAATGCATCAACATGATCAGTAATACTATAAGCTGAAAAATATTCCTACTGATAAGTATAATTCAAATTATACCATTGCTATACCTATTTACCAAAATTATTTAAGGGCAGGGGAGACTACCCAAAGAACAATAAATACTGACGAGTGTAGTTTTCCATACTTGTTGGGATAAAATAAAATGCAATAAAAAGAAACCAAAGAGACAATACCTTAAGAGAAAGTGTGCCAAATAGTTACCTGGAAGGCCCAGGCTGCACACTGAAAATGTGTACAGCTGATCTTCATGCCATCGGGAGTGTTTCTCGCATCCATGGCCCCCAAGTCTGTGTGCAGGGCTCCTATGTTGTACAAAATGCATGCCATCTCATATTTGATGTCGTTAACATTATAGACCACACTCGAGTATATATCATACCTGAAAGGCAATATGTAGAATTATTTTAGTTACACAATTTTTCTAAAGGCAACAAAATATTTGCTATAACTAGGTATTACATTTTTTCTACAGCTTATCAAGGTATCCCTGGTTCCCATGCCAGAACTATCCTGCAACAGGGTGAAAAAAAAAAAAAAAAATTGTGAGTGGTAGTTGTGGGGGTTACCTCGGTGTTTTTTTTTTTTTTTTTTTTGAGATATATACAAGAGTTGTTACATTCTTGTACAACCACTAGTACGCGTAGCGTTTCGGGCAAGTCCTTAATCCTATGGTCCCTGGAATACGATCCCCTGCCGCGAAGAATCGTTTTTTCAGCCAAGTAAACATTTTACTGTTGCGTTAAACAGAGGCTGCAGTTAAGGAATTGCGCCCAGTAAATCCTCCCCGGCCAGGATACGAACCCATGACATAGCGCTCGCGGAACGCCAGGCGAGTGTCTTACCACTACACCACGGAGACTGCTTAACTGCGGAGACTGCATTTTTTTTAACCTTGGTGTTTTCGGGACTTAGCTTCCCTGCGGCCCGGTCGTCGACCAGGCCTCCTGGTCGACAGCAATGGGTCAATTGTGGTGGCCCGTTGCCCGACGGGTATGGGCAATTGTGGTTGGGTGGTGGTGTGGTTGGGTTGGAATTCGTATACGGTTTGGTGGGCTCTGGCATACGGTTAGATGGGTTTTAGTATATGGTAGGGGTGTAGATGGGAGCCATGCATTTAGTGAGCTGGCCTTTGTGGGTGGTGTGATTTAGGCAGTGCAGGTAGATATTAGTGATGTGAGTTTGGTGATGTATGGGAGAGAAGGCAGGTGGGTAGAGTGAGGTGTGGAAGAGCGGGCATATGCTTCTTGGTAGTTGGACATAGGTGATGTGCAAATGTAAAGGTGATCATACCAGTCAGGTGGGGGTGTTGGTGGCATGTGCTTTGAAAGATAGCAAGTGGGATACAAGTTGGTGACATACGAGATTTGACCATATCCAATACAAAATTCTTACCAATTGAATGTTATGGCAATTGAAGGATTTTCGCCGAGTGGAAACCTCGATAGGAGGAAGTGCAGCTGGCAATAATATTTCTTGAGAGTAGAACATCCCGTAAAATCATGTGGAGCATGGGTGGCACTGGCTCGCAATGCTTCCAGCTCGTGGATTTCCGTACTGTAGCTATCAGGATTTTCATTATAATGGTCACGAATGTACTGTAATAAAAATTTATAATTTAATATACTGTAATAGTACATACTGTATTTAATTAAATTTTCAGTGTCAAATTACAATAAAATGAAAAGATTGAATAACAAAATTAAATAACCGATGAAATAATCAGTACAATGGCACTATATAGGCTTCTATCCCCAACACAATGCATTAATATTTGAAGTGTTAAATGAAGGGTTGCCACAACCAAGGCCATTACGAGATGCATTTTAACCCTTACACTGCTCTAATCGCTAGAGTGCAATTAGTCCATATGGTTTAATTGCCTGGAGATGACCCAAGATGCCCATTTTATTCAAAAGCCCCACCTTATATGTATGAGGTGTGCATAAATATATACAGTACTGTATACATATTAATTTATGTACATTTTCAGTTATACATAGTGAATACCACTATTGAATTGGATACATGTGAGCACAAAACAATTAAATACTGTACTGTAAAGTGACAATGAAAATACTGTACTAAATGGATAGTTATTCCTGTACAGCACCTCGCTTCATTACTACTAAAAAAAAAAAAAAATTTCTCCAAGCCACTATAGCTAAACCTCGATTTTACCTTTTACCTTTTCTACTTCTATTTTTTTACCTTTCCTACCGTTTACATATACTGTATTTTCATGCTCCCTGGATGCCAATTGTTAATTAGCATCCAGCATAATTAGCATTTTTTGTCAAAAAAAAACAACATCAGAACCATTGCTTTCTTGTGCATAGTAAACATTGCATCAAAATAATATGTATAGTTTATTGATTAAATATACAGCCTCAATATTATAGTAGTCAGTTGAAGCTAATAACTTCCACACTAACAATGCTATTAGATTATAACACTGCATATCCTAGATCAGGTTTAAGAACTATTAACAAAACACATGTTATAACATTGAATGAGAATTCTATAATTTATCCGAAAATAGGATTTTAGCGCCCAAAATCGCTAAAATTTTTAGCATTTTTGCTAACGCTATAAATCCAGAGCTGCGCCCAAAAACAAATTCGGGCGCAGAGTTGCGCCTAAACAATCCTTTCACTGCAACACTTCCATTTTAGCCACATACTATACTCTTCTGATGTCAATTTAGCCTTAACACTAAATAAGTATTTTTGCAATTTTCTTTACTACAGTGGTACTGGTAAGAAAATGACCTGCTCTTTCCAGTGGCATTATTAAAACAAAAAATTATGGAGAAAAACATAAAAATGTAAGTATGTTGGACATGTCCGAGTCCATCATCAAATACAAAATTCAGTCCAATTAACATGATATAATGTGTTTGAATTTTAATTGAGTAACCTTGTGAAAATAGTTAAATTTTTCCTTTAACATTCCTTTACGTTTGAAAATAGTACTTGGGGCATCAAAGAACCTGAAGACCAGGGAGTTACAAAATCTTAATCTGGTCCCGAATTTATTCTTTTCCGAGGCTTTCCTACATTTGCGAGGATATAGCCCCACCAACAATTAAGTGAAGGAAGAAAATCGAGAATTATCTGCCTCGTCTACTGATGGTGCAATCTTTGGATTTAATTTAATCCAAAAGTACAATTGTACATCTTTAAAAATTCAGAGTTTTGTTAATTATCTTTAAAAACTCAAGAGTTTTGTTAATTATAAGCCAAATTTCACCAATTTTACACATTATTCACTTCAAATATGGCTCTACAATTTGGAAAGAGCAAATTTTAATTTTCAGATTATACATGTATTTTGAGAGGATCACTTTTCAAGCAAAATACAGTTATGGGTCGCATTCAACAATTTATTATTCAGCAACTAAATTAACATACAGTATCCTCTTTCTGAATGTTACCCTAGACTATTCAACTAGTTATGCAATATTTTGTATAACTAGTAAAATAATACATTAACAATATAGGCGCTCCCCCGGGACGGGGGGCAGCGACGACAGGCGCTCCCCCGGGACGGGGGGCAGCGACGACAGGCGCTCCCCCGGGACGGGGGGCAGCGACGACAGGCGCTCCCCCCCGGGGGGACGGGGGGCAGCGACGACAGGCGCTCCCCCGCGACGGGGGGCAGCGACGACAGGCGCTCCCCCGCGACGGGGGGCAGCGACGACAGGCGCTCCCCCGGGACGGGGGGCAGCGACGACAGGCGCTCCCCCGCGACGGGGGGCAGCGACGACAGGCGCTCCCCCGCGACGGGGGGCAGCGACGACAGGCGCTCCCCCGCGACGGGGGGCAGCGACGACAGGTCCCCCGCGACGGGGGGCAGCGACGACAGGCGCTCCCCCGCGACGGGGGGCAGCGACGACAGGCGCTCCCCCGCGACGGGGGGCAGCGACGACAGGCGCTCCCCCGCGACGGGGGGCAGCGACGACAGGCGCTCCCCCGCGACGGGGGGCAGCGACGACAGGCGCTCCCCCGCGACGGGGGGCAGCGACGACAGGCGCTCCCCCGCGACGGGGGGCAGCGACGACAGGCGCTCCCCCGCGACGGGGGGCAGCGACGACAGGCGCTCCCCCGCGACGGGGGGCAGCGACGACAGGCGCTCCCCCGCGACAGGGGGCAGCGACGACCAGTTGATTGACAGTTGAGAGGCGGGACCAAAGAGCCAAAGCTCAACCCCCGCAAGCACAATTAGGTGAGTACAGGCGCTCCCCCGCGACGGGGGGCAGCGACGACAGGCGCTCCCCCGCGACGACAGGCGCTCCCCCGCGACGACAGGTGCTCCCCCGTGACGACAGGCGCTCCCCCGCGACGGGGGGCAGCGACGACAGGCGCTCCCCCGCGACGGGGGGCAGCGACGACAGGCGCTCCTCCGCGACGGGGGGCAGCGATGACAGGCGCTCCCCCGCGACGGGGGGCAGCGATGACAGGCGCTCCCCCGCGACGGGGGGCAGCGACGACAGGCGCTCCCCCGGAACAGGGTCAGCGACGACAGGCGCTCCCCCGGAACAGGGTCAGCGATGACAGGCGCTCCCCAGGGACAGGGTCAGCGACGACAGGCGCTCCCCCGGAACAGGGTCAGCGACGACAGGCGCTCCCCCGGAACAGGGGCAGCTACGACAGGCGCTCCCCAGGGACAGGGTCAGCGACGACAAGCGCTCCCCCGGAACAGGGTCAGCGACGACAGGCGCTCCCCAGGGACAGGGGCAGCTACGACAGGCCCTCCCCAGGGATAGGGGCAGCTACGACAGGCCCTCCCCAGGGACAGGGGCAGCTACGACAGGCCCTCCCCAGGGACAGGGGCAGCTACGACAGGCGCTCCCCCGGGACAGGGGCAGCTACGACAGGCGCTCCCCCGGGACAGGGGCAGCTACGACAGGCCCTCCCCAGGGACAGGGGCAGCTACGACAGGCGCTCCCCCGGGACAGGGGCAGCTACGACAGGTGCTGTGGTAGGGTCAGAGGACCTTAAGGTAACAGCAGAGGCAAGAGCGTCACAAGAACATTCGTCATCACATCCGCCCCGCGCCACTCCCAAGAGCCCCAAGCCAGGTGTCTCTACCACATCACACACTCACATCAAGGAATGATGCACGAAGCAACTCACCTGTCTCAGTTTCGGGCCAAATTCAACACTTTCTGCACTAGTTTTAAGTTCAAAGCCTAACATAGGCAGCCGCGGGACTGCCTCCATTTTCAATGTCAACAAGTTCCAATAATATGCAGCGACATCAATTCCGTTCTAGAATATCCGTCACGCCACAGTTAATTGAATACGTAAAATTTGGGTATGCTTATTTAAGCTAATTCAAGTTCTTGGGGCAAATATCTAATTAAGCGCTCGAAGAAATAGATACGCGTTAAAGAATAAAAAAGTTTGGAAAAGTTCGAGTGTGAGCGTGTGACCCGCCACCGCTGAGAACATTATAATAGTCTTATTACTGAAGATTTACTCACTATGCTCAATTTTGTAAATAGCTCATCAAGATTATAACTTGCTTAGCTAAATGAATTGTGGGGTTCAGTCCCTGAGCCTCAGGTTCAGCCTGAGCATTATGTGACTCTGTAACCCTTTCCACTACCGCCCACAAGATGGGTATGGGGTGCATAATAAATGAACTAAACTAAACTTAACTAACACTTCTGGCACTTCTTTTCTCTCATATCTTGTATTATATTTTGCTGGCGCAGCATTGTTCTTCATGCTGTTATATAAATGTGGATATAAACTGCGAGTAAGGGTTGTTAATGACGCCTGGGCAAAGCTATAGGCCTTAAATTCTATTTTAAGACCATGCTGAACAAGACAGTTAATGTAGGAATTTACTCGAGGTCCATCTCTAAGTGGCCTCGACAGGGACAGGAAGCCGCCGGCTTCTCAAGGGTCCCCATTATTCCTGAGGATTTTTATTGTCTGAATTTTAAACAAATAATGTGGAATTTACGGCTTCGGCCGGTAGGCTGTTCCGTTGGTTTTAACCTGAATTTACCTAAGGGCAAGTATCTCTCTAATGACCTCGACAAGGACAGAAAGCCAACTGCTTATCAAAGGTCTCTCCCCCCCCCCCAATTTGTCCTGACGATTTTACCTATTTGGATCTTAAATTACAGCAATGTGATTGACATTTACGGCTTCCGCGGGTAGGCGGTTCCATGGATTTATAACCCTGGATACAAAAGCATCTCCTGTTGTGTGTCCTACATTGTGGATTGTTCAGCTTCAATTCGTTGCTCCTTATTAGTGTTACATCTGACCTTTTGAAGAAGTGGTCTGGATCAATGTCCTCCAAGTTGTTCAGTGCAGTATTTTAAAAGTTTTGTCACGTATGATTATATTACGTTGCTTGGTAGATAAGATGCACAGAGTTTACTGGTTTTTATTTTTATTTAGTAGTCTTGGTTAAAGCAGTCAGTTGATGGTAGTGTTGTTGAAGTTAACATGAAGCCTGGAGCAGAGCAGAGCTGAGTTAGGCTGGAGTCGCGGAGCTCCATGCGGGACGAGAGCGGGGAAGCTCTGTCTGGCCCTTTGGTCCCGCCTCTCAACTGTCAATCAACTGGTGTATAGATTCTCAAGCATATTGGGCTCTATCAAATCTACATTTGAAACTATGTATGGAGTTTGCCTCCACCACATCTCTCTAATGCATTTCATTTGTTAACTACTGATACTGACAAAATTCTATCTGTCTCTGTGGCTAATTTGGGTACTAAGTTTCCACCTGTGTCCCCTTGTTCGTGTTATACTCGTGCTAAAGTGTTTGTATGGAACAATCTCAGCAAGATAACTTCAGGGAGCCCAGGGGTTTCCACGGAAACAGTACAGTACTATTCTGAAAACAGATCAGTTTGACCCAAACTCTTCCCTTATACTGTACTTATTTGGCCTTGCAACCAGAAACTGATTTGGGTACAACCTTCTCTTGTACACAAGCTTCAGTTAGACTAGGTTTCATTTCAGTCTAGTTTCACTGTACAGTATATACAAACATTTTAATTATAACACTCGTGAAGTATTAACTCCTGTACTACCCTATTGCACAGGACTTGTATTCCCTTGTACTACTGTACCTAAGAACAACCTCTGACTTAAAACACAATACAGTACCTGTACGCCCCAAGGACAACCATATTGTACTACCCAAGGACAACCCCCTTGTACTTCCCAAGGACAACCCCCTTGTACTTCCCCAAGGACAACCCTCTGTACTTCCCAAGGACAACCCCCTTGTACTTCCCAAGGACAACCACCTTGTACTTACCAAGGACAACCCACTTGTATTTCCCAAGGACAACCACCTTGTACTTGCCAAGGACAACCACCTTGTACTTGCCAAGGACAACTACCTTGTACTTGCCAAGGACAACCACCTTGTACTTCCCAAGGACAACCCCCTCTGTACTTCCCAAGGACAACCTTCTGTATTTTCCAAGGACAACCCCCTTGTACTTCCTAAGGACAACCCTCTGTACTTCCCAAGGACAACCCACTTGTACTTCCCAAGGACAACCCCCTTGTACTTCCCAAGGACAACCCCCTTGTACTTCCCAAGGACAACCCACTTGTACTTCCCAAGGACAACCCACTGTACTTCCCAAGGACAACCCTCTGTACTTCCCAAGGACATCCCCTTGTACTTCCCAAAGACAACCCCCTTGTACTTCCCAAGGACAACTACCTTGTACTTCCCAAGGACAACCCCCTTGTACTTCCCAAGGACAACCCTCTGTACTTTCCAAGGACAACCTACTTGTACTTTCCAAGGACAACCCTCTGTACTTTCCAAGGACAACCTACTTGTACTTTCCAAGGACAACCCTCTGTACTTCCCAAGGACAACCCACTTGTACTTCCCAAGGACATCCCCTTGTACTTCACAAGGACAACTTCTCTGCATTTCCCAAGGACCATCATTGCACACAGTAAGGTTAATCCTTACACACCCCTAAGTAAATATAGGGGTGTGAAATTATATATAATTTTCCCACATGGACCCTATACATCTGGCTGTCCCGTTCCGTTCCTTATGTCATCATTACAGAGGCGATTGTATTATACTGTACAGTAATTATATGGAGGATATTCGAGTACAAGAAAAATAATGAAACAGTTTTAAATGATGTAATATATAATGTCATATGAGCTACACAAGTAATATGTACAGCAAGGAATAATATTTACATCTAGTGACTTTACCTTAGAGTACATACCAGTAGCAAACATAATATAGTGAATGTGCATAGCATCTTTCATTTATACTTAATCTTTTGACATGAAGGTCAGCCATTTAAAATAGAATACATTTCTGTTTAACATTTTTTTAAACGTTTTGAATATTTCAGCAAAGAAGGGCAACAGTTGAGTAATTAACACAATAAAGAAATATTTGTGCCTTTCTGGGGAAAAAAAGATAACTATCACAAAGAAAACATATTACAGTATTAATGTCATAGCAATAACAAGGAACAAAAAGATGTAAAACAATTTGTAGTTTCCAGTTAATGAAAACTTAATCCCCCAAGAGATAACCCATCTCGTCATCAGAATCGTCCCAAATGTCGTCATCCTCGGCCATTCCAGCAAAGAGCCTATTGAAGCAAGGTGACTTCTCATCGTTATAGTGTTCATATGGCCGTGCTCTGTTCAGCAAACACATGCACAGCCAACAGAAGTAGATGCTGCATCTCTGACACGTCATCTTGTTACATCCATCTATCTTCTGTTGGGGAAAAAGTACAGAGTGCTTTACAAAGTTTAAAGACCTTGCTAGTTAGAGTATTAATAATACGTAATAATAAATTTTAAATAAGATACACAGTACATGTATAGTAATTAAAAGAAAATTTGAAGTAATTTGCAAGTAGAATACTGTAAAGTATTGCATCGGGTTTGAGTTAAGCCGAGAAGGGAATGGGAATACAATGGCATTTTTATTTAGTTTTACAGCTTCTATGCACACTGAGAACAGAAGTCATGTGCAGATGATGAGTCACAATAATGTGGCTGAAAAATGTTGACCAAACCACACACGAAAAGACGACATTTCAGTCCGTTCTGGACCATTATCAAGTCGATCGTGATGAGACGAGGAAGGCAAAGGCATAAGTAAGGCAAGAGAGAGAGAGATGAGGAGATGGAAATCTTAGATGAAGATAAGAGCAAGGCAAAAGGTAAATAAGGTAAGATGTAATAAAAAGTAAAAAAATATGCCCTGATGTACAACATTTGCTCCAGAGTACGACGTTTGTTCGTCAAAGGCATTAACAAATACGAGTAGTATTCTGTATAAAATGTATTTTTGAGTTAATATTTTTGGGTGTGTGAAACTGATTAATTCAATTTACATTACAGTATTTCTTATGGGAAAATTCAATTCAATGTGCGAATATTCGGATTACGATACATTTCTTGGAATGGATCAAATTCATACATTGAGGTTCCACTGTATGTATTTCACTCAGCCAGAAAAGACCCTATCTAAAGGAATTGTATTAGTTGATAAAGTTATGCAGGAGTTTTCCATCTGGATCTGATCACATCTGATCCATTCGTAACAGCAGAGTGCACTGGAATGGAGCCTCACTGAAGAGGGAATATACGACAAATGTGGATAAAAAAACAATGGGTTTCTGCAGACTGATGAAGAGCATATGTTTGAATAAGGTACACTAATAGGAGATGAGAAGAAGAGTGAGACCATAAGAGAGATATGGGGCTTAAGTATGAGAGTAACCCACCCTCAAACACGAGAATGGTACTCAACTTGTACATTTACTCTGAATTATGAGCACTGGCCATAATAGATTAGGTGAGTTGATCTACAGTCGCATGCTTATTGTTAGGCAAAAGCACACTTGACAAATCACGAGAACAGATTGATGAGAGGAATGAGTGCTAATCCTTACGATTGTATGTTAAGAGATAAGAATGCCAGGAAGAGAACACTGTACACTTTTAACCTTGCAAGTAGATTAGAAATACACTGGGAATAACCGAATAAAAATTATTACCTTAATACTAGCTTAAAAATAAAGAGCAAAAGTAAGTAAATGGTTACCTCAATTTTGGCATTGCACCTAGGACATTTCTTAGAGTTCTCTTCCAAGTAATTCATAGACAGATATTCTTCCTTTAACACAGTTAAGTATTTTTTTCCATATTGTCCCTCCAAGGCTTGTTTCTCAGACTCATCGCCATTAATATATATTTCCATTATCTTTCTCGATTCGCTGTGCTTCAGACGGCAAGGGTCAACACCGTGCCATCCAAACCTGTAAGTGAAATATATCCATTATCATTGCTTCATTAAATATAGAAATTAAATAAACAAACTATTCATAAATCATGGTAGAATGCAGATGTAATGTGGAAGAGAGAACATCCCTGGCTGTTGGTTCACCATCCCTGGCTGATGGTTCACTATCCCTGGCTGACAGTTCACTATTCCTGGCCGAGGGTTTAACCATCCCTGGCTAATAGCCCACCATCACTGGTTGGGGGGGGGTGGTTCACTATCCCTGGCTGATTGTTCACCATCATTGGTTAGGTGTTCACTATCTATGGCTGACAGTTTGCTATCCATGGTTGATGGTTCAACCATTCCTGGTTGGGGGGTTCATCATCCCTGGCTGAGAGATAGTGAACATAAGAATGAATTTAAAATGCACTATTTGTTTTAACCCATACAAAACCACTCCTATTTATATCCACCCAAACTCATTCTTATAAGTGTATATACAATTTTCGGTCACATGTCTTCAGGGAATCTAGAGGGAGGATATGACAGTCAGCCAAAAACTGCTGTAATCGCTGCTAGATTTATTTACTCCCCTCATTACCAGCTACCTCTCCCCTTCCTTCATTATTTACAAATAATCAAGTAATCCATAATCCATACTACTTTAGCATAGAGTAAAAACATGATAAATACTGTTCCCAATTTTGCCGTGTTAAGAGTTGTAAATATGAAGGTTGCATAGTATCCTTTAAGAAGTAAGGGAGTTTTGATCACTACATAGGACAGCATAATGGCCAACTACTAGATAATTTTTGCAACAACTTTCTGGACCGTGTAAATTAGTAATGGGATAATCAAAATCGGTATCGAGAATCGGGAAAAATCGAGCATGTTTCGCCAATCAGAATCAGTATGGAATCAATATAAATTTATCACGATTTCTGATTCTTAAAATGATTTTTGCAACAACAAAATTAACTGCAATATTTTATTTGAAAAACAAAACAAAATTACTGTACAGTATTGTAAATTGTATATAACGAGTGCACTAGTGATGGGAAATGGAATGTTTTCAGCGTTTCTTATTTTCTTGTGTTTTGAAGATTAAGGATTGCTTTTAAGTAAACATAAGGAATTAGCTATGCTTTAATTGAGCATAGCTAATCTTAATTTGATTTAAAATAAAGTTGCAATACTAACTTTATTTGAAATAAGATTATAAATTGTATTCATTATATTGTACACAAGTAAAAGCATGTATATCCACAGGTACAGTATAGTGCAATGTTTTCACTTTTCAGGTTTTTGTTACAAGATTAAGCTGGATTTACCATTTGTTTTCTGTTCTTAAATCAATCTATTATATGCAGATGTTGACCAAACCACACACTAGAAAGTGAAACGACGACGACGTTTCAGTCCGTCCTGGAACATTATCATGTCGATCGAAGTTGATTACAATCTATTACTGTATATTATTAATACATTTACTATGCTCATATGTAAATCATTAATTTTCCAAACTAAAATATGAACATTTTCAGAAAAATTAGTATCCAACTACTACTGTATGTATATTTTTTAAAAAGAATCGGAATCAATAATCGTGTTGAAATCGAGACTTTTTCTGTGGAATCGGTATTGGTATCAGAATTGTTAGAAATTGTAGCATTGTCCCATAATTGCATCCCTGTATAATTGCATCTATGCCATTTCATCTTAAATAACATGAATGATGGGAAAAATATGTTTATTAATAGCTGTGCCATCCAAGGATTAATACAAGAAACAATAACAAAAGACAAGTTTTGTGTTTATCAGTATTGTGTGCTGTCTGACACTCCCTCACCACCAGCATTTCCTTCAGTTTCCATCAGCACCAGTCTGGAAACATGAAACTGTACTATACAGTACTGTACTGTACTAAGTTGGATACTGGCACCATGACGGCTGGTTACTTGGTGCATGAAATCATTCTGCCCACCAAAATATTTTGCACATTATAACAAATGTTAATCTGTGCATGGAATATCAGTGGATTCTAGTTTCATTTTACTGATTACATCTTCTCTTTCAAATCATAAGTTTTCCAACTTTATGGATTTTGTAAGTGGTTATTAATCAGGGACCCTACCAAACCTAATCATTTGGAAAAAGCAATTATTTGTGGAAGAAACCAATAATTAGAAATTATTATTATTAAATGCTTGACCATATAAAGATGAAAGATAATACCCCACTTACCTGCAAATACCACAAAAGACAAATTTACAAGAGGGACATTGTCCCTGGCCTTCTTCAATAGTCGCTGGGTACTGGCAATGGTAGCGTGGACAGGGTTGCATATCACCCAGGGAGGAGATGGTAGAGTTGAGCAACATTTCGTCCCATCGCTGATACATTTCTTCAGAAACTAACTCCTGCACCTAAGAAAACCAGATAGCATTACATTACTCTGTAAACACTCAACTATGAATGCCCAAATATTGAGACAATTGTAATGAATATACAGTAGTTGACATACTGATCTGGTACTTGGGCTTGTGACTGCCCTACAACATACACAGTCTTAATTCTATGACAGTGCATATAGAGACTTAATTAATTAATTATCCCAGACATCAACAAAGGAAGAAACAATCTTTGTAAATTGTGATTAATCTGATAACTACACATCACTATCACTCAGCATTATCTGTAAACATTTATATAACTATTTATTCTTGTATGTAGACTATTTATATAAAAATATTTCTGGGTTAGTACTAAAACCTAATAGTGACCATCGTCCAGTCTGATATATACCAACTCTCATTGTTCTGCCCACTAGAAAATTTGTCAGCTACATTGGAAGCCTTTCTATTGCTTATCCTATTTTCCTTTTCAGTACAATCTCTGGCATGTGATTTTATCAATTTTTTTTTAGATCCAGATAGATGCAGTTGTGCAAAACATTTGTCTTGCAAAATCTCAGTACAGTAAATCGTAAACTAAGTAAATTCAATACACAATCTTCCTGTTCTAAATCCAAACAGCTCATTCATTATTATATTGTTTCTTTTGAGATGTTCCACACATCTGTCTGACTGACTTTACTAGTGACTTTGCTACCTCTCTGCTCAATAATGTCACTCATTAGTGATATTTAACTTTTAGTGATTTAGTGATATTTAAGAGTTAAATGGATTTTTCCACCTTTTTCAAATTAGAAAATTAGAAATACATACTGTACAGTACATATATCTGCTACACTTCAGTTTGCAAGGATGCCAGAAAGATAATCCTTCAAAGATAGCTGTACCTTGAGTACAAGAACTCAAACGTTGCAGGTGATGAGTCACAATTATGTGGCTGAAGAATGTTGATCAGACCACACATAGAAGGTGAAGGGACGATGACGTTTCGATCCGTCATGGACCATTCTCAAGTCGATTGTCAAGAAAATCGACTTGAGAATGGTCCAGGACGGACCGAAACGTCGTCGTCCCTTCACCTTCTAGTGTGTGGTCTGGTCAACATACTCAAATGTTATTATACAGTGATCACTCATTCCCAAAGAAGATTTGATATTAACTTCCCTTATGTTTCCCCAATTTAGTGTGAATATCAGAACAAGCCTGGCTCGTTCCTCATTATTGTGAGTCTATAGTAATAACTGCTCAATTGTTTACAGTACTTCTACCTGGGTCTTCTGTCATTTTCTGGAGAATTGCAAATCCATGCTACTATTGTCTTAGGTCCTCCCATTGTTATGGTTCCTGTTATATACTGTAGTTAATGAATCCTTCACAGCTTGGAATAAACAGCTCTTCTAATGTGTAGTTCTTTCTGCTCAACAGGGCTACTCTGTCTTCCCACTCCTTCCATACAATATGAAAGACTTGACGAAATATATACTGCATCAGTTTTAACTCATGACAGTTACTTGGCAGTGAGTGCAATTACATCTAGAATATTCTCATGTGTCCATTCCTTAATATTTTGAAGCAGCTACATGAGCACAAATCATCTGAACTACATGGCCATTTTAGGCTTGTTTTTGTATTCTACCATGTATTAAACTAATGTTCAACATGACTTGTTTTTTTATTGAATTATAGGGTGCATAAATTAATGATAAAATATTTGTCTGTAAAAGCAAATGTAAAAAATTATATAAAATCTATTTATATAAATAGAATTTATATAAATTCTTTTTATATAAAAACTGCACATTTACAGTTTGCTTTAAATTCTTTCCTATCAAAGTAAATTGAACTGCATATTACAGGAGATCACACACACACACACACACACACACACACACACACACACACACACACACACACACACACACACACACACACACACACACACACACACACCGAACCGAGTTTTGTACAGTACAGTATTTCCAAACTTTATACAAAATTGGGTTGTCATTATTATTAAGCTTGAATTACTGTACACTGTATTGGCTGGTGTAGCAATTTTAGGGTACTTTTTATGTCATCCATAAACAGTGAAATCAGAGTCAGAGGTTTTTAATTTAGGCTCCAAGTAAACAATTACGACAACTTTAAATTCTCAAATACAGTAGTGATAGCCGATATTGTAAACGTTTACAACCTCAGGTGGCATACCAAGTGTTCATGAACAGAGTTACTTTGTGTTTAGGTCCTCTAAGTACTGTACTGTACACAATAATTATGATAGATAAAAATTACATATCCTAAACTGTAATGATTAAAATAAGACATAATAAAATAAAACACTTTACTCACCTGTTTGGGGTTAGCTTCAGATTCACACTTGTCCTCTGGACACATTAGAAACTTGATATTTCCTTCACTGATTTGTACCGAAAAGTACGAAGCCATGCAATCTTTGCAGAAAACATGTCGGCATGGCCAGAATTCTAAACAATTCACACCTAATTTGTCCATATAGCAGACTTTACATGCAAAGGTTTTGGTGCCAAAGACTTTCTTTCTCATTTCTTCATCATAATCTCTTAGAAGTCTCAGCATGTTTGTTTTAGGAGCAATGTCTTGAATAGTTCGGCTGTCATAACTCTGACTGTTTTGTCTCGACAGTGTCGAACTCGAAGCTCCTCCATCGGCACCATTACCAACACTAGCACTATCACTCACACTATCACGTTTCTTTTCTACATCAGAATAACAAATAGCACCACACGTGTCTCCCTGTATATCACTAGCTGCCACAAGTACGCAGTTATTTGCAGCTCCAGCTGACTGACGGATGGGTTTTATGTTGTCCAAGTCTAATGTGCCTGTAAAGCCTAAGAGATCTAGACTTTCATCCTTGAGGAATTGCGCCCATGTAAACATCACAACGCAGCCTTTATTTTCAGCCCATAGTCTGTCCAACTGTTGGCAGAGCTGGGTAAGCTGTAAAATAATATAGAAAGGATAATATGCATCTATACACAAAATATATTCCTTTATATTAACTATCTAATTTATTACACATCACATTCAAACCAAAAAAATATAAATATATGATGACAAGACCACACACTAGAATGCGAAGGGACGACGATGTTTCGGTCCGTCCTGGACCGAAACATCGGTCCAGGACGTTGTGTAGTTGTGTAGACGGCTCACAACCTACTCACCAGTAGGTTGTGAGCCGAGAATAAAAAAGTAGCCTTATACAGGTTATATATGATATTGGAGAGTTACTGGTTGGTAGTAGCCTAGAGTGCTGTACTGTAATATTATATATTTTTGTTGTTGTATGTATTCTCGTGTAATAAATGTTTGTTTTTTAACAGCTGACTTTTGCTCTTGTTCTCGTGAGGCTTCCTGAATAGTGAGAGACATGGTTGTAAATTGGTGGACAGAGGTTAACAACATCACAAGGGGGATTTAGGAGATCATCCCATGGTAAAGGAGAGTGTGGGGAGTCACAGCAGCTCGAGTGGGTGTGTACTCATGACAATAGGCCAGTTTGGAGCCGCACCCCAGAATAAAGGTGACGCTGAACCCTTCTCTGAGAACAAGGCAATTACAGGATGATCTCCCAACCTATTATAAGCACCCCAGTGTCCATTGCTGGTCGACTGACAGCAGTAGAAGTGTATTTGCTGTGGTTGGTCATATTTTTATCAGGGAGTGGTTGGGGTCTCTGTTCGTCAGTAAAAAAGTATCAGTTTGGTTCAATAACCCGTTTTATAAAATCCCCAACCCCTGATGCAGGTGGCTCCATGGGTTTATAACCCCTAAACCAAACTTAAATTTGGTTTAATTATATGTAACAAAAATAAAACATTATTAATTGCAATCTTACATACCTGGGCTCTATTAAGCCATTTACAAGAAAGGGTAAAACTCGGGGGATGTTTGGAGGGATATGTGGCTGGGAAGGTGAAGTGAAGATAGATTGCTGGCAAGTGCTCAACTACATAGCTTTGTTCTTGCACCTCACCTGAAAATAAAGTAAGAAACAGATCATAAATAAATCAATTATAACCATAGAACTGAAGCAGACGAGAAGCACAATGAACTCGCATTAACATGATGTATCAATGAGAAAATCAGTACCAAGGCTTGGGAGTACCCAGTGTGGGGGTTCGAATCCTACTCAGAGCTCCTACTGATTTTTCTCAGCAGAGTAGGTATCCATACTGAATAGACATTTCTAGCATTGAGTATTATAAAAATGCTATGAATTGCTGTCACATGAAGCCATTTTTAATATGGCAACTTCTTTCTCATAAATAATATGTGTATATATATTATGTATGTATGTATGATACATCTGGCTCATTGGCAAATTATATCTGAACACCTAGAAAATACAAAACAACACCCACTTGTATTGGAATTTTTTTCCAATACAGTATAATTATGTATATTAATGTCTGTACTAAATATCCCTAGTTCCTGAAAGTTCAACTAAATGAAGAGCATTTGGTTTGCTATGCTGGACGACGGCAAAGCGAACCAAATGTTCAGTGGCTTATTCCTTCGGAACCAAAAAGGTTAAAATCAGATATTACAAGACATAGTACCATAGTGGATCAGTAATCTTCGTTAGCATATTAAAAGTGCTTAACAAGCCAGGCAAGTTTGAATTATGCACAAGACATACCATTCTCGCCAGTGTGTCTCGTGAGTAATGTAAAGTCTGGAGGCAGCTCTAAATGGATTGCTAGTTCTCCCCCTCGAATAAAATCTTGCGTTTCCATGGGGCCAGTCTCTTGGTCTTGCACAGATGTGAAGGATTCTTCATAAATGCTGGCCAGGGCAAGTAGTTCATCGTCCTGTTCTTCTGTGTCCAGAGACATCCTCTCTGCTACTACTACTGGAAAATGTATTGCATACATCAATATATTTTAAGCCAATTATTATATGGGGTCTATTTAATTAATTGTCACATATTATACGGTACAAGTAGCAATGACAGTGTAATAATAAGTTACATGGAAATGTTTTCAGATTTTTTATACAGTACTTCATCTATTATATACTTCAAATCAAATCAAATCAAGTAAAATGTTTATTCAGGTAAAAGTACATACATAGAAGATTAGTTACAAACATAATGATTGGCTTTATAGATAGTATTTATTGTTTATATTTAAACAATATAGATTATATAGTTATAGATTTTATATAGATTTATAATTTACTTTATATAGATTTATAGTTTACTTTATATAAATATATAGTTACTTCCTGTAACCCAATACCGTACATTTTAATAAAACACTAATATGAATGGTAGCTAATATTTGTAGGTGAAGTGTGTCATAATATATTCTCTGTGGAATATGTATGAGAATCGATCCATGATCTTAGCACAAAACACTATGCTTATGGCACCTAATTTTTTTTAAGTTAATATTTTTGGAGGTGTGGAACAGATTAATACAATTTACATTATTTCTTATGGGAAAATTTGTTTCGACTTACGAATTCTCGACTTATGACCCGTCTCTGGGAACGGATTAAATTCGCAAGTTGAGGCCCCACTGTGTATATTATATATATACACAAGAAGGTACAATGGGTTTATGAGAGTACATAGCATTGATGTTTATACATTCTTGTAAAGCCACTAATACGCACAGCATTTCGGGCAGGTCCTTAATCTAACAGATAATTTTACGTAAGTAATTTGTAACAAAATTGAATATATTCAATTTAAACATAATAAATATATAAACAATATATATATATATATATATATATATATATATATATATATATATATATTATATATATATATGGCTTAGTGTTGTATGTATATATGACACCGAGCCATTATGGTAGAGCAAGACCATCGCTCTACTGTCAAACAAAAGTGGTGGGGCATAGGGCTCTTTAATATTACTCATTTTGGGCCTAATTAAATTAATAACCTAATGAAAAGGTTATGTTTATGTCATAACAATATGTTATCTCATACCCAAAATCCACTATGTTCCTGCTGCTGTTTGATTTCTGGGCCAGGATGGTGCTGGATGTGTCCCAGTGTTCCTTTAGGCTTAGAGGGTAAAATGCAAAGCCTTGTAGCTATACTAACATCAGCTAAAACAAATGTGCCTCGTGGAGGATAACCACACTGGTAGAGATATGTCTGGGGAGCCCCAAGTGTGGCACTTTAAAATCAAATCAAAATCAAAATGTTTATTTAGGTAAGGTACATACATAAAAGAGATTTTACAAAGAGTGATGGATTAATAGTTAGGGCTAGTACATACAATGCCTAAAGCCATATTATGCAAAGCGTTTCGGGCATAAAAAACTTAAATGACTAAAGCTTAATACTAATTGAGCATAAAGAGTAAAATGAAAACATGGAATGAAAATATAGCTGAAAAAGCAGCACAAATACAATTATGTCGACAAACAGCGCTCTTAAAAAAAAAAAACAGACATTGGATGACATTAGAGGGGTAAGGTAGGTTACAGGGAATTTATTAGGTATAGCTTCGTTTTTATCTTAAACTGGTTGAGAGAGGTACAGTCTTTAACAGTCACTTATCAAGAGAAAGTGCCAAGCCCTTTAGCCCAAGCCTTAAAGTGCCATCACTTTATAGCATCTAGAAAAGATATGCCTTATGTTTATATTTTTAAATGGTGTATTAGAAAGACTAGCAAGCACAACAATTTATATTCTAGTTATTATGTAGGATTCCTCCCCTGGTGGAAGCAGAAACAAATGGGCAGTTTCTTTCACCCTGATGCCCCTGTTACCTAGCAGTAAATCGGTACCTGAGAGTTAAACAGCTGCTACGGGCTGCATCTTGGGGCTGTGTAACAAAAAGGAGGCCTGATCGAGGACCGGGCCACGGGGACGCTAAGCCCCGAAATCATCTCAAGATAACCTCAAGATAGAACTAAAATTTTTGCTACAATCTACTTTTAAATACTCATACTTTATCTGCTAGATTAAAGACCTGCCTGAAACACTATGCATATTAGTGGCTTTGCAAGAACACTAATGTTATGTACTCTCACAACCCTATGTACCTTTCATATAAATAAATAAATACAGATGGGTTCCAGTATTATCAACCAATCCTTTGGTTGGCAATGTCTATCTGTACTATGCCACACAGTATTTACCTTAAAGTGAGCTTTATTGATGAACTATAGAAACTTAATCCTGACTTACATTTAGCAGACAATCTAAAGAAACTATAATATGGTATAAGCAAGTGTCCCTGGGTGTGGCTTTACCTTCACCAACTACCTGGACTCTTGCACGGTCTAGCCCGCCCAAGGTCGCCATGCAGTAGTCTCCTTAGACCGGCACATCCAAGTAACGGCACTGTCCTAAGACCACGAATATGCCTTGGAAGGAATGCACTGAGCCACCCACGGAGGCAGACGCAATCCACCCAACTTCACCCCAGTGAGGCCCACAAACACCTCACATGTCTATTACTGGCTGGCAGGCCGCCCCAGCCATGAGAGGTACCTGATAACGCAGATGTTGGCGGTGGTGGAGACAGGGTGGAGAGGTGGAGGCAACAGCTGCAGTGTTTACAGTGGAGGCAGCTGAGACGGGCACTACCGGCCTAACGTCATCTCCACACTTGCAACACATGTGTCATCCTTCTCCCTCTTGCATATTATTATATCACTCTCAACACCATTAATTATATCCTTGCTTGCTTGTGGTGATGGCAGATACGCTTCTCTCGAAGTTATATTATTCCGCTTTGGTGATGAAGTCGGATATATGCGGCAACCATGTATTGCCTAACATTATTCCAACCATATTTCGTTTCCGTTTTTCACCTTCGTGAAGCTAATATTACACTCTCTAATGTAACAGTTAAACATAAGTAGCTTATAAATATATCGTAGGGATAATTTAAGTAGCAATTCTGTTTACGGATATTAGATATATGTCATGTACGTTGTCCCGAAAATTCCAGTAACTTGACAGGTTTTCCTAAAATAGTTTGACAAGTGGGATGATACGAGTTATCATCCTATTTACATTTTGTATTAATTAACCAAGAATAAATTATGATACGATTTTAGCTCACTTATGTAACCTGGATTATGCAATGTCAGCTCCATCAACCCATACTTGTTCAATTTAACTATTTTTTGTATATATTGTGTAATATAATAATTATTTGTAATATCTGACAAGTTTCAGTTGCTAAAAGCTGGCTGTACTTGATTATTTATGGACCCGATATATATATTGTTAATTAAACTGAAAAGGACTGGCCTAACGTTGGAGCCTCATCATCCTTCTCGCATAAAACTCCCAACACCATTAATTATGCTCCTTACGTCCTTAAACATAATAAATTAGATGCGATACTAAGCTGTTGCCGGGTCTACCAATCTCCCTCCCCCCCCTTCTCCATCTCCACCCTTCTCCCCTCTCCTCCACTTCCTCCCTTTCACCTCTCAGAAAATTTTACTGAAAACTGCTGAGAACTCTACGGAAAGCAAATTACAGATTTCAAATTTCATGAAAATCGCAAGGGGTCACTATAGGTGCTAATATTTCCTAAAATGTGGCTCTGGGGCTGACCTCATCGAGGCATATAAAGGAGGACGACAGGGGACGCGGGGGGGGGGGGGGGGCAGGATTGGGACGGCACCGCTTCTGTGCCAGGTAAGTCCACTACGGGCCCACCATAGCCCGTGCTATTTGCCCCGCTCCTGTGCCAGGTAAGTTACGGGCTCACCATAGCCCGTGCTACTTGGAACTTGTTCCGAGTAGCTGAATCTATAACAACACAACAACGGACGCGGGGGAGCCAAGAGACGTGGGGAGCTAGGACACGTAGGGAGCTAGGACACATGGGGATCGAGTGTAACACGGGGAGGGTGTTCTCGACTTAACTTCTCCTTCTACTCCCCCTCTACCCGTATTCTTACTTTTTATTCTCTACAAGGGACTCCAAAACTTTTACTAAAGCCGACTCCACGCCACGTGGTCCTAAGACGATTGACCGACTTAGGATTCTACAACCCGTATGACGTGACCTAGGCTTTGACCAAAACCCTAGAGTCGCCTCCGCCGCCACCACCAGACCAGTAACTCTAAGCAATGATCGAGGTCTGGATCGATCATGCTAATTAATCAACCTTGGGGCTTGATCCCCACTAGTAACCGATGACCTTGGAAACTTGGAGTGTGGAATTAATTACACGGGAATGATGAATTCCGACTCGATGTTAGAATTGGCGCCCAATCCAACTCTGCCTCGTGTGGACCACGTGACCAGGACAAGTTTACATAAACACATGGAAATAATAAAATGCAAATTATTAACTAATTAATTTATTAAAAGAAAACTAAAACAAAATCTAAATATGTTCACTCCCTGTCACTTTAACACTCCCTACTTGACCTGAACGGCAATGAGTTGACTATCCCTATAAATAACAATAGCAACTATACCTCAGAGGGTTTGCTAAAGATGTTGGGCTGGTCTTGGGGGAGAGGTGAGATGGGTTGACCTCCCCCAGTTGATCTGGAGTCCACACCCGCCAAACACACACCGAAACTACGACGTTGGTACAACGTTCGAACAAGTTTTACCACCACCTAACCAGTTATAACAACCAATATAGCAAGTTGTAACAACGTTCTAATACGTCATAAACACGTTAAGCCAAGATGTAACAACTTTATTACAAGTTTTAATATGCGGAAAATAAGAGACAGTTTCGGTTTGTGTTTCCAGGGCACTGATCTCTCCTCTCTCTGATCTTCCCCAAACTAGAGCATTGTATTGTTCCGCATCGCTTACAGTTACTTAGCAAGGTTTAAGTTATAACAATTAACCTCTGTTGTACTTAATTGATCCAGACTGGTTGAATTATTTTACTGAAGTTAAATTACACAAGCATCTAACGGCAGAACTGTTCCCGATCACCAAAATGGTTATTTGAACTTTGAGAAAATAGTGGACATGTCAACTCTGATGACCTATGACCGCCGGTCACTCGCGCCTTACAACTTAGATCTGATTCGTGACGTCACTGATGGTGACTTAACTCAAATCTCCTAATAATTAGAATACTCTTGGTACTATAACCAGGAATATTATACAATACAGTTTTAATACAAAATTAATAAAGGCTAATTTATCTAAATTACTGAATACTATAAGATGGTTCATTATACAAAACTATGAACAAGGCGTCGATTATTTTCACCGCGAATTCCCTAGGGGTCAGGTCCCGGGTCACCACACGGGCCCAGCTTCCCATTCTCTTTTATCGATAAACCACTCTGGATAATTCTTACAACCAGCCTAGTTTGTTACAACCCCCCCCCCCCCGCACAAGCACTTAGTAAACCTTGTTAATTTGTTAAAAATCACGAGGTTTAGTATCCAAACCCACAATTCAACTCATGCCACAACAAAAGCTAACCTAACTAATAAAATTTGACAAATATTTGAGTGTCCAACATCAACATGTTTAAATTCATAAACTTCTCAGCTGTCAACTGACAGCAATCCTCTAACATCAGGAAACATACATCCTATCCTTACTGACATAGCTAAAAAGGACACATGGGGAGCCAGGACACATGGGGAGCTTAGTCGTGACGCAGGATACCATAGCCAGGGGACGTGGGAAGACAGGACACGTGGGAATTGGCTTGTGAAGTGAGAATTAAATTCATTGTAAAGTGTAAAGTGGCAAGCAATGAGTAAAGTGGTAAATGTATGTAAAGTGGCAGCCATGTTGAGGGATTTATGGTATCGGTGTCAGGTGGGTAAGGAATTACCTTACCATCGTACAGTATGCATGAACCCCCCCCCCCCACATCGATTAGGCTATCTTTCACAAATATTAGTTCTCGAATAATTAATTAGCGTCAGCGCACTCGCTCAAATAAAATAAAACAGTTGATTATAAGTGTAATTTAAGTATCATATGGTAATGAAATGATAAATATGAATATATAGTCGTGGGTATATAGTTATTCGACGAGGTTGTTCATAATAGAAGAACCGAACAATACTCTTTAGTTATTTTGCTAGTTATGAAGCATCTTATTATGTTTAATAAGTTGTTCGCAAGTTGCTTATATTACTATGCAACTTTATTGTATGAATGTACATATGTACCGAGATTAGCGTGGAGTGGCAGCGGTGTTTGTTGTGTGAGAGTGGCGTCTAGCAACCACCATTCCTAGGGAACACGTGTAGTCAATACCTCACCTCAGTTTGCCTCTCCCTTACACCTGAGGAACTCTCGGCTGTGCTCTGTGAGGCCAGGAAGCTGTGGCAGGGACCCGCTATTGACATGTGGTGCAGATAAGGTCTTCTGGTCCCCATCCTCATGTGGTGAAATGCCACATGGTTGGCGGTAGAGGTAAGCTGCGAAATGTATTCCTGGGTTTGTTTAGATTATTTATTAATTTGCATGTTCTTCGAGGATGAAAGTTTTCGGTAATTTAATTGAGGTGTAATATTTCACATTTTTATATTTTAAAAATTTATTGTTACATTACAGAGGGTTTGTTAGAGAAGGCATATAGCTAGGCTGTAATTTTCACCGTATTTTGACCACATAGCCTCGTTTCTTATAATAATTTATGCCTATGCAAGAAAAACTGTATTATTTATGTATCTTGCCATAGTTATATCACCCGATATACTTGGTCTTGAAGCTATGATTAGCAGTGACTTCCACCGCCACCTTTCCCTAGTTAATTTCATTTAGCACCCACATTGTGTATGAGTATTTTCTCGTTTTTGAGTCAGCTTCCATCTATGCCCCTCGTTCTATTTTTTTTCATTGCGTCTATTCTCGTATTTAATATGATGGGATCATGTCTCATCTTGTCCTTCTGTCTTCTAGTGTCGTTAGATGCGTTTACATGACCTGTCCACATAGCTCAGCGCTCTTACTTCTAGCACTTGTCTTGAAATATATAGCTTGATCTTTTTTTGTGCTTCGGACGGTGGGGTTACATGCTGGTGCTACATACTCTAGAAGCGGCTTGGCGTGTTTAATGTTCTACATGAGATCCTGTTTAGGTCTTTCAGTTCTCACCTAAAAGTGCTTAAAGTCGGTAGCACTGAGCCCCGCCTTACCAGCTGTCAGTTGCCATAATGCAGTGTATCAGACACGGTTCTCCTGTTTCTTCTATCTACTTATGTGTATATTCCGCACATGCGCGCGCGTGTTCGTGAGGGGGATGGGGGGGGGGGGGAGGTCGCTTGTGCTTACCTATCAATGATTATGAGGGTGTAAGGTCTAGCTCTCAATCCCATGGCTACTAGTTTTTTGTACCGAGTGAGATTTTTTTTAACTAATGACGTTCGAGTTCTTTGTTAAATCTACTTTGAAGTTGTGGATGGAGGTGGCTTCCATTTCTTCTTTCAGTTCTTTCTACATGGTTTCTTCGACTCATTAACGGGAGACAAAGTACATATGCAGCCTCTTCAAGTAGCCATGGTGATATTAGGTCTGTCCCCTACTGCTTTGTTTGCATCTAGTTCTTCCACGTTGTTTTATATCTTTTTCAGTGACTTATTCTTTCCACTGTTGAGTCTGGCTGCTTGTCGACTCTCCCCTCGGTATTTACACTGGTTGTGCTTTGTAGACTTTCTGGAATTTATTGTTGAATTGTTCACATACCTTGTAGCTTTGTGAGAATGTTCCCTCGTTTTCTTAACCTAACTGCATGGTCTCTTACTGTTGTTTTCTTGGTCAGGAAGCAGCTTTAGTTGGCCTTGTGGTATTATATGTTGTTCTCGAAGTTGCTGATTTACTATCTTTCGCTTCCTTGTTGTCCTCCATTCCAAATTGTCTGTATTTTTCAGTGCCTTTTTGGTACTGTTTTATCTGACCTAGAATGCCTATTTTACCAAGGGCTTTGCTTTTATCCTTCACTTCAATCTTGAGCGGAATAAACTGTTCCGTTATAATGTCCACATTTCCGGACTATGAATTCCATCATCTCATTTATGGTCTACCCCTCTAATTCGTTTTTCCACTGCAGTATTTGTAGGTTGGCTTCTTCCTCTCAAGATGAGGGGGGAAGAAGCCTTCCCCTTCTTCCCCTTCCTTCTTCAAGCGTCCTCTTCCCCTCTTCTTGGTGGCTCCGTGATACGTTGCCTCAAGAAGTGTTTGTTCGTTGCTTCCACCAGCTTTGCTGTCCGTGTTTCATTACTTTCGTGGGGGAATCCTTCGTTACCCAGTTTATTTACCATTGATTAAAATCTCCAAGTGTTAGAATCTTAGTAGTCGCATATTTTTGTCACTGCCATCCCCCTCCTTTTCCATATTCCTCCATTGCCCTCTTGGTATTAGGTAGAGGGTTATAAATGTCCACTGCCGCTTCATGATCCCCACATACCTGTGTGCTATTATTCTGATGTTGGTCAGCTGTAAACATTACGTTTTGTGTACCACATTGCTCATTTGTTTATTTTGTGCATTTGCTTATATTCTTTTTAATTTTGTAAACCAGTCTTCTGTACATGAACGAATTGAAGGTGCGCACCTATGTACTCGCACGAGGGGCGGGGAGGAGTGGGTGACAGAGGACGACCTTGAAGTTAAGGTGGTTTCGGGGCTTAGCGCCCCCGCGGTCCGGTCGTCGACCAGAAGACGAGGGCGCATCTCTGGAACAAACCAGCCAGTACACATGATTTACACAAAGGGTCAGCTTCATTAAACAGTATTCACACCCAGACCACCGGGGAGGTTTGGAGCGGATATGTACGAATCTTGTCACTATAAATGACTACACTGACACATACAGCCTCATGTCGAGAACTTTTTTTTTATTGTTATTATTTTCTACCACAGACGTGGCCACACATTTACAATGCTAACCAGCATATATACATTTTCTTCTGTCCTCTATGGACAGGGTGAGAGATTTGTCAAACATACAGTCCAGAGATTTATTGAACAACCACAGAAGGTGATCGTAGTGCTTTTAAAATGTTAGGCTCAGCTATATACGTAAATACATAGATACATAGATTTATGAATGCATTAATGTGAATTTATAATGGTGAAATGCAATTCTGATCAGCTTTATACTTTATACACATACATACATACACATACATACACACACATACATACATACACACTGTCTTTCCAGCTTGTTGCCGTGTAGGATATTTTTTCCGATTTTGTCCTAAATTTGCTTTTCTTGGGATATTTCCATTATGTATGTATCTTTATATTTTATGTTGCATGCTCTGACAGTCTTTCTTGTTTTACTACGTAAGATCTCGCACTCAGTAAGTGTTTGCTGGGTATTTTTCCTACATGTTTGCTAAGTCCTCCTTGGCTTTCACGTCACCTACGTGTTTCGCACGTGAGAGACGAAGGCATGACACGTATAATACACCAGTTGAATGATGGTGTGTCATTATGAATAGGTACCGGTAGGTCTTTAACAAATATTTCGAGTCAAATTTGGATTAGGGAATGACTGATGTTATTGAGAAAAGTGATCAGTAAATTTTCAAGAGTTCACCGTTGGTGATGTGGGATCAGTATGAGTAAGGGTCAGTATGAGTGAGGGTCAGTATGAGTGAGAGGTCAGTAAGCGTGAGTAAGGGTAAGTGTGAGTCAAGGTGAGTATGTGTGTGTGTGCAAATTTACACCTTATTCGCGAAAGCCTGTTCGAAGATACAATTTGTGTAGCCTAATACAGTTCCTACCCACAATATACATGCTATATTGCACCTGGGCCTCGCCCTGTACCTCCGCTGCTTGTGTCGCAAAAACATCTTGCAAGTTCCACAACAGGTTATCAGGGAAGAAAAGAGTTATTTAAAGCCGATACATAACTTCATCCAACACAAGCTTAAAAACAAGGATGGAAGAGGTCGCGAGAAAAGTCATGTATTTGCGTCAGTGATCATTATTGAGCGGTGGGAGAGGGGGTGGGATGGTTCTGTGGGAGGGGGGGGGGGGGCGGACAGGAGGGAGTGATGAAGAGAATGTCTCCCCTCTCTCCCCCACAATAGAAAAAAACATGCACACTACCTCCACTCAGCACATTCCTCGCCGTAGGAAAATATATAGGCAAGGATAGTTTATCTTAAGTTATCTTGTTCAGGCTAAATCAGGCTTCAGGTTATCTTGTTTAGGCTAAATCTGTTTTAAAAATTTCTCAAATTGTACAGCTCTTTCGCTCTTTGTTTAGGAAGCATATAGAATCGCGGGTTGTACCTGTGGATAACTCTAAAATTTATTTTAATGTACGTACTTTTTTCAGTCAAATTTCTTATACAATGTATTTTTTATACTTTCTTAAAATGCATTTTTATACCTTCTTACAATGTATTTTTATACTTTCTTACAATGTACCTGTTTTTTTTTTAAATTTTGCTAGAAATTGCCTACTTAAAATTATATGTTAGATTAAGAATCTGCCCGAAACGCTATGCGTGCTAGTGGCTTTACAAGAATGTATAACTTGAAGTCTATGTACTCTAATAAACCCATTGTACCTTCTTGTATATAAATAAATAAATAAATAAATAAATAAATAAATAAATAAATAAATAAATCCTGATATAGACATCTGTCTCACACACACGCACATGCGTGCGCAGTAACCCAGGGCGGATTGACTAGGCACCAATCCTGGTTGTAAAGTAATTTGCGATAGGAAACATCAGCGGAGAGTAAGACAACATGACCTAAGGGAAAGCTAGTGGCCTGGCAAGAGGAGAAATCGTCTACTCCTGAAGTAAAAAATATAAAAGGAGAGAGAGAAAGAGAGAGAGAGAGAGAGAGAGAGAGAGAGAGAGAGAGAGAGAGAGAGAGAGAGAGAGAGAGAGAGAGAGAGAGAGAGAGAGAGAGAGAGAGAGAGAGAGAGAGAGAGAGAGAGAGAGAGAGAGAGAGAGAGAGAGAGAGAGAGAGAGAGAGAGAGAGAGAGAGAGAGAGAGAGAGAGAGAGAGAGAGAGAGAGAGAGAGAGAGAGAGAGAGAGAGAGAGAGAGAGAGAGAGAGAGAGAGAGAGAGAGAGAGAGAGAGAGAGAGAGAGAGAGAGAGAGAGAGAGAGAGAGAGAGAGAGAGAGAGAGAGAGAGAGAGAGAGAGAGAGAGAGAGAGAGAGAGAGAGAGAGAGAGAGAGAGAGAGAGAGAGAGTGTGTGTGAGAGGAGGGGGGGAAGGAGGGAGGTAAGCAGAGCAGATCAACACATACAGAATGCTATTCAACATAACGAGCCGTGTTAATATTGACCATGTCAGAGTGCACTTTAACCTTCTATCAGCAGGCAACCTTCGTCCTGCAGAAAGCGAGAATGTGCCGCCCGCACACCGCCTTGTTAACTCTGCCTGTTTTATTGATTTCACCTAATGTAATGCCGTTACGTCTAGATCGTGGCAGCGCGACCTCACGACAGTAATATTATTACCGTGACAAGCTGACTATAGACCATGGTCCGTCACGCTGTTGCTCCTTCCAGGTGGTTTTAGTTCAATTATTATGCGCCCCTCACCCATCCTATGAACTGCAGTCGATCCCATACCCTTCCCATGAACAGTAGTGGATCCCATACTCTGCCTGTGAACAACAGTCGATCCAATACCCTCACTATGAACAGCAATGGATCCCATACCCTTCCTATGAACAGTAGTGGATCCCATACTCTGCCTGTGAACAACAGTCGATCCAATACCCTCACTATGAACAGTAATGGATCCCATACCCTTCCTATGAACAGTAGTGGATCCCATACCCTTCCTATGAACAGTAGTCGATCCCATACCCTTCCTATGAACAGTAGTCGATCCCATACCCTTCCTATGAACAGTAGTCGATCCCATACCCTTCCTATGAACAGTAGTCGATCCCATACCCTTCCTATGAACAGTAGTCGATCCCATACCCTTCCTATGAACAGTAGTCGATCCCATACCCTTCCTATGAACAGTAGTCGATCCCATACCCTTCCTATGAGTAGTATTAGAACATTGTATCCATCCTGTATGTTATAGTGGGTCAAGACACAACCTAATCTAATCTAAGCCTAGATATACACAAAAATTATAAAGATATTAATTTATATATGAAAAAATATAGTTTTTGATTACACAATATGTTAAAATTTGTGGATGTGTCTTTGAGTATGCAGCTTGGGCAAGCATGAGCTGGGGTTGGGATGATATACTGACAACTTATATTGTCTCGGGTCATGCTCAGTACTAGTTGGTTGGTCAGAAAATTATGAGATAATATGACCTTGTTTCGTTGTTATCATTCGTATACATTAATTATTTTATGTTTTGTCTTGGGTATTAATTTAAGATACAATGTGTGAAAACTTTTCTTTAATAACAAGAGCCAAAGTTTTTGCTGGTAAAAGCAAAAGTATTGTCAAAGTATTGCCATGTTATACTTAGTCATGCGAAGCGTAAAGCCTAGCCACATCATATCCTAGCCTCGTGTTATCCTAGCCAAACTCCGCGTCCTCCTAGCCAACATCACCATCCCCATCATATAAGCCACCATCATTGATCTTCAGAACATCATATCACTAATCTATTCAGAAAATCCATAGCTCCTCCAACACGTGTCAACAGTTATTCCTCATCAAAACAACACAGCTGATGTCTTTCTACTGAATGTATCTCATTCCATACAATAAAATTATTTGTATAGGGTTAAAACATTGGTTTAAAGATATACCCTTCCATGTTTTCTACTTCAGACTCGGTACGTAGAGACGAGACAGACCATGGGTGTAGGCGGAGAGGCTGAGGATCACAGTGAGAGGACCAGAGGGGCTAGTTAGCCCGCCTACATATATAGACTCCCAGTACAGCCTCGTAGACTCAACCAGGGCCTCCATGGAGTCACCGGGCCCTCAGCCTCTCACCGGGCGGTACACCATGAATACCTCGTATGTGGACATGGATGTGAGTACTTTCACCTCCTCTTTTAGCGTCGCCGGGAATGAATGCCCTCACATGCAGGTGTGTGTGTCGTAAAGGAGCTTTGTTCTTTACTAAAGTTCACTTTAAATATCAGTCTTTTATTATTTTTTTTAAGAATCAATTGTTGACTCCTACTCTAGTCTTCAGTACAGACAGGTCTGTCTGTACTGAACAGACAGCCATGACTAGATCTAGCCATGACTAGATCTGTTTAATATCCCTGCATTGGACTGGTCTCTTGACTTCGTTGAAGCATTCTCTGCAGGCATCATTCCCTCTCCATATTTAGCAACGCACAATTATACAAAGTTCATAGCTATACAATTTAAGTGTTACTCCTTCAACAGCCAACCAGTGGACTAGTAGTACGCATCCATCAGTCTCAGGAGACCATTGAGTCGCGCTCTGGTTGTCGCTCTCTAGGGCACAAAACCAGGGGTTAGATTCACGAAGAAGTTACGCAAGCACTTACGAACCTGTACATCTTTTCTCAATCTTTGGCGGCTTTGTTTACATTTATTAAACAGTTAATGAACTCCGAAGCACCAGGAGGCTGTTTATAACAATAACGACAGTTGATTGGCAAGTTTTCATGCTTTTAAACTGTCTAATAAATGTAACCAAAGCCGTCAAAGATTGAGGAAAGATGTACACGTTTGTAAATACGTGCGTAACTGCTTCGTGAATCTGGCCCAGGGTAGGTTGATACGGGGAAGAAGCTGTCAGGGACTGGACTACTATTGTTGTAAATGACATAAAGTTTTACACCAACAGCTGGACTCCATTCAAGCAAGGCGCGCCCAACTCAAAGCTCTCACCACCTCTGTAAGGCTCCCTCCTCTCGTTCCCTCTGACGACGACAGCACCCGCCATGACCATGAACACGCCGTGTTCCGGCGTGACACAGGCAGGAGCACGTCTTCAGGAGAGAGGTACATGAAGCAGCGGCAGAGGTCAGAGCAGCAGCAGAGGTCCTCCAAGACCTCAGTAACGTCAGCGCGGGCGCGCTCGGCCACGGTCAAGCTGCCCAAACTCTCCATCTACCCAATGGCGTTAGTATTACTTCTGCCCCCGCCGATAATATATATAGATAATCATGTATCTATATAAAAAAGATATTACATACATCACGATACCATTTGATACGATATTTGGTATTTTACTTTTTAATTCTTGTATTATGTTTAGACTAAAGTAGATTTGCTGGTTGGTCAGTGTGCTATAGTGATGGCCTTAATAACCCTTCCGAGGCTAATTAGCCTTAAGCCCAACACCAAAACATCAATGTTTCAGGTTCACAAGCATATGGCATTTGAAAGATCTTAAAGGTCACACGCAATACATTTTTGTGTTTTAATTAAGCTATTCAGACACGCCTGAACCTGTGTAGCTGCCCTAGACAATACTGAGTCACACAGCTTCACTGAAACTAACTACACAGAACATCCTTGTGTTTTGCCAGTCCAACTTTTCTGCACAAGTTGTTAGTATAGACCAGTCCAGCAACCAGGAGGCCTGGTCAGGGACCGGGCCGCGGGGACGTTGAGCCCCGACATTAACGCAAGGTAACGGTATAAACAGGTTGCTCTACACCAGACAGATATTGATGATGATTCCTGTTCCCTCGACGTGTCAATCCGTTAAAAATTAGTTTTTTTTAACCTCGATATTAGCCTAACAGGCATATATATACACTTGCTGCCTGTCCCCGATACAATAAATTATATAGTGAAGGTGATAATGTTTCTTGTGCTGCAGAGGGTCGCAAATATTCACGGTAGCAGTATATATTTTATATCACCTGTCATAATGATGTCGGGAATATATAAAATAAACAGAGAACTGTTGATTAGATTTGGCGCCAGTCTTTCGTAAGTAATTGGCATCTATTAATCATGTCCACCGGAATTCAGATATTCCTTGATCATGAAAAGTTTAAATTTAAAATGTAAAATCTTGGCAGGTCACACAGCACCCCGCTGCCAAACATTGGCGAGACCAGATGGCAGACGGATAACGTCAACCAATATGAAACAAAGATGGCTTCTCCACCTTCGCCAGTATACGAGGACGCTCACACCGTCAACCAGTGGGCGGAAGACGCCAGACAAAACAACATGAATACATCCTCGGAATCCTCAGAAGATCGTAAGGTAAGACAATATACTCTCAACCTCAAACCTAATTTTTGTTTCAAGGTGACTTAAGAATATTGTGTCAGGTGTCGTTGGAGTTAAAAGCAAAGCTGTCCGAGAAAATTACTGCAACAGAACGGAATTATCAACATAAATGCATAGTATCAGCTTTATAATAATTTTTTTATTATATTGACAATGACTTCATCTATTATACTGTGTCACCTCGATAATTAGTCTTGGATATAGTACTGAGAAAATGGAGCTGTGTATTCAGTAACATCTTGCCAAATCATGTGGGAATAATAGGAAATGACATTGCAGACGAAGCTGTAAAACTTGTAACTAAGAGAAGAAATGTAGACATTTACATACCACAGAATCCATCACAGATTAAGAAAGTAATTAAAAACAGAGCAATGCAAAAGCTGTACAGTGACCACAACACTGTAGTTGCAACATCAGGATCTGCGGATTGGTGCAAGAATTCAACAAACATATTTGATATATCATAAGAGTAAATTCAAACTCGGTTAAAATACATGTATATATTTGTGATATGATTATAACAATTAAATATGGAAATGATCCTTCAATATTTGTTCCCCCCCATCCCCCGTCCTAGGCTACTCCACCATCAGGAAAACGCAAAACAGTAAGTCATTATACTACACGGAAATCATAGTATTTATAAGGTAATTAATTACATTGTAGCAGTGGCTTATATAAATAAATATAATGTATCTATACTAGATATCATCAGCTTGATTTGTTAACCACATGCAGCCTATTAATCCATGGTTATGTACGAACTGTTGTTGTATAATTTGATTATTATTAGTTTTGAATATTCTTGTGGTTTCCCTCAGCCTGTCACAACGACCCCTGGAGCCGAACCTCAACCTCCAGGAAGTAGATCTGTATGTATTAGCAAATTGGTTAAATAACAATAGCTTAATGGTTCTTAAATTTTAATCTGATTGAATTCATGTGTTATTTATAATATCTTAATGCAATTTGTATATCATAATGTAGAGTGAGGTTTGATAATACTCTTAAGTATTTTGATATAAAGAATAGGGTGTATGTTGACTGCCATAATTGTAATTGTAGATTGTTACCAAAATGCATCTTTATCATAGGCTTTCAACAAATGGTCAACATTTAGTTTGCCCATCAAGAACACCGACCACATCCCAGATGCTCTTCCCTGGACAAATTATACAAAATTGGAACAATCGTACACTAAATGCTCCGCTTTTGATTTGAATAAGCCATACATAAATACATTTTACACAGCATATAATTTAATAGCTCTGAGAAAATGAATCCTCTGAGACAAAGACTGACAGTCTTCAAGGGAGACCTGATGCTGCAACCCTTCCAACCAATAGACATTACGTTTTAATACTAAATATAATAAGTACATTTCTGACTGTCTGCATAGTACATAAATATACTTTTTGTGCTGTTACATTTACCTCCCCATATATTCTCCTTATTTTCTGTTAATACACTCAGCATTTTTACTTTGAAGTTTTCGTGTTTAATTCGATATACACAAGTTTTAAATATAAAGAATTTCTTTTTCAGTTTTATTAAACAATAGAGATTTTATACAAAATTTGAAAATATCCTGAGTTACTTCATAATTTATTGAAAGACTTTAGTTTTGTTTTATTAGATTTATAAAATTATAATATCAATGTAGCTATAGGTTAAGTACTAATTGTAATTAAGAAGCAGTAAATGCTATTTACATGCTTGTCCTCCTACACTCCCAAGGTTAGGTTAGGTTAAGGTTTTCTATACAGCTTTTCAGGTAAACTCTAATATTCACAATATTTTGGTGCAATGCTGGCGATTAAGTGTATTAATGTACTATGCCGATAGTCAGGATTGTACTTATTACATTTAGCATTAAAACGTACTGTCTATTCGGAAAATGGGCTGAATATTAGATTTGAAAACTGGTCTCACGTCCCCCCGGCCTGATTGAACACAGACCAGCTCCTGTTCTTGTGACATGCAGATGGAAGTCAAGTAGACTCAACCATAATATATATACACAGGGTGTCACTAAAGTTTGGCCTCACAGGACAAGTATATGACAATATAATTTTAATTTACAATCGATTTATTAATTAGTTATTTTCATTTTGCCTATGGGGCCAGACTTTTGGGACACCCTCCTTTAATTAGCGTGGTTACTGACTAATACATTTGTTTCGGCAGCCGGATACAGAGCTGGTATCACCGAATAAGCGGCCAGAGGTGAGTTTCTAAATATTACGACAAACTATTCCTAATCGACTCATAGGTATTAGGGATTGGTGGATGTTACCTACGTTGATTTTAGGGAGATTAACACACGTCATTTTACCATGTTAATCTTTAGTTAACCACTGTTGCCATATATCGATGCTACTGCCATGTACCTTTTGTAATACTGATGAGTCCTATTCTTCATAAAGCACTAGTGAACCTTTTAATCTATTCTAATTGCTGCAGTTGTTCACTCAATTTTGTTGAGGACATGGGGCATTTATCATGGCTTTTATGCAGGTAAGTTCATCACAGTGGTTCATGCTGTCATTGAACGCTGTTGGATATTGACTATGCCAGGGTTCATGGTATTGAGACACTCACACTCTGCTATATGGATGTTAACTAACCCATAACATCTCATCCTAATAATGACTTCTAAAAACAAAGAATCATTTGCTTTTAGTGCATTTCATGGTCCATAGAATAACAAATAAATGACCTCTCAGTAACCTGGAAAAAACACGAAGCAGAAGAAATATATTTTATTTTGTTTATCTGTATCAAGTGTATCTGTGTCGTAGCTACTTGATAGTCTAAGGATTGTTATTTGGCTTTTCATAAAATTATGTTTCGTCCTTCTTCTCGACTCACTATAATGGGCATCCCGTGTTCGATTCCCGGACAGAACAGAAACGGTCTGGCAAGTTTCTTCTCAGGATTCCTGTCCTTGACAACACGAATTATTATCATCACCTTAAATACCAGGATGCAGCGTCTTGGAAGCTGTAGTTTTTACTGCTAAATAAACACGAAATATTAGCAAACCTCTTGGATGTTCAAATGTCACTAACCACCTTCCCTTGTCCCTTTTTGATGTTCAAGTGTCACTAACCACCTTCCCTTGTCCCTTTTGGATGTTCAGGGATCACTACCTCCCCTTCTCTTTCTTGGATGTTCAGGGGTCACTATCCTCCCCTTCTCTTTCTTGGATGTTCAGGGGTCACTATCCTCCCCTTCTCTTTCTTGGATGTTCAGGGGTCACTATCCTCCCCTTCTCTTTCTTGGATGTTCAGGGGTCACTATCCTCCCCTTCTCTTTCTTGGATGTTCAGGGGTCACTATCCTCCCCTTCTCTTTCTTGGATGTTCAGGGGTCACTATCCTCCCCTTCTCTTTCTTGGATGTTCAGGGGTCACTATCCTCCTTCACCTCCAAATAAACGTCAATACACGTTCCCTAATGAATGGTGACCACATTGTATACTCCCCCATACTAACTGGGTCATTGATTACACACAGAAATCACAATTGCGTGATGAACAAATACACAAGGGCCGTGACGAGGATTCGAACCTGCGTCCGAGAGCATCCCAGACGCTGCCTAGACTGTCGTAGCTCAGTCGATTAAGGCAGCGTCTGAGATACTCTCGGACGCAGGTTCGAATCCTCGTCACGGCCCTTGTAGATTTGTTCATTGATTTCTCCTCCGTTCATGTTAAACCATATGTCTTGCCTGTGATTCCTATGGTATCATTTCCTTCGGCTCTAAAAGCTCAAAGGCCATTGTCATTTTCTTGCTTGTCTTGCCAGAATGTTTAGCTAATCAGTGGACCTTACGGCTGCTGAGCGAATAACTGTATACACTTGAATAATGATTGGAACACCATATCATGTTCACACTCTACTATCTGTTAACAGGTATACCTCAGTGCTACCCAAGACGTTCACTAATATGTTGTTTCTCTCGTAGACTGCTAGTGATGCCCCGGAGTCTCGGGCTGACAGTAAGGTAAGGCGCTAACAGGTATATAATGACCTGAAACAGTGTGCAAAGATGCAAGCAGTTTGGTGTTCCTTTGTGTCTACAGGTCACTTCGGACACATGATGGTTCGCCAACGGATTTTAAGACCAATTTAGCTTAACCTTACATACACTAACTTAGCCTAACCCAGGCTATCGTAACGATCTATCAATTTTAACAATTAGAAAATGACCTGGCTGTGTTTCCTTACATCTGACTGTGTCTTCCCCTCACAACCGGCTGCATGCCTTCCCTCTCATATGGCATCACAGAATGTAACTACGACACACTTATGTTGAATGTCACCTGTTATTTCCAGGCCTGCGTCCCTTTACAGACTCACGAAAAGGAAGACTTTGACCAGATAGTGTCAGACATGGCGAGCGAGGACCTGGCCACGAGGCTGGTGGCCACCACCAAGGCCAGGAGACTCCTCTCCATGGAAACGGCTCCGCCCATTGAACAGTTTCTTCAAGCGGACATACTGACTCCTGCCATGGCCAACCTTCAGGAGGAGAAGTAAGATATAGTCTGTGGTTCCTAGGATGAGATCCCAAGGTGTAGTCTGTGAGTCGTGGGGCGAGAATGCAATAGGTAGCTTGATGTAGCCTAGTGGCCTTGTTGGAGACGATGCGAGGCTTGACTGAGTGTAGACTTCACGTAATGAATTATATTACGGTATATGCGAGTCATTATCCATTTGATTTCTTCCGGGGGAACAAACCGTGGAAAAAACAGTAACCAGTGGTGTGATGTAAGGAGCATGCCTTTCACTTAAGCGCATTGTGCTGCTGGTTCCAAGGAGCATAGTTCATATAGTCATAAAGAGCCATGTTTAACGTAGTCACAGTGGTTACCTACATTTGAATATTTTTAATTTGTAGCACCAGTTGGTGGAAGCCTTTGTTATACATAATTTTTTTGTTTCAAAAGGAGTAGTGTGAATTTGTACCCAGTAGGCTATAGGTAGACTCATTTATTACATATATCAACTTAATCCTCAGTCATATGTATTAACACAGGCTTTTCCAACAAATGATTAGTTTCAATTAGTGTTTGGTAATACTTTTAAAGTAGAGAATAAATCACAATAACGTAATTTATTCTCTACTGAAGAAAGCTAACCCTAACCCACACATAGTAAACAGAGGTGACGACCCACATTTCCTCAGTGACGACCTGACGAGGGTCCAGGACGGTCCGAAACGTCGTCGCTTTCCTTTCGTGTGATGGTTCGGTTATTTATACTTTACTGTAGTTGTAGAGGTTTGTGTAGACTGTAGAGTATGAGCTGCAGCTCACAACTGGGAATAAACACTAAAATAAATGTAACACTATTGTTATATTTTGACTCGGATATATCAGTGTATTTTATCCTCAGCAGGTGAATACTTTTGTTGTACATACGAAGGTATACATTGTTGTATATATACACGTACACTACAGCAGGGAGTGCTGTTGTCCTCTGGTGCATGATGGGAACTTTCTAGGTTATACCCCCTCCCCCCCCCGTTGTCACTCTTGCTACGTCACTTCATGAGTGCAATCACTCACACTCCTCATTTTATGAGTATTATTTCTAACTACACACTCGTGAGTACTATTACTCGCCCTCTACACTACGTGAGTACTATTACTGACCCTCCACACACTCGTGAGTACCACTACTCACTCTCCACACATCATGAGTACCATTACTCACCCTCCTAGCACCGCACAGAGCCTCCTTCCGGAGAGGCGAGACTCACACTCTTCATCCCTACAGCTTCACGCTGCTCTTCGAGACCGCCTGGATCATCACCAACATCTCATCTGGCACTAGCAGTGATGCCGAGGTTGTGGTTGGTATGTAGTCTTGCTGGTGCTAAGGCTGGTGACTTATTGCTGGTGATGATGATATCACTATGGCACCAAGTCATGATTTTATTAATATTTATTTTTGTATTAATGTGTCTGTGAGCTGGTTATGATTGGCTGTTTGGTATTTATATTTGTTAACTGCTTTCAATGGTCGTTGTTTTAATGTTCGTGTGTTTGTAATGTTTTTTGCTATATTTCTGGTTTCGAGGAGTGGGATTGCACTTATGCCTGTTTGTATAACTTTGTGTTTCTGTGTTATTGGCACATTTTTTACGTGTACTGTTCAGTTTATATTTTACGTTGAATTTAAAATTTATATTAAATAGAATGGAATCCTCAGTAAGATAATAGTTCCATTGTAATTTTTAAATCAGATAGTGCAGTGGGGGATGATTAGAACACGATATTAGCTTATTGAACCCTTTATCTGTCCTTTCTGTTTCTGTCTCTGTCTCTCTCTCTCTCTCTCTCTCTCTCTCTCTCTCTCTCTCTCTCTCTCTCTCTCTCTCTCTCTCTCTCTCTCTCTCTCTCTCTCTCTCTCTCTGTCTCTCTCTCTCTTTCTGATTTATTCAATTTTGCACGGGCCAGTTTATCTGCAGCGCCACTCATCCTATCAGTGGACATACCGCCATAGCAGCATGTACAACACCCCCAATAGGAAGAAAACCCGCTGGGTTGTTGATTCTTTTCTAAAAGCAAGTTCTCCTTCGTCTCCTCCCGACCGGTGTTGGCGTGAGGCAGAACGAGGCTTCATACCGCCCCTGGTACACCTGGTGACCACGGCGGCCATAGAGATCCGGGAGCAGGTGACCTGGGCCCTCGGAAACATCGCGGGCGACAGGGCTGAGTACCGGGACCTGGTCGTGGCGGCCGGAGCTCTTCCGCCTCTTCTCGATCTCCTCAACCTCGATATACCGGTACGTAAGGTACCGGGGGGTACCGGGGTATGTTTCAGAGGGTAAGTCCAGAAATTGTCTGTATTTGAGGGATCGTCTTTAAGGTGGAAAATAGGTAAAATAACTGGAAAATATATTTTAAGTGCGCTCAAGTTGCTTCGTTAAGAGCCCTGGGAACTATTGGTCAGCCTGATCAACCGTTGTGTGTAAGACACTGGCGACATGTAAACTAATGAGTGGATTAATGCCTGGACAGGTGTCCTTCGTCCGCAATATCTCGTGGATGATCTCCAACCTCTTCCGTTTTAAGCCCTTGATGATGTCTGAGGAGGAGAAGACCAGAGTCCTTCAAGCTGAGAAGGACCACCTCTTGGTTCACAGGGACACTGAGGTGTATGGTGAGTATGGTGTGTATAGTGAGTATGGTGTATGGTGAGTGGTAGTGTATGGTGTATGGTGTGTATAGTGAGTATGGTGAATGGTAGTGTATGGTGTGTATAGTATGGTGTATGGTGTGTATAGTGAGTATGGTGTGTATAGTGAGTATGGTGTATGGTGAGTATGGTGTGTATAGTACAATCCCGGGTTCGAATCCCGGGATAGAATTGGTTGGGCGTATTTCCTATCACCTAGTAAATTTCCCCTAAACACCTAGCAGTAAGTAGGTACTCAGGAGTTAATCAGCTTGTTGGGGGTTGCATCCTGGGCAGGGTCTGTAATTCGACCTTGGGGGGGGGGGTGGGAGACCTCGATATAAGCCTAACGTATATGAATACACGCTGGCTTCTTTTTCCCCGTCACCATGAATTACTAATTATTATCTATCAAAGCCGAATGCAATCATCGATCACACCTACTCTAGATACAACCATCATTTACATGAATTTACCTGAGGACCACTAACATTAGTGGCCTCGACGAGGACAGGAAGCTGGCGGTTTGTCAAAGGTCCCCCCCCCATTTGCCCCTGATGATCTAATTGATAACTATGATCGCCATCAATTTACAAGATACGTAACAAGGAAGGTCTTGAGCAGTTATACTTTCCCAAATTACGTAAATCAGTCCTACTTAGGACTTTGTAAACGACAAAATAAGAACAGAAGTTATAGTCACAAAGTGAGGAACTAGCGTCCAACCTCTTGGGCTGGACGGTAGAGCGACGGTCTTGCTTCATGCAGGTCAGCGTTCAATCCCCGACCATCCAAGTAGTTGGACACTATTCCTTCCCTCCCCGTCCCATCCCAAATACTTATCCTGATCCTTCCCTCCCCGTCCCATCCCAAATCCTTATCCTGATCCCTTCCCAGTGCTATATAGTCGTCATGGCTTGGCGCTTTCCCGACAATTCCCTTCCCCCCTTCATTTTTGTTTAATAAATAGCAATAATAAATAGTTTGCTGTTGCTATGGAAACTGAAGCCACGTTTGGGCTGGAACCAGACCAGACAGTTACCAGTCAACAGGGAAATGTTTCACACTATCGGTCCCTGTGTGTCACAATCCTTGCATTAATCAGTGTTCCATATCACTATAATCCCCCATCTCCATAAACTACTGAAACAACTTAAAAATGGCACAGCAATATTTTAAGGTTCCGTAGTATAAAGTACACATACAAGTTTTACCAGGACGTGTTACTGATGCCAGTCTTGGAGCCAGTCTTGGAGCCAGTCTTGGAGCCAGTCTTGGAGGCAGTCTTGGAGTCAGTCTTGGAGCCAGTCTTTTTTCTAGGAACAGCTCTCACCCCTGCACGACCACTAGTTACTTGGCACCACCACTAGTTACGTGACATCACCACTAGTTACGTGACACCATCACTAGTTACGTGACACCACCACTAGTTACGTGACACCACCACTAGTTACGTGACACCACCACTAGTTACGTGACACCACCACTAGTTACGTGACACCATCACTAGTTACGTGACATCACCACTAGTTACGTGACACCACCACTAGTTACTTGGCACCACCACTAGTTACGTGACACCACCACTAGTTACTTGGCACCACCACTAGTTACTTGGCACCACCACTAGTTACTTGGCACCACCACTAGTTACTTGGCACCACCACTAGTTACTTGGCACCACCACTAGTTACTTGGCACCACCACTAGTTACTTGGCACCACCACTAGTTACGTGACACCACCACTAGTTACTTGGCACCACCACTAGTTACTTGGCACCACCACTAGTTACTTGGCACCACCACTAGTTACGTGGTAACTAGTCCTCGGAGAATATTCTACTTCCATTACACTCTTGGAGGGATTTGTTTAGCCCACTACAGCTACATTCCAACAATCATTATGCACCTGGTGGCACCAACAGAGCCGGTCGGCCGAGTGGACAGCACGCTGGACTTGTGATCCTGTGGTCCTGGGTTCGATCCCAGGCGCCGGCGAGAAACAATGGGCAGAGTTTCTTTCACCCTATGCCCCTGTTACCTAGCAGTAAAATAGGTACCTGGGTGTTAGTCAGCTGTCACGGGCTGCTTCCTGGGGGTGGAGGCCTGGTCGAGGACCGGGCCGCGGGGACACTAAAAAGCCCCGAAATTATCTCAAGATAACCTCAAGTATCTCAAGATAACATATGCTAGAACAATTGCCTAGCAATATACTTACTAAAACATGGCTCCCAGCACAGATAACCGTGACGCTATCGTGGCTATCGGTGTGAGGGGGGGGGGGACGTGGTTATCACTCTTACACAGTTTGGTCACAACAACTTACGTCTGTTTCTTTGTTATTAATAAATGTACAGAAAATATATACTAGGGGGCCCCTGACAGTTGAGTGGACAGCGCTTCGGATTCGTAGTCCTGAGGTTCCGGGTTCGATCCCCGGTTTAGGTGGAAACAGATGGGCAGTTTCCTTTACCCTGATGCTCCTGTTCACCCAAGCAGTAAATAGGTACGTGGGAGTTAGACAGCTGCTACGGGCTGCTTCCTGGGGATATATAACAAAAAGGAAGCCTGATCGAGGCGGCGGGGACGCTAAGCCCCGAAATCATCTCAAGATAACCTCAAGAAGGTTAAATAATGAATGACAAGCATCATCACGCTAGACAAGACAAAACCATACACCCACACACACACACCCACACACACCCACCCACACACACACACCCACACACACCTCCCCACCTGTTGATTGACGGTTGAGAGGCGGGACCAAAGAGCCAGAGCTCAACCCCAGCAAGCACAACTAGGTGAGTACACACACACACACACACACAGTGTGTGTGTGTGTGTACACATACGTCAGTGGTGGAGGCTGACTCCATACACAGTTTCAAGTGTAGATATGATTGAGCCCAATAGGCTCAGGAATCTGTACACCTGTTGATTGACAGTTGAGAGGCGGGACCAAAGAGCCAGAGCTCAACCCCCGCAAGCACAACTAGGTGAGTACACACACACACACACACACACACACACACACACACACACACACACACACACACACACACACACACACACACACACACACACACAAACTACACTAAACAGTTTACAGGCACACGAAAAAGGACCTACAAAATTACTGAGGCCGATACACAACACAGCCTAGCCAACCAGGCACACCCAGGCATAAAACAAAGCAAGAAACACGAACAAAACACGGTCATTATACAGTTTTCTCTTGTCGCAAAACATTATGGGACGACGTACAGTAAAAATATATATACAAAACAAAGACAAATTAGTAATAAATAGATAAGTATACCCACATAAGCCAACCAAACATGACATACTAACTCATGCAAAAAGTAATACAGAGTACAAGAGATAACACAGCGATGAGGCACATAGACGACATAGACAACATACGCCAGTAACAGCACCTCCAACATATGGAAGACGTTCCACAAGCAAGACACTAGACACAACAATGTTGTAAGACAGGGCTAATTGTTAGTAAACAAACACCCTTATGCACGTAGGCACGACCACACATCATCGTGCAACATTCAAATCGCGAATTAGGAAAGACACAGGGGGGGGTAAATTAATTAAAACAAATAAACCCAAAATGCATAAGACACAGAAGAATCCGGCTCAGGCAAGCCTCATGCACAGAAGCCAGGTTTAGTTATCTCAGTTTTGATAGTGATCGCATTCTAACACTGTAACTTAATGATATGATTTTGGGGCGTCCAGTCCCTAAGCCCAGTATGTACCTTTGTAACCTTTACCACTACCTCCCTCAGGATAGATATAGGGTGCATAATAAATAAGCGTTAACTAACCCAGCATATTTACGTTGAGTATGTTTACTGTTACAGTGGACTCTCTGTGGACGATAAGTTACTACGCTGACCTGGGCAACCAGTACATCCACCAGGTGGTGGAGGCTGGCATTATTCCCCTGCTGGTCCAACACCTCAGTTCCCAGGAACGGAAGGTGGTCCATCCGGCTGTCAGAGCTCTCGGTATCATCACCAGCGGCACAGATTTCGAGGTAAGGACGCTACAGTGTATGCACTGGGGACAGGGGTGGGTGGGGGGGGGGGAAGGTCTATGTAACAGGCGCAGGAACTGGTCTGTGCCACAGGGAAATACGAGTAGAAACTCCCACATTCTAGCTACACATAATATAGTTTGTCATGATAACATTGACAGCCGTTCACAATGAAACACAGTGGCGTGTTTCAATGAAAATCATTTTGAGGAAATGGAGTGACTTGAACCAGCGTCTGGGAATCACCAGAACGTCTAAATATCTTGATTGAATGGATTGATTCGATGTGATTGTTGTCGCCCGAGGCGACTAGCTTATTGTGCACCTCCATACTCATCCTGTGAGCGGTAGCGCAAAAAAAAAAATGCATTATAGTGGTTGTATGGAGATGTGATATTTCCAGACGGACGCAGTTCTGGAGGCTGGGGTTCTTCCCGTCTACTCTCGCCTTCTCTCCACCAACATGAGGGTGAAGAAGGAGATAGCGTGGAGTGTCTCCAACATACTCGCCGGCACTTGTAAACAAATACATGCGGTCATCAAATCCGGCATCTTGCATGAGCTCATGCAAGCAGTGCAGACGGTAAGTTAATGTGCTTGCCATTAAGCCTTCAACGCGGCAAACATATATATATTTTTTAACAAGGAATTTTTCGGTAAAGAAATAATAAGTAAATCGTCAGTATGATTATCTTACATTTGAATAAAAACAAAAAACTGAACGCCCGTTTTCGTCACACACTTAATGGGCTTAAATTATATCTCCCAGATATGCTCATTCTGAAGTATAGGCTTATAGTCTCTGACATCCCCCACACACTAAGTTGAGGTACTTATCAATGTCACTTAGAAATTATATTTAACAACACTAGTCAATCCAAACTCACCCTTCTCCATCTATTAATTTCCCATTCTCATATATAATTTTATATTGCAAGAGCTATTGCTAAGTGTTGGCCTCTGCTGCGTTCCTTCAGGATGAGGTGTCGGTGAAGAAGGAGGTGATCTGGGCGCTCTCCAACATGACCCAGAGAGGGACACAGGTCCACATGGACGCGCTCCTGCAGGTTGGAGGGCTCCAGCTCCTGGTCGACTCCCTGCTGGCTGACAATGTTAAAATTGTCATGGTGGCCGCTCAGGGAATTAAGAACATTCTGGAGGTAGGTTTATACCACACGCATGTATATATATATATATATATATATATATATATATATATATATATATATATATATATATATATATATATATATATATATATATATATATATATATACACAAAGAGAGGTATATTCTATTTATCGGTGTCTGTATACTGAATGTTTACTTTTGTCCTGAACTACAAATGTATACTTGAAATTGAGTATACAGAGTAAAGTTTACTCCGTTTAGGGCTAAAATATACTTGCTGGTTGGTTAGTAATCCCTTGTAGTGGCCTCCCGCGGTGACTTGCCTTATAATTCTAAGCCCAACACCAAACCTAACTACTTCACACAGGCTAAAGTACAAGCCTTTTGATATCAAACTGGAATGTAAATAATCCGAACTGTGTTGGTGATGATTATGCAATGTTTCGACTGTCCATATCAACGAGACAAAACCAATCTCCACTTGAATTGCATAGATTAAGGTACAATAGCTGGCTGAAAACAATAGCACAATTCAGTTGACTTTGTTTTCGATTCCAGGGCGGGACAGACATGATTGGGCACGATCCTTTCACCTAATGCGTCTGTTCACCTAGCAGTAAATAGGTACCCGGGAGTCAGAAAACTGTGTGGGGGTTGCATCCTTGGGCGGGTCAGTGGTTCGACCTTAGAAGACCCCGATTTGAGCCTGAAGTATATAGATACACAGGCTTCCTGTCCTCAAGGAATCATATGTAAAGTGACGGCATTTAAGTCCATTCTGGACTCTTATCAAATCACGAATTGCTGAAGGTCCAGGACGGACCCAAGCCGCCATTCCTTTTTTTTCAAATGCATGATTTGGGTTATTTGTTCACTTGAACTGTTAATTCAATTTCTTTTCCAGAAATATGTAAATCACAGTATCAGAAGTTAGTTCTTGGACCCAGCTCTCTACAATTAAGTGTAGTTTCACTACTAGTAGCCCAATTTTAGCCCAACTTAAAACAGTCATACTTCACACAGAGTAAAAAAAAACGGGCTCACCATAGCCCGTGTTAGCGAATCTTATCAAACAACAACAAACAACAGTATGAAAATATAATAAAGTTTCCCTTCCCTTCCAGAAATATGACAACGTGGAGGCCATCAAGGAGATGCTGGAGGAGTGTGGCGGAGTGGACTACATGGAGACTAACCTCCAGCATGTGGACGATAGAGTCGTTAGTAAGATGAACGAGATCCTCAACACATTCTTCCCTGACCCGACATTCCCTTTTCCAGCTGAACTGGAAGAGAATCTGAGTGCAAGTATCGGCTTGGGTCTGAACCTCTCCCGGAAGGCGTCGAAGTATGTGGCTGCTGTTTCCCCCTGATATATATGTATCACAAGCCAGCCTATTCTTTCGATATGCTACTCCGTAAAGAATGCAACCTTTCTAGCCTAACCAGAAACGTACTAACCAACCTAGTCAAACGTGGCCGATGTATAGAAAACGTCAATATTAAGCTGCTTAAAATTGTACTAATACGTCGGCTTTTTAACGGATTAGGCTAGAGAAGTAAGTTCAGCGGCGCAGAATTGTAATACATTGTGATGTGTGAAGGTGATATATTGTATATTATATTTTTGAGAACGTTTATCGACAGTAATGTGCATTGTTATCTGTACATTATTAGTTTAACACGTTTGAAAATGAACAATAAAGTATTGTGATGACAAGTTGTATTGAATTCCTGATTTACTTGTTGACACTTCTCTTATACACTGTATCCATGGTGCTATAAAATTGTGCATCTATCGTTCCATAAATGTCTATTTACGCTTTAATACGATATTCATAATTTGTATTAGTGCTGTTATTTTCACCATTTTATTTTTGCCTGTTTTTAGTAAACGTATTTTTAGTAAAGTAGGCCTACGAAGCTTTAGCAAAAAAAAGGGCAAGTTTTGTGTTTAGATAAACACTTGAGTCGTTCATTAATAATCTTAATATGGTTAATAATTAACGAGACGGGGTGTTAAATATATGGAAATATTACAAATAAGGTGTTGGTAGGCTATGATGATCGATGATAGAGCAGCGGCTGCGTGACGCATGACCCAAGAACGCCATCGTCTGGTGTAAAGCTGTCTACAGGTGGATCAATGGTTCATGTCTTGCTTTACCTGCTGGTACTGGTACCTGGTGGTGCTGGTACCTGGTGGTGCTAGTACCTGGTGGTGCTGGTACCTGGTGGTGCTGGTACCTGGTGGTGCTAGTACCTGGTGGTGCTGGTACCTGGTGGTGCTGGTACCTGGTGGTGCTAGTACCTGGTGGTGCTGGTACCTGGTGGTGCTGGTACCTGGTGTGTGGTACCTGGTACCTGGTGGTGCTGGTACCTGGTGGTGGTACCTGGTGGTACCTGGTGGTGCTGGTACCTGGTGGTGCTGGTACCTGGTGGTGCTGGTACCTGGTGGTGCTGGTACCTGGTGGTGCTAGTACCTGGTGGTGCTGGTACCTGGTGGTGCTGGTACCTGGTGGTGCTGGTACCTGGTGGTGCTAGTACCTGGTGGTGCTGGTACCTGGTGGTGCTGGTACCTGGTGGTGCTGGTACCTGGTGGTGCTGGTACCTGGTGGTGCTGGTACCTGGTGGTGCTGGTACCTGGTGGCTGCTGGTGGTGCTAGTACCTGGTGGTGCTAGTACCTGGTGGTGCTGGTACCTGGTGGTGCTGGTACCTGGTGGTGCTGGTACCTGGTGGTGCTGGTACCTGGTGGTGCTGGTACCTGGTGGTGCTGGTACCTGGTGGTGCTGGTACCTGGTGGTGCTGGTACCTGGTGGTGCTAGTACCTGGTGGTGCTGCTACCTGGTGGTACCTGGTGGTGCTAGCTGGTGGTGCCTGGTGGTGCTGGTACCTGGTGGTACCTGGTGGTGCTGGTACCTGGTGGTGCTGGTACCTGGTGGTACTGGTACCTGGTGGTGCTGGTACCTGGTGGTGCTGGTACCTGGTGGTGCTGGTACCTGGTGGTGCTGGTACCTGGTGGTGCTGGTACCTGGTGGTGCTGGTACCTGGTGGTGCTAGTACCTGGTGGTGCTGCTACCTGGTGGTGCTGGTACCTGGTGGTGCTGGTACCTGGTGGTACTGGTACCTGGTGGTGCTGGTACCTGGTGGTGCTGCTACCTGGTGGTGCTGGTACCTGGTGGTGCTGGTACCTGGTGGTGCTGGTACCTGGTGGTGCTGGTACCTGGTGGTGCTGCTACCTGGAGGTGCTGGTACCTGGTGGTGCTGGTACCTGGTGGTACTGGTACCTGGTGGTGCTGGTACCTGGTGGTGCTGCTACCTGGAGGTGCTGGTACCTGGTGGTGATTCTGATTTTTGTCTGTAGGGATAACGTTTCTATTGTTAATAGAAACGTTATCCCTACAGACAAAAATCAGAGGATACAACTGACGATTTACTATAAAACCAGAAAAACGGCCAGCCTACTCATGAGAAACTCTCCAGACACAAAACAGAACGCTTTAAAAGAGACTAACGTCGTCTATGCCTTCAAATGCCCTCTTGGGGACTGTAAGCTCCAAAAAAAAAAACAGTATATAGGCAAGACAACAACATCTCTTTCTAGGCGTTTAACGATGCATAAGCAACAGGGCTCCATTAAGGAACATATAATCTCTTCCCACAACCAAACCATCGCCAGAGAAATCCTAGTAAACAACACAGAAATCATCGATAGATACAGCGATAGCAGGCGGCTTGACGTTTGCGAGGCACTACACATCAAGAAGTCAACACCAGCAATCAACAGCCAATTATTGCACAATATATATATATATATATATATATATATATATATATATATATATATATATATATATATATATATATATATTTTTAATCACGTGTTTATTTTCGTGATACACACACACACACACATATATATATATATATATATATATATATATATATATATATATATATATATATATATATATATATATAGAGTGGATATCAAGAGAGAAAGATCTGCTGGCTCAGGGATGCTAAATCCAGTTAAGTAATCTTCCGTTTATTTTCAGTTCATCAATGTTAATATACCTGGTAGTGATTCACATTGATAGTTAAGTAGGTTGTGATGTTTTAAGTGGATAACCCCTAGCTAAAAAGTAATTCAGTGGACGTTTATATGGTGATTTAATGTTTAAATGGCTGCTGGTTGGAAGTGAGTACTCCCCTGTGTTTGGGGTCTCACAATTAAAGTTAGTGCAGGATATTAAGTTAATGGTGTTTATTGCAACGTTCCTCCAGGCTAGAAAAGTTAAATTCACAGGCCCCGTAATTATCTTGTGTTGCTCAATTATTATTTTTTTTATCCTTTGCACTCGTTCCTGATTACACCTGTTGATAATTACCACTGCAGGCGATGAGTCACAATAACGTGGCTAAAGTAAGTTGACCAGACCACACACTAGAAGGTGAAGGGACGACGACGTTTCGGTCCGTCCTGGACCATTCTCAAGTCGATGAGACTTGAGAATGTTATAATTACCAGTTTTCCATCCTCCTTACTCTTTGAAATACAAGTCATTTAGCAAAGTAATATTCTCCCTCAGCAAGGACTGAGGCGGGGGACAAGAGGATCTGAAAGTCACCCTTAACAAAAGACTAGTTCATGACACCGCCCTAAAGTAAATATTTTAGTACATATAAATACATAATTCAGCTACATATTCTATTATAAAAATATTCATTAATATGTGCTTCTCTGTTTAGCTTTGAGATGATTCCAGACAACCTTTCCTCAGATTCTTCCATACATCAAGTATACATGGACATACATCGAGTATTCATGGACATACATGAAGTATACATGGACATACATGAAGTATACATGAACATACATCAAGTATACATGGACATACATCAAGTATACATGGACATACATCAAGTATACATGGACGTACATCAAGTATACATGGACATACATTAAGAATACATGGGCATACATCGATACATGGATATACATCAGTGTAGGATGTATTATACATGAACGTACGTCAAGTGTAGGATGTATTATAAATAACGTACATCAAGTGTAGGATGTATTATACATGCACATACATCAAGTGTAGGATGTAGTATACATGAATATATATCAAGTGTAGGATGTATTATACATGAATATACATCAAGTGTAGGATGTAGTATACATGCACATACATCAAGTGTAGGATGTATTATACATGAACATACATCAAGTGTAGGATGTATTATACATGAACATACATCAAGTGTAGGATGTATTATACATGCACATACATCAAGTGTAGGATGTAGTATACATGAATATATATCAAGTGTAGGATGTAGTATACATGAACATACATCAAGTGCAGGATGTAGTATACATGAACATACATCAAGTGTAGGATGTATTATACATGCACATACATCAAGTGTAGGATGTAGTATACATGCACATACATCAAGTGTAGGATGTAGTATACATGCACATACATCAAGTGTAGGATGTAGTATACATGCACATACATCAAGTGTAGGATGTAGTATACATGAACATACATCAAGTGTAGGATGTAGTACACATGCACATACATCAAGTGTAGGATGTAGTATACATGAACATACATCAAGTGTAGGATGTAGTATACATGAACATACATCAAGTGTAGGTTGTAGTATACATGAACATACATCAAGTGTAGGATGTAGTATACATGAACATACATCAAGTGTAGGATGTAGTATACATGCACATACATCAAGTGTAGGATGTAGTATACATGAACATACACCGAGTCAGTAGTGGTGACTGCGACACACAGCCAACACGATACATGGAGGTGCGAATGATTCAGTCTGAATTGTTTATAAGGTTGGTTAGCAACGATAACCAGTCATGTAGTGGGTGGGTGTCCACCCTTACCCTCCCCCCCCACTACGTCACCCCCTACTGTAGCCCCATCAACTCCCCCCCATCCCCCCACCCCCGATCCCTTCCTGTAGTACCTTCGATTTCCCTTCTGTAGCCCCTTTAACCCCCCCTTTCCGTAGCTCCCGCGACCCCTTCCTGTAACACTCCCCCCCTTCCCCTGCTGCTCCCTTTCCCCCCTGAACCCCCCCCCCCTTTCTCCATACCAGAACAAGAAGACATTACCCCCCTTTTCTCCTCCCAACCTGCAGCCCAATTCAGGCGCACAGGGCGCGCGTCCCGGCTAGTCGCCTCTGACCGGTGAAGGTGTGAGCCACGCGGCAAAGATTACCGATTGTGCCACAGGCGCCACAGACTCCGGGGCTGTGTTGCAGGTTCCTCCACAGACTGTTGTGTCAGCTGTGCCACAGGTTACATAAGAGTTTACAGCTAAATTCTTGTAGGGTGATCACTGTAGTGTGCTGTCTTGTAGGGTGATCGCTGTAGTGTGCTGTCTTGTAGGGTGATCGCTGTAGTGTGCTGTCTTGTAGGGTGATCACTGTAGTGTGCTGTCTTGTAGGGTGATCGCTGCAGTGTGCTGTCTTGTAGGGTGATCGCTGTAGTGTGCTGTCTTGTAGGGTGATCGCTGCAGTGTGCTGTCTTGTAGGGTGATCGCTAATCCAATAATTTGTTCACTCATCTGGACAGTAATTATCGGTGCAAAATCAACGAATTATTGACTCATCGTTGTACGAAACACCATACATAACAAGGCCACGTTATGATGCAATAATACTGTGAGTATACATTACGAATACAACTACATTTAAGTAAACAAAAACACTTCTATGTAATCTATTATAGGAATTAAACTGCTTTATATTTAAACTTATGATTGACAAATTGCATTTTTAATATATGCTAAATATATCATTAAAATACTTTTTGTTATATATATACTTGCTAATAGAGTATTTGGTTATTGAAATTGAAATTCGTTATTAGGCTTCATATAAATAAATGCAAGATAGTCACAGTTAACCATAGCTTATCCTTGTTCGTCACATGGCTGGCTGATGTTACTAAACCAACACTACTATAGCACATTCTCAAGAAAGTATGCTAATTAGAGCGTATTGATCGTATGAGACAATTGCAAAATGATCGCATTTTTAGTGATTGTTGTATGGGTAATCGTATACAATATTGATATGAGATTTCTACAATGTATAACTATCTATCTTAAAATAATACATTATTGATATAACAAAAGAGGTTATAATGCCTAACACCCCTAATATCTTGACCTAATTCAATATTGATTTACGCGTATAATGAGGCTGAACAAAGTAAATAGCTGACATTCTTGGCCCCGTTGGTCGAGCGATGGCGTGTCGTCATACCCTCGGAATTCAGAAGGAACTAGAAGCGCCGGTGTTGAGTATGCTGCTATTGTGACCTACAAACCTTTAAATATCACGGCTGCATACTGCTAGCAGGTCGACCCAGCTAGCACACCACGCCGTTACTAGGGCGACGCCATTACCAGGATTGAGACGCCGTCTAGTATAAGTCATAATCTTGCCTCAATTACTAGGTTTTTACCTCAATATATAAATTTATTTATTCTAAAAAAATCACTTTCTCCATTTATTGTATTGTGTAAATAATTTATTTATTGTTTATCTAAACTCGCCACATGGGATAGGTTTTTACATTCTATTTTATTACCATCTTCCTTATTCTTCTAGTCACATATATCTTAGTCCTTCATATAGCATTACTAATCACCCCAAACACACGTTTCAGTTCTATAAATTTGTTCTCGGCTCGCCATTACCTACTACCATGATTAAGGGGCCAATTCTGTCAACCTAAATTATTTCTGGGTATTGAATGAGATAATTTCTTTCAATTTCGCATTCAGGTATTTATTTTCTGATATTAAAATGGTCACATTAATCAATGGTAACGTAAGAATTACAGACTAACGTTCCAAACATTGGTCGTCGTAGGCTATCGATTGGTATTACGGGCTATTCATGCCCGTGCCACCTCTTGGGTGGCTTAACCTTCACCAATCACTCAATCGATTGGAACTTGGAAAGTGTATTCCGGTGCGCATGCGTGCTGGCGCGCATACTGGGACACCCATTTGGAAATATTGCATGGCAGCTTTTATTCAACATTCAAATGAATAAAATTTTCATATATCGGTTATCACTGGACCTTCAGTGAATAGTTTAAATTTTGAATGCATAAGGCTGTTATAACCGTGTGATTTTTGGCAGTATCGTGCTGTTAGTTAACAGATTACTAAAGTGTACAAACAGAACAGTGTTTCAATACAAAAAAATAAACATATAAAACTCAAAACTTTACGTTTACTGAAGACTGCGAAGGCTCCACTAAAGCTCCAAATTAACCTTTCAGACAAGTTAAATTTTAAAATATTGGAAGTTCCTGTTTGAAAATCATCGTGTATTGACTTCAAAACATATGGACCGAACGACACGTAAAATCCTCAGGATTTTGGCACGTGAAATCCTCAGGATTTTGACACGTAAAATCCTCAGGATTTTGACACGTAAAATCCTCAGGATTTGACGTGTCGTTCATTTTACGTGTCGATAAAATAAAATAATTTTAATATAAAAGTTTGGTCGTGTGTGTAGATCTTAACACCTGACCTGTGATAGTTGTTGAATCTCAGGTACCAAGTTTCAGTTAATTATTTACAATAGCCACGTATAGATACAAAATAAAGCCTATTGACCATGCAGTAAACTGCTCTTCTCATTTGCCAGTTATGCCCCAAAATCTTATTGTGAGATACAATAACGACACTATGGTTCACGATCGTTACGGTGACCTGTAGGGCGGTGATTAACACAGTCGCCTCACAATGGATTGAACCCTAGTTCCATTCCCGGGCAGTTCGAGATGTTTAGTGACTTTTCTTTAAAGCTGATGATTCTCAGCAGTAAATAGGGACTTGGAAGATAGGCAACTGTTGAGGACTGTATCATAGGGTTTATGATCGTATTTACTAAATCTACCTATACATTCTTTGGCAGAGTGGCCATTTGGAGCAGCTGGAGCACTGGGAGGCAGCCGGTGGGTGGCCACTAATACGACCAGGCTGCAGGAGCCGGTAAAAACAGAGTATGCTGAACAGACTCCATCACCGCACTTAAATTACTGTTTAAATCGTGAAACAGTATCACTGCGCCTCCGTCAGGCAGGTGGTGGTGGGTGCTATGTTTATCTTCTGCTGTGGGATCAGCAAACGACAGCAATACATCACCAGCATCCCGGCAACCTTGGGCCTTCTGCCACAAGATAACGAGTCAAGAGAGCCATCGTGTATTCCAACGCCTTCAGCATGGATGTGAGTACGCCTTCTGGCCTAGAAACTGTTCACTACAATTGTGCTTAATGTGCTAAAGTTGTGATTAACGCTTTGTACAGTTACGGTTAATGCTTAGCACACATGGGAAGCTTACTGGGGAGGAGCCCCGGAATGATCTAGGTGAATATATTCGTCTGAGGGCCGACACTGACTCCAAGCACAAGACGCTCTCCTGATAACTAAGGGATTAATGCAAGCTTACAAGCAACATACATAGAGTTTGGTCAGGACATTCTAATAAATGCAGTTTACCCTGGTCCTTTTAGCTTAACGAGCCTATTTGCTGACTGTTACATCATTCTGGCTCTTTGAATCAAACCAGCAGAGAGTGGATTATTACACACTTGTTATACCACAGAGGTGGCTATTCATTCATACAATGCTAACCAGCATATATACATTTTGTTGCTTTTGAGGGATCACATAAACATTGTGGTTTATGGGAACAACATGAGGGGAAACTTTCCAGGACAGGTGTTGGTTGGAGAGAGACATGGAGCTGTAGCCAGCTTCTCGGAGGTGAAGACAGCGGTGGTGGGGAGAGCTCTGAGAGACAAGGGTGAGAGGCTGTCTACTGAAGATTAGGGTAACAACTAGCCTGCGTTGTATGGTGAGGATGCGTTGTATGGTGAGGGAGCAGCTACAGGGTGGTGACTAGTGGTGGCTGTGTGGTGAAGATTTTGACTCACGGTGTTGTGAATATTGGTCATTGTGGTTGTTGTTGTTTTAGATTCAGCTACTGGGAACACAAAGTTCCAAGTAGCACGGGCTATGGTGAGCCCGTAGTGGACTTACCTGGCACAGGAGCGGGGCTGTAACTGTGTACGTTGTGTGGTGAACATTGTTGACTGTGGTGGAATGTGATGTGGTGAGTATTGGTGACTGTGATGATGATGGGGGGTATGATGTTAAGAATAATGACTGCCGTAGTGGCTAAGTGCCATCAGGAAGCCCGTTTCATGTCTGAAGGTGTCCACTCCAACAATTTCTCGCCTGGCATTTACATCACACAAAATAGTGGCTGGTATCCTGAGTATGTATCTTATCTCCAACATCTCCTCCACAGATGGAGTCTATTCGAAAGCGGCGGGCGCGACTGGACGCTATCACATCCTCCACCAGACTTCCAACTCTGACTCCCCTGGAGGTGTTCGGAGCGAGGCCGTCCTCCGTGCACAGTGGCGTCTCCTCCCCTCCCAACAGCATATCCTCGGAGAAGAGACGCCAGCAGCACAGGCACAGGCCCGACATGTACCTGACGAGGAAGAACTCGGCGTCACTGGCTCGGGCAGGTTCAGGGAGGAATACAATGCCCGCGTTGGGTATACCGCCCATGACGTAGGTGCTGTGTGTGTGTGTGTGTGTGTGTGTGTGTGTGTGTGTGTGTGTGTGTGTGTGTGTGTGTGTGTGTGTGTGTGTGTGTGTGTGTGTGTACTCACCTATTTGTGCTTGCAGGATCGAGTATTGACTCTTGGATCCCGCCTTTCTAGCCATCGGTTGTTTACAGCAATGACTCCTAGGGAAATGGGCCTAGTGTACTCACCTAATTGTACTAACCTAATTGTGCTTGCGGGGGTTGAGCTTTGGCTCTTTGGTCCCGCCTCTCAACTGTCAATCAACTGGTGTACAGATTCCTGAGCCTACTGGGCTCTATCATATCTACATTTGAAACTGTGTATGGAGTCAGCCTCCACCACATCACTTCCTAGTGCATTCCATTTATTAACTACTCTGACACTGAAAAAATTCTTTCTAACGTCTCTGTGGAAGAAAGTTTAGATAAGAAGTTTGTGTGGAAGTGTGTGTGTGTGTGTGTGTGTGTGTGTGTGTGTGTGTGTGTGTGTGTGTGTGTGTGTGTGTGTGTGTGTGTGTGTGTGTGTGTGTGTGGTAGTGTGTGTGTGTGTGTGTGTGTGTGTGTGTGTGTGTGTGTGTGTGTGTGTGTGTGTGTGTGTGTGTGTGTGTGTGTGTGTGTGTGTGTGTGTGAGTTATATATGGCAATCTTACGCTATCTAAACATATTGTTCATATTGTTCAGCTTTAATTTTTACTGTAATTCGTATTAAATAAGTAAGACTAAGTGTCTCGTTGTCAGTGGATTGAAATACAAAATGTTTGTTCTTCAGCTTTCATCTTTATCTCTCAGTTCATTTCACAATATTAATTATACTGCATTATGTTAATTTATGTTACTGTTAAAAGTAATCGTGTTGACGCGACGATAATTTTTTGGGGCTATCTTTTTTTTTTTTTTTTTTTTTTTTTTTTTTTGAGATATATACAAGAGTTGTTACATTCTTGTACAGCCACTAGTACGCGTAGCGTTTCGGGCAGGTCCTTAATCCTATGGTCCCTGGAATACGATCCCCTGCCGCGAAGAATCGTTTTTTCATCCAAGTACACATTTTACTGTTGCGTTAAACAGAGGCTACAGTTAAGGAATTGCGCCCAGTAAATCCTCCCCGGCCAGGATACGAACCCATGACATAGCGCTCGCGGAACGCCAGGCGAGTGTCTTACCACTACACCACGGAGACTGTAAATCTTGAGTACTTAGCAAACAACTCGGATACCCAAGTGGAATTAGTCTATTGGAATTTCCTCAATTGCAAACTGTTTATCAAGATATTAACTTTCCATGTCTTTCCTTAATAAAGAACTAGTCCTTCAAGATGTATCCTTACCAAGGATGCATCTTATAAGATAGCACAAAACACATTTAGTTTGTGTATCTAAGCAACCAGGGGCCAGGAGCCAGATTCACGAAAGCACTTACGCAAGCACTTATGAACGTGTACAGCTTTCCTCAATCTTTGACGGCTTTGGTTACATTTATTAAACAGTTTACAAGCATGAAAACTTCCCATTCATCTGTTGTTATTGTTATAAACAGCCTCCTGGTGCTTCGGAGCTCATTAACTGTTTAATAATTGGAAACAAAACCGCCAAAGATTGAGAAAAGATGGACAGGTTCGTAAGTGTTTGTGTAAGTGCTTTCGTGAATCTGGCCCAAGATTCACGAAGGAGATACTAGTTATTTTTCCCTACTTCAGTTATCCTTACAACGTTTTCTTTAATAACTCACTTCGCATTCTGCCCCCATACACCAGGGGCCCAGATTCACGAAGGAGATACTCAAGCACTTACGAACCTGTCCATCTTTTCTCAATCTTTGGCGGCTTTGTTTGCAATTATTAAACAGTTAATGAGCTCCGAAGCACCAGGAGGCTGTTTATAACAATAACAACAGTTGATTGGCAAGTTTTCATGCTTGTAAACTGTTTAATAAACGTAACCAAAGCCGTCAAAGATTGAGGAAAGATGTACACTGGACTGAAGTGCTCTAAACGTTCACTGTTTGGACCATTGGTATACTAAAGGGGATTTAAAAAATATATGCAGCATCCTAATTCTCCTAGGCCTTATAAAATCATTGTTACACCTTTTTTCTCAATTTTTGGCCTACTGTAGTATCTATATGTACTACAGTAGGCCTAATATAGTACATATATGTACTACAGTAGGCATAGTATATGTACTACAGTAGGCCTAGCATATGTACTACAGTAGGCCTAACATATGTACTACAGGAGGCCTAGTATGTGTACAACAGTAGGCCTAGTACATATTTGTACAACAGTAGGCCTAGTATAGTTCAAATATGTACTATACTAGGCCTACTGTAGTACAAATATGTACTATACTAGGCCTACTATAGTACATATATATGTACTATATTAGGCCTACTGTAGTACAAATATGTACTATACTAGGCCGAGGAGAGGTTAGTTTGTTGCTTTCTTTCTCGTTTTTTTTTTAAGAAAACTTAAAACATAAAACGAGGACCTTCGAGGGACTCGACAGTACACATTGTATACATATTTACCTCAATTCCCATATGTACTTTACGATACATATACGTACTTTACGATACATGTACTTTACGACACCTGTACTTAACGATACATATACGTACTTTACGATACATGTACTTTACGATACATGTACTTTACGATACATATACGTACTTTACGATACATGTACTTTACGACACCTGTACTTAACGATACATATACGTACTTTACGATACATGTACTTTACGATACATGTACTTTACGATACATATACGTACTTTACGATACATATACTTTACGACACATGTACTTTACGATACATGTACTTTACGATACATGTACTTTACGATACATATACGTACTTTACGATACATGTACTTTACGATACATGTACTTTACGACACATGTACTTTACGATACATATACGTACTTTACGATACATGTACTTTACGATACATGTACTTTACGATACATGTACTTTACGATACATGTACTTTACGATACAGTGAATATGTCCTGGCACTGCTTGTCTTCCCATTCATTACAGTTTAATAACCTTAGTTGTAGTGATTTTCAATGATCATAAACTTTTAAATCCTTTATCCCTTATAATCTATTGATTTTTTTTTAGGAAACTTGAAGTCATATAATTCTTTATCGATGTTGTAACTAGTATCATTGTTATCATCTATGTTATATGTTATTCTTTCAATTATTTCTGCTTTCGTGGATACAATGTTATGGTGAGTAAGGGAATCTGTAACAATGATTTTCTGTTTGGCTAAAGTAACGTCTGTTAACATCTCATATCTGCTTTATTTGCTAATAAATACTATTCATTAATTCACATTTAGTGGATTTGTGGTGCAAAAATGAACTTGTGTATTACGAAGTGACCATTTAATCATGAAATTAACATTTTAGGAGTAATGCAATAGTATCCCACATTATGTATCGTCAGAAGAGCGTTTTCTGTTGTTTCTGGCACTCGGCACCGTTTTCTCAACATGTGTCTATCATGGACTAATATAATATCTTATTTGGTGCTTCTGAAAGGCGCGGCAGACCGCTTCACGACCCACTCCCGGAGATTGGTCAGACTAAGGAAGACGAGGCGGCCGATGGGAAAAACGAGGAGACGATAGAAGAGAAATTGCAGGAGAGGAGAGAAGATGAGAACGACGAGGTAGCAGAGGAGGTAGAAGAAGAGTTGGAAGGGGAAATAGAAGAGGCAGCTAGGAATGTCGAAAGGGACTCACAACCTCTGTCACCTAACCAGGAGAGTCACAAAAATAGTCACTGGATGAATGCAATCCAAGGGGTGTCTCAGGCTGGCCATGGGGTCAGTCTGGAGGCCAGTCAGGATGCCAGTCAGGAGGCAAGCCAGGGAGTCAATCAGGAGGCCGGCTTGTGGATTAACCAGGAAGCCAGCCAGGGAGGCAGCCTGGAGGCCAGCCAAGAGGGTGGCCTGTGGATGAGCCAAGAAGCCAACAGTGAGCCAACAGTTAATCAGGAAGCCAGTCAAGACGCCAACCAGGAGGCCAACCAGGAGGCCAGCCAGGAGGCCAGCCAGGAGGCCAGCCAGGAAGCCAGTCAGGGAGCCGGTCTGTGGCTTTTCCAGGGAGTCAACCAGGAGGCGAACGAGGAGACCAACCAGGATACGACACCTCTGGAGACTCGTGAGGTAGGATATGCTCCAAATGCTGTGTCTATACATGTTGATACCTGGTTACCTGGTTGATGGGGTTCTGGGAGTTCTTCTACTCCCCAAGCCCGGCCCGAGGCCAGGCTCGACTTGTGAGAGTTTGGTCCACCAGGCTGTTGCTTGGAGCGGCCCGCAGGCCCACATACCCACCACAGCCCGGTTGGTCCGGCACTCCTTGGAGGAATAAATCTAGTTTCCTCTTGAAAATGTCCCCGGTTGTTCCGGCAATATTTCTTATGCTTGCTGGGAGGACGTTGAACAACCGCGGACCTCTGATGTTTATACAGTGTTCTCTGATTGTGCCTATGGCACCTCTGCTCTTCACTGGACCTCTGATGTTTATACAGTGTTCTCTGATTGTGCCTATGGCACCTCTGCTCTTCACTGGACCTCTGATGTTTATACAGTGTTCTCTGATTGTGCCTATGGCACCTCTGCTCTTCATTGGTTCTATTCTACATTTTCTTCCATGTCGTTCACTCCAGTATGTTGTTATTTTCTAACGTGTTGTCTATTTTCTAACGTGTATTTTCTAACGTGTATTTTCTAACGTGTATTTTCTAACGTGTATTTTCTAACGTGTATTTTCTAACGTGTATTTTCTAACGTGTATTTTCTAACGTGTATTTTCTAACGTGTATTTTCTAACGTGTATTTTCTAACGTATTTTGTTACGTAGGTTATTCTCTAACGGATTCTGGCATTTGTTTATGGATGAAATTAAACTTGGAATTTGTGTTTAAATCATAGTAAACTTACATTACAGTACTTTAAAATAATATTAATCTTAATACATTACATAAAACTACTTATTATAAAATATAAAAACTACACATTAAAAAACTTGGTTGGGTTTAAAGCATTGGTTATAATTCTTCTGACTTTTTGATAGTTCCACTGTCACATAATGAGTATTTTGGTTCTAAGTTTACCTTGTGTGTTATAAGAAATAATCCTGATTGTACAATTCTTTAATTTAATTTATTTTAAATCCTAACGAATCCCTACATGATTAATTATGATATATTTTCCAAAATTTTAATATCATCAAATATATATTTAAACAATTAACCTTTCAATTTCAAATTTAGACCAAAATGTATATCCTGGCAAACACGAAGGATATATATATATATATATATATATATATATATATATATATATATATATATATATATATATATATATATATATATATATATATATATATATACACACACACTTCGATGTGTACCCCGCTTCTTGGTGTATACACATCTAGAGTTTGCTGTAGACCCGGACTCTATTCATAACAAAAGTATACTTGGGAGCTTTTGAGTAAGGTATTTGGTGACAGGGCTGAAGCCCAACACAAAATCAAACTGGTAAAATATATTAAACAAAGATGTATTATATTCTCGTCCACAGAAGCCGCCGTCTTCAGCCAAACGCAGAAGTGTGAGTTGCTAAAATATTATTTCTATTAACAGTTATGTGAGATAAAAATGTTACAGCAGACTGCTAGTATGTCTTGATGATATACTGGCCGCTAAGGGCCTCTCTCGTGTATGTGAAGCTATACACGGTAACGTTATTAATTTGGTGATCATATGTGTATATATATATATACAGTACTGAGATGTGTATATGTGAATGTGTTCTTGGTGTGTGTTCTCACCTGTGTATTGTGTTTGCTTTCAGTCTCCTTCGGCGACGTCCCACACGGAGGACTCACCATCACAAGCAAATGTATGTTCACACACACACACATACACACACACACACACACACACACACACACACACACACACACACACACACACACACACATACACACACACATACACACACACACACACACATACACACACACACACACACACACACACACACACACACACACACACACACACACACACACACACACACACACACACACACACACACACACACACACACACACACACACACACACACACTAAACTGGAAACGGTTCAAAGGTTTGCCACCAGACTAGTACCCGAGCTGAGAGGTATGAGCTACGAGGAGAGACTACGGGAATTAAACCTCACTTCGTTGGAAGACAGAAGAGTTAGGGGGGACATGATCACCACATTCAAGATTCTCAAGGGAATCGACAGGGTTGATAAAGACAGGCTATTTAACACAAGCAGCACACGCACTAGGGGACACAGGTGGAAACTGAGTGCCCAAATGAGCCACAGAGATATTAGAAAGAACTTTTTTAGTGTCAGAGTGGTTGACAAATGGAATGCATTAGGCAGTGATGTGGTGGAGGCTGACTCCATACACAGTTTCAAGTGTAGATATGATAGAGCCCAATAGGCTCAGGAACCTGTATACCTGTTGATTGACGGTTGAGAGGCGGGACCAAAGAGTCAGAGCTCAACCCCCGCAAGCACAACTAGGTGAGTACACACACACACACATTTTACACTGTTACTTTTTCCTAATTTAATGCACAACAAATTTTGCTCTTGGTAATGTAATTAAATTTAGAGTGATATTTGTATATATAAAATGAATGAACATGTTGAACACTGAACATCTTCTCTTGCCCCCAGCCCTCAAGCCTCCACCACGGACCTGACAAGCGAGCAGCGGTAAGCCCATCTCACTTATGTTCATCTATGTGTAGCTCTTGGGCCCTGCCTTCTCCACTAACACCCTGTCCATGGAGGACAGAAGAAAATGTATATATGCTGGTTAGCATTGTAAATGTGTGGCCACGTCTGTGGTAGAAAATAATAAAAAAAAAAAAAAAAAAAAAAAACTTGTCCCCCCCCCCCCCCACCTCATGTACTGGCTCCTGACTTCGTCTCTGGAAAACATCCAGAGACGATTTTGCAGACATCCCCTGTTCAGTATTTTCAACTTCTACCACCCCCAATATTTTTTGTTTTCAATGTGGTTTATGTGTTAATTTAATTAACAAAATAATATCACATGTTTGTCACATATTAATATTATTTCTCTTCACCAGACTGGTGATGAATCCTCATCAGCCTATGAACACGACAACCAGGTAAGGAAGTCAAAGTTACACGAAGTCAAGGTAGACAGGTTCCACGAGTCTTATGAGGTAGATGAAGCCAAGGAAGATAAGTTCCACTAATCTCAGGTAGATGATATTTAGGAAAAAAGCTTCACGAGTCTTGATGTAGCCAAATTTATAAACCTTCCGCGAGTATGAGGTAGATGAAGTCAATGTAGACACGTTCTACGTGTCTCAGAAGTAGATGAGTCCCAAATAAAGAACAGATATATTTAAAACAAAAATGATATAAACTACATTTCATAACAAAAATTATATAAAGAGGTTATTGTCAAAATTGTAAAATCAACCCCATACAACCAGATGGTTACATGTTTTTCTCCCTTTTAACTTCCTCCGTCAGGCTGTAGAGGGGGAAGTCGACGCCGAGAAGATAGTCTCAGACATGGCCAGCGAGGACATCAACACCAAGCTGGAAGCCACCGTCAGGGCCAGAAAGATCCTGTCTCAGTCCCTCAACCCCAAGGTGGACGAGTTCCTGGCGGCAGACATCCTCACCCCCGCCCTCGCCAACCTGAAGGAGGAGCAGTAAGTGGTTCCAGCGATGCCTCTCGCTCTGGTGGTCACGGTATTAGTAACTTGGGCCGGCACTCGGCCTGTTCCACGTTGGGTTTCTAGGAGTGCCCTGATGCCCGTAGTGCCTCCTGTTACTGTATCTATGCCTGTTGTACCGCGGTAAAGATTCCTGTAGTCCCAGACGTGATTGTTCTCGTGCCTATAGTGCCATAGGGCACTACCCTGGCTCTGGAGGTCACGGTATTAGTAACTTGGTTTGCAGGAGTGCCCTGATGCCCGTAGTGCCTCCTGTTACTGTATCTATGCCTGTTGTACCGTGGTAAAGATTCCTGTAGTCCCACACGTGATTGTTCTCGTGCCTATAGTGCCATAGGGCACTACCCTGGCGCTTCTCTCCACAGTGCCACCACTGACCCTCCTCCTCCTTCTCTCCACAGCGCCACGCTGATGTTTGAAACAGCTTGGGTCCTCACCAACATCGCTGCTGGTACCTCCAACCACACACAAGCCCTTGTTGGTGAGTGTGGTTATTATTGCTATAGTGGACACTCTTCACAATGTACCCTGGAAACACAAACCGAAACTGTCTCTATTTTCCGCTTGTTACAACTTGTAATAAAGTTGTTACATCTTGGATTAACGTGTTTATGACGTATTAGAACGTTGTTACAACTTGCTATATTGGTTGTTATAACTGGTTAGGAGGTGTTAAAACTTGTTCCAACGTTGTACCAACGTCGTAGTTTCGGTGTGTGTATGGCAGGTAGTTACCAATAAACTACACCAAAGGTTGATGCAATTACGCCTTTATTATCTAGTATTACATATAAATAACGTTAATTTTGTGATTGAGATGTGTAGACTAACACCTCCTTTCTTCCGGGATCACGCTCCCCCCGCTTCACTACCTCTGACGCGGCCGGTGTGTCCCCTGGTCCACAGATCGGGGCTTCGTGCAGCCGCTGGTGCAGCTGCTGGGCACCACCAACATCGGGGTGGCCGAGCAGGTGACGTGGGCCCTCAGCAACATCGCCGCCGACAATCCTGACCACAGGAACCAAATGGTGGCGGAAGGCATCGTCAAGCTTCTCCTGGCACACCTCAACCAGTCTATACCGGTAGGTGGGCTTTCAACCAGGCTATACCGGGCCCTCAAGCAGTCTGTTCCGGTAGGTAGGCTTTCAACCAGGCTATACCGGGCCCTCAACCAGTCTATTCCGGGCCCTCAACCAGTCTATTCCGGGCCCTCAACCAGTCTATTCCGGTAGGTGGGCTTTCAACCAGGCTAAACCGGGCCCTCAACCAGTCTATTCCGGGCCCTCAACCAGTCTATTCCGGTAGGTGGGCTTCCAACCAGGCTATACCAGGCCCTCAACCAGTCTATTCCGGGCCCTCAACCAGTCTATTCCGGTAGGTAGGCTTTCAACCAGGCTATACCGGGCCCTCAACCAGTCTATTACGGTAGATGGGCCCTCAACCTACGTACGTCCTTTACCAGAATTTCTCCTCCCAGTACCATTCCTTTCCCCCGTCCCACTCCAAATCCTTATCCTGACCCGTTCCAAGTGCTATATAGTCGTCACGACTTGGCGCTTTCTCACTGATAGTTCCCTTCCCTTCCTCCCAGTATCATTCACAGCATAATATCGTCTCCTTCCCGAGCACATTAACCTGAAGAGATGTCTTCCAGTGTCTCCAGCCAGCTCTACTATATCTCTTGTTGCACTTTCCAGCACCTTAACCTGAAGAGATGTCTTCCAGTGTCTCCAGCCAGCACTACTATATCTCTTGTTGCACTTTCCAGCACCTTAACCTGAAGAGATGTCTCCCAGTGTCTCCAGCCAGCTCTACTATATCTCTTGTTGCACTTTCCAGCACCTTAACCTGAAGAGATGTCTCCCAGTGTCTCCAGCCAGCACTACTATATCTCTTGTTGCACTTTCCAGCACCTTAACCTGAAGAGATGTCTTCCAGTGTCTCCAGCCAGCTCTACTATATCTCTTGTTGCACTTTCCAGCACCTTAACCTGAAGAGATGTCTTCCAGTGTCTCCAGCCAGCTCTACTATATCTCTTGTTGCACTTTCCAGGTCACCTTAACCTGAAGAGATGTCTTCCAGTGTCTCCAGCCAGCTCTACTATATCTCTTGTTGCACTTTCCAGCACCTTAACCTGAAGAGATGTCTCCCAGTGTCTCCAGCCAGCTCTACTATATCTCTTGTTGCACTTTCCAGGTCACCTTCATACGCAACATTGCGTGGGCTCTCTCTAACCTGTTCCGCCGTAAGCCTCTGGAGATGCTGACGGAGGAGAAGGAGCTCATTCTGCAGGCGTTGAAAGACCACCTGCTGGACCACAGTGACCCGCACGTCCAAGGTGAGTGGCGAGAGGGTCATTTGGGGTCAATCTCAGGGTCATTTGGGGTCAATCTGAGGGTCATTTGGGGTCAATATGAGGGTCATTTGGGGTCAATCTGAGGGTCATTTGGGGTCAATCTGAGGGTCATTTGGGGTCAATCTCAGGGTCATTTGGGGTCAATCTCAGGGTCATTTGGGGTCAATCTGAGGGTCATTTGGGTCAATCTGAGGGTCATTTGGGGTCAATCTCAGGGTCATTTGGGGTCAATCTCAGGGTCATTTGGGGTCAATCTGAGGGTCATTTGGGGTCAATCTGAGGGTCATTTGGGGTCAATATGAGGGTCATTTGGGGTCAATATGAGGGTCATTTGGGGTCAATCTGAGGGTCATTTGGGGTCAATATGAGGGTCATTTGGGGTCAATCTGAGGGTCATTTGGGGTCAATATGAGGGTCATTTGGGGTCAATCTGAGGGTCATTTGGGGTCAATCTGAGGGTCATTTGGGGTCAATCTGAGAGTCATTTGGGGTCAATATGAGGGTCATTTGGGGTCAATCTGAGGGTCATTTGGGGTCAATATGAGGGTCATTTGGGGTCAATCTGAGGGTCATTTGGGGTCAATCTGAGGGTCATTTGGGGTCAATCTCAGGGTCATTTGGGGTCAATCTGAGGGTCATTTGGGGTCAATCTGAGGGTCATTTGGGGTCAATCTCAGGATCATTTGGGGTCAATCTGAGGGTCATTTGGGGTCAATCTGAGGGTCATTTGGGGTCAATCTGAGGGTCATTTGGGGTCAATCTGAGGGTCAATCAGAGAAAGAGAATTTTAGGAAGACCGTTTGCTAGTTGAACAATATACAACCTGTTGAGAGAACTCAGCCTCTCAGTGTTTGAGGAAACACTCAACGAAGGAGCTATGATAACATATAAGGTACTGAAGACTAATGACAGTGAGGCAATGTTCAAAATAAGAAATATTAGAAGTAAACTACACAGTTTACACAGACACAGGTGGAGACACAGACGGGTCCATGGGATGCCAGGAAAACCTCCACGTCGTATAGGCTCGCAAGATGAACGGGTTTCGATAAGAGAGTGTCCAAGTAAATTTAACAAGCAGCTTCAAAAACAACAAGATGGCGTGTTAATTATATCCCTTTACAACCTTTCGATAGTATGTAATAGACAGCGGAGCATGGAGGAAAGAGGCTCAAAAGAGGTATAGGTTCAACTTACCTATACTGAAGTGATTAATCAGCTTGTATGTTTTTTACCATCACAAAAAGTCTTTTGTTATCTCTACTTATTTCCTAACTCTCTCTCTTTCTCTCTGATCTCTCTTTCTCTCCTTCTCTGATCTGATCTCTCTGAATTGATCTCTCTTTCTCTCCTTCTCTGATCTGATCTCTCTGAATTGATCTCTCTCTCCTTCTCTGATCTGATCTCTCTGAATTGATCCCTCTCTCTCTCCTTCTCTGATCTGATCTCTCTGAATTGATCCCTCTTTCTCTCCTTCTCTGATCTGATCTCTCTGAATTGATCCCTCTTTCTCTCCTTCTCTGATCTGATGTCTCTGAATTGATCCCTCTTTCTCTCCTTCTCTGATCTGATCTCTCTGAATTGATCTCTCTTTCACTATAAATGTCTGTAGTTCGTATAGCAGCAGAGTTAGTGTGGAAGTAATAGTAAACCTGGATCTTTCTCTCTTCGTGGTGCATGACGCAACATTGGCGGGGGCCCGTAGCTGACGCCCTGCACACAGCGAGCCTCTTCACGGACATGGGCACGGAGTACATCCAGCTGGTGGTGGAGGCGGGCCTGGTGGCGCAGCTGGTGGCTCTCCTCGCCTCACAAGACGAAGCCCTGCTCCTCACGGCTCTCAGGGCTGTTGGCAACATCATTACTGGCACTGATACTCAGGTACTGGCACTCAGGTACTGACACTCAGGTACTGACACTCAGGTACTGGCACTCAGGTACTGACACTCAGGTACTGACACTCAGGTACTGGCACTGACACTCAGGTACTGGCACGGACCCTCAGGCAGCGACACGGCCGTGGTTTAAGTATGGTGATACTATATTTTGAGTTAATTTCTTATACGTGGGCCCCCTTGTGTAATAACCTCCAAGATGTGGGGCCCCTTTGTACTGGCCCCTATTTCCGTTACGATCGTTCCCATAGACCTTAATCCAGCCGCATGACCCTTAATCTAAGGGTCAACCACTTGCTCTGGACGGTAGAGCGACGGTCTCGCTTCATGCAGGTCGGCGTTCAATCCCCGACCGTCCAAGTGGTTGGGTACCATTCCTTCCCCCTCCGTCCCGTCCCAAATCCTTATCCTGACCCCTTCCAAGTGCTATATAGAATAGTTCCCTTCCCCTTTCTGCTGTTAATCCAAGCCGTGATCTGCAGACGGAGGCGGTGCTGGAGGCCGGGGCGCTACCTTTGTATTCTCAAGTGTTGGCCAACTCGAGCAGCACCAGGGCCAAGAAGGAGGCACTGTGGGCCATATCCAACATCCTGGCTGGCACTCCTGGCCAGCTCCAGCAGGTCATCGATGCCGGCCTGGTGCCAGAGCTCCTGCTCGCCGTACAAAATGTGAGTGATGGTTAGGGTGGTGATGGTTAGTGTGGTGATGGTTAGGGTGGTTAGTGGTGATGGTTTGGGTGGTGATGGTTTGGGTGGTGATGGTTAGGGTGGTTAGTGGTGATGGTTTGGGTGGTGATGGTTAGGGTGGTGATGGTTAGGGTGGTGATGGTTTGGGTGGTTAGTGGTGATGGTTAGGGTGGTGATGGTTTGGGTGGTGATGGTTAGGGTGGTTAGTGGTGATGGTTAGGGTGGTGATGGTTTGGGTGGTGATGGTTAGGGTGGTGATGGTTAGGGTGGTGATGGTTTGGGTGGTGATGGTTAGGGTGGTGATGGTTAGGGTGGTGATGGTTAGGGTGGTGATGGTTTGGGTGGTGATGGTTAGGGTGGTGATGGTTAGGGTGGTGATGGTTTGGGTGGTGATGGTTAGGGTGGTGATGGTTTGGGTGGTTAGTGGTGATGGTTAGGGTGGTGATGGTTTGGGTGGTTAGTGGTGATGGTTAGGGTGGTGATGGTTAGGGTGGTGATGGTTAGGGTGGTGATGGTTAGGGTGGTGATGGTTTGGGTGGTGATGGTTTGGGTGGTGATGGTTAGGGTGGTGATGGTTAGGGTGGTGATGGTTTGGGTGGTTAGTGGTGATGGTTAGGGTGGTGATGGTTTGGGTGGTGATGGTTAGGGTGGTGATGGTTAGGGTGGTGATGGTTTGGGTGGTGATGGTTAGGGTGGTGATGGTTAGGGTGGTGATGGTTTGGGTGGTTAGTGGTGATGGTTAGGGTGGTGATGGTTTGGGTGGTGATGGTTAGGGTGGTGATGGTTTGGGTGGTTAGTGGTGATGGTTAGGGTGGTGATGGTTTGGGTGGTGATGGTTAGGGTGGTTAGTGGTGATGGTTAGGGTGGTGATGGTTTGGGTGGTTAGTGGTGATGGTTAGGGTGGTGATGGTTTGGGTGGTGATGGTTAGGGTGGTGATGGTTAGGGTGGTGATGGTTAGGGTGGTGATGGTTAGGGTGGTGATGGTTAGGGTGGTGATGGTTAGGGTGGTGATGGTTTGGGTGGTGATGGTTAGGGTGGTGATGGTTAGGGTGGTGATGGTTAGGGTGGTGATGGTTAGGGTGGTGATGGTTTGGGTGGTGATGGTTAGGGTGGTGATGGTTAGGGTGGTGATGGTTAGGGTGGTAAGAAGTCATTACCACTGTTTGTTATTAGTACTACTACTTACTCCTGCTACTACTACTACTATTAACTATTGTTACATATATTACTGCTACGACAACATAAACGGGTAGCACCCTCGCCTCGTAAAGGAGGGAGCCCCGGGTTCGACCCCTGGGTAGGGAGAGACGAGTGGGCACCGTTCCCACGCTGTCACATCTCTGTCCACCCAACAAAAACATGTTACCTGGTTGTAAAGCAACTGGCGGACCGTGTTATAGGAGGTAAACAAATACAACAAACACAAGTTACTGAATAACAACAAATAAACCACATACGGCAAACTTATGTAAACCCAACTATAGATGTAGAATTTATATAAATATCTATATATATATATATATATATATATATATATATATATATATATATATATATATATATATATATATATATATATATGAATATTGATGAATAACGAATATGAATTTATATTGAGCAGGAAGACGGACGCGTACGGAAGGAGGCGTCGTGGGGGCTCTTCAACTTGACGGATATTGGCACCCAGGAGCAGCTGAAGGTGCTGGCACCAGGTGCCACGGTGCCGCCCTTGCTGGCACTTATGGGCGACAGTGAGCCGGCCCTCGCCACGCTGGGCGTCGAGGCCCTCCTCAACCTCCTTCGGGTGAGTTCGATGTTTCCACTACCACAGCGTCAGAATTCCGGTGCTTTAAGAGATTAAAAGCATCGCAATGTTGACGTTTCTTGTCGCTAAGTCTATATCAGCCTCGATAAGCAAGGGTCTAGGTTCGTGAGTTTCTGGTCGCCACTGGCGCGATAGATGATCCAGAAGATAGTTCATGGTGAAGTGATGGTGACTCTAGGCCGTTCTTACGATTTACAAGTCGATCGATTAATGATTTTTTTTAACCTAACCAGAAGCATTCGAAGCCTAGTCAACCCCACCTAAAGTAACACGGCCATTGCCGTTACAACGAATCCCAGGAAACGTTAAAATTGCGACGTTTCTCATTAGATCACTGCAGTTTGAACGCTGAGAGTAAGGAAAGGCTGAGTAGCTGAGGTTGTGATCTTAGTTCATGTTTTACGCAGAATGATCTGTGCTGACCTGTGCTGTTAAATAATTATATCTACTGTTCTCTCTCTCCCCCTCTCGTACTGCAGAAGTCGAGCGACTCCGAGACCTTAAGAAGCACGTTGGAGGAGCAGGGTGGCATCACCCTCCTACAACGAAACCTCCAACACGAGAACAATAAGATTGTTACTACAAGTAAGGCCATCCTCGAGAGCTACTTCTCGGTGGACCTGCAGGACGAGGAGGCGAAGAAAGCCGACGAGGACGAAGCGGTGATCGAGACGGAAGATAATCCGGTGAACGAGGAGGTGGAGGAGGAGGAAGATGCGAACGAGAAGATAGAGAAGGTGGAGGATGAGACCAAGCTAGAGGAAGACTGGTAAACAGTTACTCCTCCGGAGACATGTGTGATATTGTTGGTATCCCGGCGGCGTCTTCTGTTGGTATCCCGGCGGCGTCTTCTGTTGGTATCCCGGCGGCGTCTTCTGTTGGTACCCCGGCGGCGTCTTCTGTTGGTACCCCGGCGGTGTCTTCTGTTGGTATCCCGGCGGCGTCTTCTGTTGGTACCCCGGCGGCGTCTTCTGTTGGTACCCCGGCGGTGTCTTCTGTTGGTACCCCGGCGGCGTCTTCTGTTGGTACCCCGGCGGCGTCTTCTGTTGGTACCCCGGCGGCGTCTTCTGTTGGTACCCCGGCGGTGTCTTCTGTTGGTACCCCGGCGGCGTCTTCTGTTGGTACCAGCGACGTCTTCTGTTGGTACCAGCGACGTCTTCTGTTGGTACCAGCGACGTCTTCTGTTGGTACCAGCGACGTCTTCTGTTGGTACCAGCGACGTCTTCTCAGTCCGGCGGGTGTGGACGTCTCCCCCCCCCCCCCGCTGGGTGAAGAACCTTTATTCAGCATTTGTATTTCTTTGCTTTTCGAAATATGTTGTTATACTAACATAAAAAATTATAGTATTAAAGAGCCTGTTTTGTAGAAATCAAGCCTTAATAATGCTCATTTAGACATTATGGCACCATTAATAACGAAAAGGAGTGATCAAATGTCAAAACTCGCAATAATCACCAGGAACCAGATTCACCAAGCAGTTACGCAAGCACTTACGAACGTGTCCATCTTTTCTCAATCTTTGGCGGCTTTGTTTACAATTATTAAACAGTTAATGAGCTCCGAAGCACCAGGAGGCTGTTTATCACAATAACAACAGTTGATTGGCAAGTTTTCATGCTTGTAAACGGTTTAATTAATGTAAACAAAGCCATCAAAGATTGAGGAAACATGTACACGTTCGCAAGTACTTGCGTAACTGCTTCGTGAATCTGGCCCCAGATCATTGCGGCTCTTGAGTGAGAGGATGGTTCAAGTTCAAGTTCAAGTATGTTTATTGAGACAAGAAAAAATACATCTCAAAGGGATAGAGTAGCTTAGGCTATTTCTACCCCCCAGAGGATGGTGTTCGGATCACAGTCTTACAACATCAACAAAACACCCACGAAAGAATACAATATACACAGCCTTCGTCAAGCCAGTACTAAAATACGCAGCACCGGCATGGAACCCGCATCTTGTGAGGCACACAAAGAAGCACTAAATAAGGTCAGAATTTTGCTGTAAGTGAACTAAGAGTTCTAAAATTCAAAGAGAGACTAAGAAACCTGGAGGATAGAAGGTCCAGAAAACACTATGGATAACGTCCCGCCAAACACACACCGAAACTACGACGTTGGTACAACGTTCGAACAAGTTTTAACACTTCCTAACCAGTTATAACAACCAATATAGCAAGTTGTGACAACGTTCTAATACGTCATAAACACGTTAAACCAAGATGTAACAACTTTATTACAAGTTGTAACAAGCGGAAAATAGAGAGTTACGGTTTGTGTTTCCAGGGTTGTAATGTGTACAAGAATATTCTTTTACAATTGGAAACGCGAAGACTGGGAGAGAAGGAAGGAAATACCCCCCCCCCCCACGCCCCACGAGCAGTTCAGCAAATGGAATGATCTGGAATAAGTTGTGGAAGCCACCTCCACCCACAGCTGCAAGATCAAATACACCAGAAGTTTAAAACAACATTCAGGTATAACTATAGCTTAGAATGTTGTTGTTGTTAAAGATTCGCTACCTGGAACAAAGTTCCAAGTAGCACGGGCTATGGTGAGCCCGTAGTGGATTATATAGCTTAGAAGCAAAATTCAAAGAACTAGAGAGCCGGTCGGCCCAGCGGATAGCACGCTGGACTTGTGATCCTGTGGTCCTGGGTTCAATCCCAGGCGCCGGCGAGAAACAATGGGCAGAGTTTCTTTCACCCTATGCCCCTGTTACCTAGCAGTAAAATAGGTACCTGGGTGTTAGTCAGCTGTCACGGGCTGCTTCCTGGGGGTGGAGGCCTGGTCGAGGACCGGGTCGCGGGGACACTAAAGCCCCGAAATCATCTCAAGATAACCTCAAGATAACCTCAAGAGATAAGGAAGCTACAGGTCCGCGGGTGCTCCAGGGAGGATGTTGTCGAACTTACGTCCAGGATGGTCTCAGACGCTGCCTTAGTCGATTGCGCCACGACTTAGGCGCGTCTGGGATCATCCTGGACGTAGGTTCGAACCCTCATCACGGCCCTTGTGGATTTGTTCATTTGATTTATGATTTCTGTGTGTACAGTTTAACAGGTTTGAATAATAGACTGGATAGGTACATGAGTGAGAGGGGATGGATTTAAACTGGACCCGCTTAGTAATTCTTATGTTCTGCTGTTCCTATGATAGGGTAAGTACAGAACAAAATTGTGTTCTTTGGTATAAAATTGAATTATTTAAATCCATTTATCACAAATGCTGTTTTCACAAGTTCCTGCTGCATTTATATCACTGGTAATGCATAAATAAAAGATGAGAAGTAAAGCTGGATGTATTGTTTCTAAAACTTCCACACCCGATGTCTTCATTAACCACCAAGGAAACTACAACAGGACTTTCCGGTAGTGAAAAATCGGAAAAGAAATTCGGCTAAAGAATCAGTTTGTATGAACACACACACACACACACACACACACACACACACACACACACACACACACACACACACACACACGTAGTCCCGATATACAAGAAAGGGGATAGACAGGAGGCACTGAACTATAGGCCAGTGTCCCTAACCTGCATATCATGCAAGCTGATGGAGAAGATTGTGCGAAGAAAGCTAGTGGAACATCTGGAGCGAAAGAACTTTGTAACACAGCATCAACATGGGTTCAGGGATGGCAGGTCCTGCCTCACAGGGATTACTTGAATTCTACGACCAGGCAACAAAAATCAGGCATGAAAGAGAAGAGTGGGCAGATTGCATATTTTTGGATTGCCAGAAAGCCTTTGACACAGTACCGCACAAGAGGCTAGTGAAAAAGCTGGAGATGCAGGCAGGAATGAAAGAGAAAGTACTCCATTGGATAAAGGAGTACCTAAGCAACAGGAGACAACGAGTCAGTGTGAGGGGTGAGGTCTCAGATTGGCGAGACGTTACAAGTGGAGTACCGCAGGGGTCAGTCCTTGGACCTATACTGTTTCTGACATATATAAATGATCTCCCAGAGGGTATAGACTAGTTTCTCTCAATGTTTGCTGATAATGCAAAAATTATGAGGAGGATTGAAACAGAGGATGATAGTAGGAGGCTACAAGATGACCTAGACAGACTGAATGAATGGTCCAACAAATGGCTGCTAAAGTTCAACCCGAGTAAATGCAAAGTTATGAAATTAGGCGATGGAAACAGGTCAGACACAGGATACAGAATAGGAGATGAAGTACTTAATGAAACAGACAGAGAGAAAGATCTAGGAGTTGATATCACACCAAACCTGTCTCCTGAAGCCCACATAAAGAGAATAACGTCTGCGGCACATGCGAGGCTGGCTAACATCAGAACAGCGTTCAGGAACCTGTGTAAGGAATCATTCAGAATCTTGTACACCACATATGTAAGACCAATGCTGGAGTATGCGGCCCCAGCATGGAGCCCGTACCTTGTCAAGCGCAAGACAAAGCTGGAAAAAGTCCAAAGGTATGCCACTAGATTAGTCCCAGAACTATGAGGCATGAGTTATGAGGAAAGGCTGCGGGAAATATACCTTACGACACTGGAAGACAGAAGAGTAAGGGGAGACATGATCACTACCTACAAAATCCTTAGGGGAATCGACCGGGTAAACAAGGATAAACTATTCAACACTGGTGGGACGCGAACAAAGGGACACAGGTGGAAACTGAGTACCCACATGAGCCACAGGGACGTTAGAAGGAACTTTTTCAGTGTCAGAGTAGCTAACGGATGGAATGCATTAGGCAGTAATGTGGTGGAGGCTGACTCCATACACAGTTTCAAGTGTAGATATGATAGAGCCCAATAGGCTCAGGAACCTGTACACCTGTTGATTGACAGTTGAGAGGTGGGACCAAAGAGCCAGAGCTCAACCCCCGCAAGCACAACTAGGTGAGTACACACTCACACACACACGCACTACTATCATTCCACTCTTCTGTACCTCTCCACTGTCCTCAACATCCCCGCTGACCTGTCAAAGTTGCTAAATCACTATAGCATGGCCCCACAGCTGCCTTGCAAGACGAGTAACGCGCGATTTCACGAAAGTTGTCAACAAATGTAACCATGGTGTTTTTGTACACAAAATGCGCTCAAAAGTGATTACTAGCAAAGTAGAGATTCTTTTTTTTCTTTTCTTTTTTTGCAGGGATATTCGTGCGCGGGCCCTAAGCCTCTGGCTGGCCCACTGGGCGGGCCCTAAGCCTCTGGCTGGCCCACTGGGCGGGCCCTAAGCCTCTGGCTGGCCCACTGGGCGGGCCCTAAGCCTCTGGCTGGCCCACTGGGCGGGCCCTAAGCCTCTGGCTGGTCCACTAAGTGTTGCTTGTTTCTGTTTTACTTGGGCGGAGTATGAGTATTTATGACTCGTATGGTCGCTTCAGTAAGATTTTGTCCCATGTGTTAAACAACTTCTTCTGCTCTGTTGAATCTAAGTTGAAATCTTAATGGGTTTGTAACTGTGCACTGTGTTAGATAATGTTCCAGTGATCTGTTGACTGTAACTGTGCACTGTGTTAGATAATGTTCCAGTGGTCTGTTGTGTGTGTAACTGTGCACTGTGTTAGATAAGGGTACTTGTTGGGTATTCCTTGTGGCGGTACCTGGTATGGGTACCTGGGTGACGAACCTGGTAGAGGTACCTGGTAGAGGTACCTTGTATGGATACCAGGTAAGTGCCTCCCTCGACTGACTCAGACGTGTTGAGCAAAAAGTCAGAAATACTGAGAAAGGTTCCGCAAATTCTTAGCTTTTTAAGAATAGTTTATATAGTGTGTACGCTGTAATTAAGACCTTGGCCTCTCACACTAGAGGCGGCAGCGCTGGTACCTCTTGTTGACCAGGTTGTCTGGCAACAGGTGAGGTGTCGGCCAGCGGGGTCGACACACACTCCCTGCGACACTGTCACCTTCCTTACCCCTCACCACTACCCCCCCTCCCTCGCCCCCTTAACTGCGTGGTTCCAGCTTTTCACAACCGACGGGAGACATCTCCCGTCACGCAGGGTCCAGTCGCACCTCCACAGATCTCCAGTATCATCTATTGATACTGGAAATGGCTCAAAAGGGCCACCACTTATGGGCTATTCATGCCCGAGCCACCTTTTGGGTGGCTTAATCTTCTCTCTCTCTCTCTCTTTTCACAACCAATTTCCCCAAACTTCACGCTATCAGTGTATGTTCTCCTCTTTGATCTTCCCCTCCAACCCCAGCGACTGTCTCAAAACTTCCCCACCACCAACCTGTGTTCCCCTTTCTCAGCCCTTTCCCCCTACCAGCGTGTGCGTGTCCCCTCTCTCTCTCACCCTT